TTCGGGTAGTCGAGGGACTCGCACAGGTCCGAGACTCGGTCACCCCACTCCTCCACGGACTCTCCGCGCTGCCTCTTCGTGTTCTCTAGTAGCTCCCACAGCTCGTCAGCCGTCCGGCTGAGGAACTGGTTATGGAACCGCACCTTGTGCGTCCTGAACGACTTGATCCTCGAGTTGTTCACCCACCGGTCAGCCTCGCGGCCTCGCAGCTTCTGACGGAACACCAGCAATCTGGACCGGTCGGGGAAACCGTCCGTGTGGTCGTCGAAGAGCTCCCAGAAGTCCCGCGCCTTCTCCACCGTGGCCGTGTCCGAATGGAACATCGGCAGCACCTTCACGGCATGCGAGACCATCGTAGACAGATTGCAGGCACTCGGCGAAAGTCCACTGGCACCGCGCCAACTCGTCGACGGTGCAGCCGTCGGAGCCGGCGGAGCCGTACCCGTTCCAGGCGTCCGACTTGCCGTAGGGCCCGTTGTAGGTTGCATGGGCATTCCGCCACCGAGCGGCTTCGAGAGCCCAGCCGGACCGCCGGCGAACTGCAACTTCTTCTTCGGAGGGGGCGACTTCACCGCGCTTCCGCTCCCACTCCATCCTCCATACTCGGGGGCCTTCCCCGAACCATGTTGAGCGCTCCAGCTCCATCCAAAGGCAGGGCGATCCGTTCGGCGGGCCTCGGGACCCATGTAGCGGGTGATGAACCCACTCGGGCCTCGCTGCGTCGGGACCGGCTCCTCCATCGCGTCGTGGTAGTCTTCCTCGTCGTCAGCGTACATCCCGTAGCCGAACCCATAGTCCGTCGGCTGAGCGTAGGGCTGCCCCACACTCGACCATCCCATCGGACTCGAGACCGGTGGCTCCGGCTCGCCCTTCACGGCGGGCTCCGCCTTGGCCTCCGCCACGGTCTCCGTCTTCATTCCAGTCGAGGTCACCGGCTGGACTCCAGTCACGGCCTCCGTCTTGGCCGCCTCCTTCTCTTCATAGTCCTCGTCTTCTTCATTCCAGCCGAGGTCACCGGCTGGACTCCAGTCGCGGCCTCCGTCTTGACCGCCTCCTTCTCTTCATAGTCCTCGTCTTCTTCATCTTCCCGGAGCTCACGCATCACATCCGACACGGACGCTCCCTCTTCAGCATACTCAGCGGTCTTCCTCCACCGCTCCAGACTCCTCAATCCCTCTTCAACCGGGTCCGGCGCGCCCGCTCCAGCCTGGCTGGGCGGCGACGGGGCCCTCGGTCGCTGGGACAGCGGCGGCGCTATCCCGATCATCGGCGTCCCGGAAGCCGGTGTCGAGGGCCTCTGCCGACGTCTTTCGGCACGCTCAGCTTCTGCTCGAGCGGCACGCTCTGCTTCGGCCCGCGCGGCACGCTCTGCCTCGGCGCGCTCTGCACGCGCTCTTTCTTCTTGTTCAGCCCGGCGGCGTGCTGCTTCCTCAGCGTTACCGTCTCTTCCTCCTTGTCCTCCTGGCATCTTCTCTTCTCAGTTTACCGTTCCTTGTCCACTCTCAGTTTACCGTTCCTTGTTCACTTGACCTCTTGCTCTTGACCGTGCACACTTGGCTCTTGTGTCTACGTTACCGTTCCCTTGTCCTACCGGCCTGGATCGCTCCTCTCACTGCTCCTCGACGCCGCTTTTCCCGCGCGGCGTGTACTCGTGTGCGGACTCCTGGGTCCTTCCCTGGCACACTTTAAACACGAGGAGGGGGGGGGGGGGTCGCACGTCCAGTCACCAGGTCCAGACGCTCGGCTCTTGACTCTGTTCACTTCCGGGCACAGGCTCTCAGCACTGTTCACTCCACAGTCGGCAACACTACCCTGCTTCTCCACCACGTGTCGCGAGTCGCTTTGTCGGACCGGTTTGGGGCCGGCCGCCGCTGTATTAGAGTAGTAAGTGCTGCCTGTGCTTATAGGTTTACGGGGCACAAATAGCAAGGAGATCACTAAGCAAAATGCAATACATGTTCCTTACGACCTGTGTGGTCCTTTTAAGCAAAATTCACGACTGACCTTCCTTCTACTCCTAACTCTTCCTCTCTACCTCTGCAGATCCTTGCGTTTCAGTGCCTTCGGGTGACTCCGTTCCCGCTCACCCCTCCCAAAGACTTGATCCGTTCACCTTGACGGCCCTCAAAGCCGCCCAACATGCCATCCGTCCCCGAAGTCCCGCCACGACACTGCGAGGCACATCATCCCTCCAAGATACCTCTGGGTAGCGGCCCACGGGTCTCCACCTTCGAGACAACCCGGCCCACGGCCCACTACTTCTCGCCCGCGACCACACCAGGTGGACGACCTCAGGCACTCATCGTCGCCCACGCAGAGTTGGAACGGTCCGAGCCGTTCCGACTCGGGACATCGAGCACTCCCGAAGCTCACCACATCAACAGCCCTCGGCACCTGCGGGCGTCGTCGATACGAGATCGCCAGGCACGGAAAGGTCCCATCCGCACGACGAGGGAAAATCTTGAGCAGCAATACAGCACGAAGTTGCGGGATCATGTCGAAATACTCTAGACAGCTTCCGGCACGGTGGACCCAGAGGTTAGGATAACTCAAAGTATTGTATTACTCAGTAATACAATTTCGGTATTAATACAGGTTTGATTAGTAGTTATACTCGTTTTTTGGGCGAATGTATAAGGATAATTGAAGTAATACTACTCCTCGGAATTGGTAATACCAGTAAGTTTTTTCGGTTATTATGGAAATTACCGAATAATACCCCGGGCACTATTTATTAGTACCCTCCCAAAATCTGATAAATTACGTATATTATACAGTATTCCATGCATAAATATGCTTTCGACAATAAGACCACAAAATTATACTTGATATTTGTATTGAAGTAACCGTGTACCCTGGGCTACGCAGTGGGTTACGTTTTAGGAGGTACTATACGGGTATGGGGTATTATTTGGGAATTTACGTTACTTCCAGAAGCCCCTCCGAACCCACGCAGGCGCTATTTCAGTGCATGCTCGCGCACTTCCACTCTCTATACGTCCCCCGCGGTGCTATTCGATACCCGTCACCCGCGCGAGGGCCCGTGCCAACGACCTGAACAGAAACTTCTATCTAAATGCAAAGGTGAAGTTTGCGTTCGATCTGTGTCAATTAAGACCAGTGCCGCGGGACTACCACTACATAGCCACATCTTCAGGTCGCGCTACGTTTGTCTTGGCTGCCTCTCCAACATAAGGACCGTCGTATGAATACTATGAACAAGGTCTTCAATGCCATTCGGATCGTCAAGGTGATAGGAACGCTTCAGCGTTGAACTGTTCTTTGGGCTCAGTATAGACTCCCCACTGGCGAAGCCGAGCTAATGTGGGCCACATAAATGTGTACTAGCATAAAGTATTACCCAAAGTATTAATACAATCTGTATTAATACTGATACTTGTTTTCTATACGAAAGTATTGTATAACCGATATTTATACCAGACCTCCAGTAGGGCCAGTAATACTAATACCTTGATTTGGTCGATTATCCTAACCTCTGGGTGGACCTCGACTTCGACAATGATACGCGGACGAACGGGGTCCTCGTTATCCGACGAGCCATCGGGTCGAAACGCACCATCCGGAATCTGCCGGACTTCTCGAGTTCCGTTTGTCCAGAAGGTCATCGACCCCCCGAACGCACGCCTAGAACGAACCAAACTAAACCAAATGGTTTGGTTCAAACGTTTCAGCAAATTTACCGATATCAAACCTGAAACGACCGGTATACTGGTTTGGTGGAACAGTTCGAAACATCCTGGCGGGTTCGGAAGCACATGGTTTGGAGATACGCTGTTGTCGGATTGAAAGGTTCATACCCACCAGCGTTTCATGGCTGTAATCTCACTAGATTCAACTATCCTTAAAGTCCGCATGTGCATTCCTTTCTAGCCTGTCACCTCTTAACGAAGGAACGTTGTCTGTACTTTTACTAGAACGGTGATGCATACAGCCTGAATCAGCTTGCGCAACAGTGCTGACTGTCCCCTTGTGCATGCTATCAGGCTCGCGCTGACCAAACGTAAGCTTACGCTATGGTCTTGCCTCAATCACCAACTTTCCTTCAGAACAACTAGCCGCCAACGACTGCAAAGCAACCGCCACCTGCCCAACCAGACCTACAATCAAATCAACACACCCCGCGATACTCCAGGAAATATTGTTTGGGCAGCTTCGCACAAACCTGGCTAGCAGTTAGCTTCAACTCAGTTTGCGCCAAGGCAGCGCCACCGTAACCGGGAACACAAGTTACAGTAGTCGACAGTCCCAGGAATTGCAGGTAGCGTTGACATTTATTATCTTTGGCAGCTGCGTTTATCTTTAAGACAAGCTCTAACTTTGGTGTGTTTCAAGCAATATGCCACGTTGGTACTCTCATATTTGCGAGCAAGCCTGTGGCTCCAATGCGCCGATTATTTTTTCGCTCGAATCGTGATAGTGGGGAGAGCCCACTCCAACGTCGCCGTGTTACCAGTAATGGAGTTGATTCAAGTCCAAACGGGATTCGACCGGCGGTATCAGTATCCTCAGAGCGACGTGATGGATCATACCTATCCACTGCGCTAAACGACATGACCTCCGACTCGACGCAACAGTTGCAGCACCCCATATCCCGCAATGTATCCATCCCGACGCCTTTACAGTTGCTATCAACGATATCTACCCCCGATCACGGTGTATCGGGCTCTTCCAGCTTGGCTTCGTTGCTGCCTACTAGATTGGACCCAATTCCTTTGGACCAGTGCCCACTACCAGCACCACCTAGTCAGAGTGGAGATTCGCGCCAACACGACCGCGTGTCCAATCATTTCGCCGTCAATCAGACCACTATGTACCAAAGTTCGGCCCCCACTGCAACCGAACCACCGCCGGAGGTGACCGCAGCGATTCGCAATTTCAGACCAGGTCCTCAATTTGAGGTGATGCCGAAGCGCCCAGGTGAACGCTCTCTGATTTTGGATTGGGGTGTGCGCGTGGTTACGATGCTCGATGGAAAAGAAATGACGTGTTGGATATGCCAAGGTAGCGCGAATTATCGCTCTGAAAACAAGTGCATTCAGCTTTTCGGTAATACTTCTAAGGCTACGAAGCACCTGAGCGATGCTCACTCTGTGACGTCTGCTGAAGTAATTGCTGAGTCGGGGCGAAAACGAAGTCGCCTGGAGGAAGTCAATCGCATTTCGCATTCGCTCACCAACTCCGACGACTCTAGACGAGCGACTTTGCTTTTGGAGACGCTTCGTGTGGTGAACAACAACTTGCCCTTCAGGATTGGCGAGTATGAGGAGTCTGAACTGCTAGCGGCGCTTGCAGTGAAAGACGATTTTCGCACGGTTGTTAATGCTCACAAGGTGGTGCATGCTGTTGGTGAGCTGTACTGCTGTGCGGTCAGTGCTGTTTGTAAGTTTTTGGTTGAAAACAAAATTCCGGGCGTGGCATCATTTGCAATGAGTACCGATTTTTGGGTGTGCAAGACACAACGAACCAAGTTTCTCGGTCTTCACGTGTACCTCGTTGATCGGCACATCAGATATCAGTCCGTACTACTTGGAACACGTCATTTCAACCCTCGTTATGCTGAGAGGAACGGAGGTGTTCGTGAGCCATTCAAGAGTTGGCTGGTCGCTCTTCTTCGAGATTTCCGCCTGACCTCCAGAGATTTTTTTGGAGCGACGAGTGATAAGGGACCTGATGTAAAGCGCCTGTTGGAGACGGAGCTCAGTCTGAAGTGGGAGTGGTGCATCCCGCATCTTACAAATGCATCGACCAAGACTGCGTTTGAAATTGGGTCTACAAGGAGCAGCTCCAAAAATGTCGAGATGACAGATCTGATTGCTCGCATTGGAAAGACAATCTATACTGTTCGCTCTAGCGAAAGGCTCGGTTCTCTTTTTGCAGAGCTGTGCACCATGGTCGATCCTAGCGCCACGACGAAGCTGCTTGAATATCGCGACCACCGCTTTATGGGTCTGACAAGAGTGATCAAACGCATCCTCGAGAAGTACGAAGAGTTGGAGATCTGGTTTGCTGAGCGAATTGAGAAAGCTCTCCGCGAGTTTGATGACCCTCCTGATGATTTTCCCCTTGTTGAAGACCGGCAGACATTGCTTCAAATGTATGCGCTACTCGAACCAATCACTGTCATCAATGTCCACAGTCAAAGCGAAAGCGCCAATCAGCCGGAGGTGCTGGGGCTTTTATATCAACTTCGGCGGACTGTCCTCGATGAAACTCAGCAACTTCGGGACTGTTTCCGGCAGCAAGACCCACCGATCCACTTCCGAGTACATGAGCTGACTCCATTAGTGAGGCGTACTCGCAGCTTGCTTGCGAATCATTTCACGACAACTTTTTCAAGCGATATACTAGCAGCGCTCGTATTTCCACGGCCGCGTACATTCCCGAGATGCAGATGCTGCTGCACCCACTCTTCAAAAACCCGGACAGTCCTCTCAGCAAAATTGTGAAGGTGTGCTGCGAACAGCTTGTCGTGGATCCAAAAACTCCTCATTTGCGAATGACTGCAGAACAGGTGACGGATACCGTTTCAACCGTGCGAGTGGAGGTGATGAACCGGATGAAGGCATTGATGCTTTCTGTCGTTGTAAACGAAGAGGAAGCCGCATTACCGGGACGAGGAGATGTCACGGCATCGGTGGAGAGAGGGGCAGGACAGCAGGACCAGACGCGGCGCGAAGAAGTGTCTACTAGCCGCAGTATTTTAGATGACCTGGTGCAGCTTTTTGGTCATCAACCAGAGCAAGTTCGACGTGGTGGATTTCATGAAGAGCGCGTGAAAACAGAATTGCAGAAATGGTTATCGGACAGCACCCCGCTACGCACACATCCGGACGGGAATGTGGAGACACTGCTCGAGTTCTGGAAGCGCCAATCCATGAGTCCTCGCTATCAAATTTTACCAACTGTAGTTCTAGTTCTTTTGGCTATTCCGGCCTCTGCTGCGCAGATTGAGAGAGACTTCAGCGTGAGCGGCATGATGGTTACAAGTCACCGAACCAGTATCGCTAAGCACAATATTGACATGTGCAGCTTTATCAACAGGAACCGGCAGTTCGTAGATATCACAGCTTGCCCAAGACTGAGCGCGAGTGAACTAGCGTCTGCTTTGCCTAGCAGTGCGTTCGTGCGAATGGGATCGCCCAACGAATCGAGTGCAAGTGCCTATGAGCATCTTTTCGGCGCGTCCATGGACCAAAGTGCAGAAGATGAGGGGTTCGACACAGCTGCAAGGGATCGAGACGGTGAATAACACTGCTCTAAGGGCTTGAAAGACGAACGACAGCGCCACAAGCAACCCAGAGTTCGGTCTCCAAACGCTGATGAGGATAACTCAAGCCGACCAAGTTCTAGTAGCCGAGGTATGCCTGAAAAGCAGCAAAATATACATCGTTTGTGTATCCGAATTACCATTAACGAATAAGTATGCGACTAAACTTCTTGTGGTGGCATTGCATCGATGGAGAAACTAACATTGATTACAATAGACGGTGTTTTGTCTGGACTTGATCTTCTTGGTTGTTTTGGTGCACTAAACTAAGCTCTGAAAAGTATATGTATTGGTCTTTACTTACCTTACTCTTTCTTCTGACTCTTTCGCACTTGGCGTTTCTTGATCCCAGCGCTACGCCGTAGAATCTGCGCCCGCTTGATCGCTCGATCGTTTGTTGCTTTGGTTGCGGCACGACGAGCCGCAGCTAAGTCACTTGGCCCATTTGGCTTGGTTTCTTGTTGTAGCGATTCCGCAATAAATGAAGCAGCGTCTGTGCTTGCCTCAGCACTCGATGTTCGATCTGTCCTGTTTGCACTCGCAGTGGCTGCGTGGAGAGAAACCAAACGGTTCTTAATATCTAGAAGAACTGCAAGAACGGATCCATCTCGATCCGCAATGTCGACATTGCCTCCGCCTCGGTTTTCCACCCCCAAACGCATGTCGATGTCAACAGGCTCTTGCGATGTATCATCGTCACCCGGTCGCGTAACGGGAGTTGTACATCGTCTGCATCTTTCTTCGTTGGTTTTATCATGAGAGATCAGAGAAGTATCTGACGCTTTATCAATGGTGACATTTACCACGGGCGTTGTGACTTCCTCCGAAACTTGTCTTTGGCCTTGCTCCGCCAACTCAGTAAAGCGACGATCAAATTTAATCTCCATTTGCCGAACCATCTCCTTAAGGCGAACTTCGAGTTTGGCCTCCTTTTTGTGAATCAACTCGTCAATATGAGTTTTGTGCGACTTCACCCGAGCTGAGTGTTGGCTGACACAATCCTTCACATCACGCATTTGCCGATGAAGCTCATCTTGAGACTCCCTTAATTGTTTTTGAAGGCTATCTTCAAGAGCAGCGTTACGGGAATCAAGCGCTCCTTCGACCTTTGTCCGCTCCAAACGCGCAGCTTCAGTGATGCGAGCAGCGAACTGAGCGCTTGAATCGTCGATGCGTTTGCTCAACTCGCCGTGCGAAGCTCGAATTGAGTCATCTAGTCGCTGCTGAAGGCCTCGCTCAAGTGTGTCAGCCAGGTCATGGGCGCTCGTTTCGATGAGCTTTTCTAGCTCTGCGTGAGATGACTCCATCACGCTACGCAAATTAAGTTCTGTTTGCAAATGCAACTGTTTGCATTCGGCTGCAGCAATCGCCATGGACGTCTTCAGCTTGCCGTTGAGGCGCGTTTCAACTTCATCAGCTTGAACTGCAGCAAATAATTGGGCTCGCTCATCACCCATATCGGTCGTTTTCTGCAGAGTTTCTTGCCAGCGTCTTTCGCAGTCTGTCTCATGATGACTTATTCGTGTGTCTATTGCTGCAGCGGTCGTTGAGCGAATCTCATGCATAGCTTCAATCATTTTTCTTTCATGATCCTGCAGTACACTGTTGGTAGCGTACTTTATCTCAGTGACCGAGTCTTGAACACCGACGCGAAGCCGATTTTCGCATTCTCCCATTTGCTGAGTGAACGATACCCCCACAGATGACTGCACCTGTGACTGAGAATGGCTCAATACTTCTTGGAAGCGTGCGTCTAATTTTTCAGACACGACTGTCGAAACTCGATCCATGCTTTGAGCAACGTACTGACCAAGCTGGTCAATTTGCTCATCATTTCGAACTTGATTGTCGTATATTACTTGCTCTAGTTGGCTCGAACTGTCTGGTCTTCGAACAATCTCTTCGTGAAGAAGCACACGTCGTCTTGCTTCGTACTCGCTGTTTAAATCCACGCTGGTTCCTTCACCACGCACCACAATCGCCCTCATCACACTCTGCATTTGCTTCGGCTGACCCACCAAAGGGAAAGTTGTGGCGACGTGAGGAAAATTCGAAGCCAAAACAAACTTACTTGCGCGTCAAACTCACTTAACTGTAGCTACACCGCCGTAGTATATCGCGATCCTAACTCCGCCGGTTTCCCTCTTTCACGGTTCACTCTGCTGCGCCGCCCGCGCCGGTGCTCTTGAGCCTGGTTGAGAACGTATTCGCACTTGCTTGCGAAGGTTGAGAACTTATTCGCACTCGCTTGCGGCCGGCTTAGCCTGGAGCTGGGGCTCTCCACTGCACTGGCACGGGCGTATGAATAGAGTTCACTCTTCGCTGCGTCAAGCAGCAACTGAGCAAGAGCTACCGCGATGTAGCACAGTTGGTAATTCGCCCCAAGCGCGCTACGACGTGCACGAGCTCGGGTACGATCGCTTCCTGGTGGCGGGGTGGTCTGTGGGCCAAGCGCAGGACGACGCGCGGGAGCCAGACACAGAGACGTCGATCCGCTCAACGACCTTGGCCTGCGCGTACTCTGCTCGCAATGACAGCTCTTCAGAATGAGAACAGAGAATGAATGAATTTGGAAGGGTCGCCTCGAGGGCAGGGCCTCCGAAAATAGCATTGTCAATAACATTTGTCTGCGTTGCTAGTTGCAGCTCATTTGGCAGCGCTCACTTTTCAATTTTCACTTCTCAAGCCTCCAAGACCTCATCCAGCATGGTTCGCGGTATCCGCCCCCCTCGCCCTACCTACACGAACTCCCAAGTCTCGGGGTTTTACTTCCGCCCGTGTTGCGACGAGAACGACGAGGTGATTCTCGAGTATTTCCGTTGCCGTTGCGGCACGGTTCGGAAGCAAATCCATAGGAACGGGTACTCCAACCTGATGCAACATATCAGGCGGGAGCACCCTGACTACGAGACCGTCATGCTCGACGCTACGACGGCGGAGACAGGCTCCCTCGTGAACTTCGTCCGCCACTCGGCGCTCAACCTCCACGGCTGGATGGTTTGGATTGTCATGTGCAACCTGCCACTCTCTTTTTGTGAGAGCCGAGAAGCGCGGCGGTACGTGTATGCATAAGGCCATTGTGTTTACATTACTACGGAAACTAACAACTTTACTTTATGGATGTTATTCAGCTACTCCAGCCTGGACCCCATCTCGGAGGAAACGCTGCGAGCTGGCATGGACGGGGTCGTCGTCGCCGTCGAGCGTTCGATTGCGTCGGAGCTCCCAGCACGCTTCGGCATCATGCTCGACGGCTGGACACACGCATCTGAGCACTACATCGCCGTGTTCGCGTGCTATGAGGTGAACGGCTGTCCCAAGACAACGTACTCAGCATGGCCCCGCTGCTGGACGCGCTGGACGACGATCTGTCCGCGCAGGGCCATCTCGAGTTTCTAGCGACCATGCTGCCGCGCGATTACGGCGTATAGCTGGCGCAGTGTCGCTTCTTCGTAGCTGACAACTGCGCCGTAAACCGGCGGCTGGCAACTCTTATGAGTGTGCCGCTTGTTGGTTGCGCAAGCCACCGCCTGAACCTTGCTGTTCAGGCGAACATGGCGTCGCATGAGGAGGACCTGGCTGCTGTGCAGGCGCTCATGGTAAAATTGCGTACTCTCACCCAATCTGCCAAACTACGGTAAGCGCCTATGTGTATGTGTGGTGTGTCAATATGTCTCTAACACAATTTGTGTACTTTTGTAAAAAAAATTACAAAATATCGGCCTGTCATTCGCCAGGACACGCGCTGGGGCTCTACGTTCGAGATGGTACGGCGCTACCTCCAGCTCCTCGAGTTTCTTGACGCCGAAGACGACGACCTCATGGACCTGCTGCCGCCGCCGGCGATGAACAAGCGACTGGGGGTATTGTACCAGGAGCTGTGCGACATCGAGTCGGTCTCGAAGGCCCTTCAAGACCACGACGTCGACCTGCTGGACGTTCGTGAGTGGTTCGACGAGCTGATCGCTGTCAAGCCACAATATGGGCGCTACATTGGTAAGTTTATAACTGTTGAATTTGTGTTTAATATTTTCACTAACAATTGTATAATGGTTTTTATTTTGCAGGGCCTCGGGCCAACATTGTGCACAGCCCAGATTTTGAGGCTGGGTGTGTACGCGTTCTCCGCGGGAAGGCGCAGCGGCTGACGCGTGCTGAAAAGGCCGCTTTGCAGCCCTTCGAAGCTGCCAGACCAGACGACGCGGCCGCGAGTGAGGAGGAGGAGGATCCAGCCGCGTCGTTCGTGGAGCGTCTTCGGAAGCACCGGCGGCTTGCACAGGACTGTGTCAAGTATGAGCAGCTGAAGAGCATCCCACCCACGTCGAACGTGGTGGAACGCTTCTTCAGCATTGCTCGGGTGACGTTTGGTCATCAACGACACGGCCTGCTGCCACGCACGCTTGAGACGATTCTGTTTCTCCGCCAGAATCGGTCGTACTGGGATGCAACGACTGTGGACAATTTGAGCTAGATGATAAGCTAACTGGTGTCTTGTTAATAGACTTCATGCTTTTCATAATGTCATTATTTATTGTAGTACGTTGGGGGCAATGCCATAATGTACTGTTGTATTGGTAGGAGCGTCAGGGGATAATTTATTCAGCAACGCCCAACCTACTAAATAAAAATGCCATATTCGGAGGCCCTGCTCGAGGGTCTCATCAGATAAAGCCGCACGAAGTGAAACGTACTAACAGCAAGCAAATAGCCTGGGCTCGGTTTGAACCAAATGGCATGGTTCGGCCAAACCAGCCGTTTTTGGTTTGAATTGGCGACAGTAACAGCGTGAACCATGGAACCGCTACGAACCAGGTTTAAAGGCCGCTTCTGGTTTGGTTCATTCTCCAAACCATTTGGTTTGGTTTGGTTCGTTCTAGGCGCGCGAACGTTCGAAACAGGCCTCCATTTGCAGCCGCATAAGCGTCAAGTTGAGTCGCCACCTGCTGAACAACTGCTTCATGTACCTCTCCTTGCAGCGTTGAGACGACTGGAGGATCCCACACGATTGAGTCGACGGTGGCCCCAAAACGAGCGTCGAGTCGCGGCAGTGAAGCATGGAGCACGCGCGCAACTTGAACGTCCCGCTTCACGCGCTGAAACGACTGACGTAGCGCTCGAATGATTTCTTTTCGCCAATCGTCTTTGCCTGTCATGGACGTGCGGGCGCGAGTACTGGCGATCCAGTAGACGATGCGGACTTGGTCGGAAGTTCCAGCGATGCTCAAGATGCAGAGACAGCTTACTGAAAAATGGCAACCTTTGCATCTGAAGGTCCGGACGGCCTCGACCATGACTACAGATTTCTAAGTTCTATTTTACCCAGGATGCTCAAGTATATACACATCTGTGAAGTAGCAAGGAACTCAGACTTTCGTCCCATTGCCTCGCTTAACTATAAGAAACAACCATCGTCAGCTCCACCATGAATTTTGCTGCGGCGGATATCTACACCACAGCTCTTGGGCTTTGCCAGCTTACTTGACCTGCGCTTACAAAACGTTACTCCGTATGTCCCCGATTTACCTCTGATCTGCTGGGCACATACAAGAACACAGGAAAATTTAGCACAGCATAGCCACGAGCTCCCTGGGGGCAGCATGGCCTTCCTCCGCCACGAGCGTGTAGTCCATCCGTTGCTATACTATGGAAGCCCCAACTATTCTCGGTAATTCTCGGTAACACCGGATAGTGCGCTCGTGGCGGAGGAAGCACTCAGTTTACGCCTTTGGGTATCGAGCCTTCGACATACTACATGTACTGGTATGTCGAGCGTGCTTGGCTGAATAGTACTTTAGATTATCGTAATTGGTTCTGAAAACTCTTAATTAAGTACTAATTAAGATCGTGCTGTGTCTTCTCTCACTCGAGAATCCACCGACATGTCGATCCCCCCTCCTCCACCTTACGCGCCAGCAACTGGCAAAGTGACAGCTCGGCAGCGAGACGCAGCGATGGATGAGTTCATTCAGCGCGTTCAGAATGGAGAAGAAGACGTCGAAGTCCTGGTGGCGAGAGATGTACCGTCACGGAAGTGGCGAGGCGGATTGCACTACCGAGTCGACTGTTTTAGCGCTGTGATGATCGAAGCTCGGTACTCGGCCTCGGGCAGGAAGGTGGACTTGTACATGACCAAAGTGCGGTCAGATCCGCACAATTTCGTGGTCACAAATGTGAACTGCCAACTCGCGCGCTATGACGAGGCGAACGGCAAGATGCTATTTGTCGGAGGTGGAAACATGGAGCTGGTCGTGCCCGCTACACAACAGCGAATCGTGCGTCGAGCTGACTCAGCCGTGCGGCCGTGGGTGGCAACGACATGAGAGGACCCGATTCGTCCTCGGCTGGTTATTGAGGTGGAATTCCACAACCGAAGCCTGGAAGCGAGTGATCGCTACACTCGAGAATTCTTCGAGTTGATCCCTCAAGTCCGAGCTGCGCTGCTGTTCAAGTTCTTCCGACGTGAGCCCAGAGGAGGACCGTTCGCGTGCGTAGCCATTCTATACCGACGCAACGACCAAGGTGGGGTTTCCATCGCCGACGCCGTGAGCTTCGGAAGCGCTCCACTTGATGCTGCTAGTCAGGATTTCATCGGCCACGAACCGCTGCGGACATTGCCCCTCGCCCCCGTGCGGGGTGGGCAAGTTCGAGTTCTCTAAAGTCCCTGGAACGCTGATGGTCGCGCTTTCGTGCAGATTCCTGCGGCCGACATTTTATCGGGCGCTGGTCAGGTTAACGGTACTGGGGTGCCGGCCGACCCAGCAGCGTTTCCTGATGCGCAGATCGACCTCTGGGGCCTCTACGACCGGCTTGAGTGGTCTGCAGATTTTAACTTCGAGTAGTGTGAAGTGTTAGAGCGTAGCGATTGACAACTTTTTGTATATATTTTTGCCAGCTTGATTTTAAAGGTGAAGAGCAGTGTTGAAGAGCAGTGCATGTAGTCATTAGGAGGATACTAATGGAACCAGTGGGGCGGTGGCTGGTGATGAGCTTAACCAGAGCTTCACGTGCTGGTGCGAATGATTAAACTTTCGTTCCCATCCACAGCTTAGACGATATTACATTGATTTTTCTATTACTTAATTCTTGTTTTTACATGGCCTTCTTATCGGATGGAATGTACCCCTGCGGATCAGTTTGCATCCATTTGCTCGAGTCCTTTCAGTCACAAGTCACAAAGAAACATCTTCCAAATAGCTACTCCCCCTTTCATAAAAGAAAATCGCCCCTGAGCAGCAGACAAAGCCGGCATGTCGGAGGTGTTCGACTCCACCGTATTCGAGTAGTTGAAGCAGCAATGCCCTGGGACTCAAGGCCAAGCAATCAAACATCTCGATCTGACCGAGAAGGACCCCGCGTTTGTAATCGCTGAAATCGGGTCCGTTGGACTTCGCGTCGTGCTCCGGCCTTGTATCGAAGTGGCTTACGGCGTTGATGAAGCAACTGCTAAGGCTGTCGCAACGGTAGCTGCGGATCAAATAAAAGTTGCATTGCGGGATAAAGGCAAGCCCGGTTGGAGCTGCGAGCATCTTAGTCTCCGAGAAGTACTGCTGGTGGCATTCGATGAATTGGGAAACACTGGAGACGCTCGTCACAACCTTCTCACTTACGTCCAGCACTGCTGGGACACGTATCAACAGAGCCCTGACGATATCATTCCGTGTGGGTCAATAATCCAGAGCTCAGGCTACGGAAAGAGTCAAGTGCTGTACCAACTCGCGAAAGAAACTTGCAGACCCGACTCGGGGGTGCGAGTGTTGTACACGTGCAATCGGATGTTCCAATCCACGGGGTTTCCCGCGACAACGGAACCGCTTCGGGACGGGTTGTTTTGCTGGTCTGCGGACCAATTGGCCTTGAAACCGGAGGCAATTTATCGCTACGCGGAACAAAACTGGTCGTTTGTGGGGCACGAATGGATTGAGCTGTTCACCAATCGCCGTGCTGACGATAAGGCAATGCAAAAACTCCAAAGCGTCCAGAATGAACTGAAGAAATCGTCGACGCTGCCGCTGCCGGATAAAGTCGATGATGCGTCGAGCAAGACATATGTGGTCTTGGCGGTGGACTCAGCGGGTGGACTACTTGAGCGAGACAGCGGTGGACTGGACTACACGGGTCTGTTGCGCAAGGTTGGTATTGAAGCAAACACGAATATCCGCAAGGTGAACCCTGAGGGGGGGGCATTTTCGTGATATTCGTGGACAGAAACCTGAAAGTTGCAGGTTTGAGCCCGTCCAAATCTGAAGTTGCCCATCAAGGAAGTGCCAAAGTGTTCCCGCCCTTTGTCCTCACTCACAACCTGGATGTCTACTGGCAGCGCTACTGCGCCGAGTTGAATCTGGCCGACGCTGAAGTTGCTGCGTACAAGCGCGTCGTGATCCAAGACGATCGAGATGAATCTCTGAAGTCGTTGCAGACGATGGGGCGCCCACTGTGGGGAAGTTCACTCTACGCCAAACTTGAAATCGATCGCACACAATTTACTCACGACTCGACATCTGGAGTCATCTGGAGGTCAATGGAGGATATGATAAAACTGGGGGCGGGCAAGTTGCTGGCAGGGCAGTACATGTGGAGCGACAGGAGCTACAGCGATGCGTCAATGTTTGGCGTTGCTGCGATGTTTTGTCGCTTGGGGGTGCAGTTTGAAAGTGGCTACGTACATGGCCCCTTCCTCGCATCGCATTTGATGGCGACGCTATCGTGCACAAGTCGAGATGGCACAGAGGAGTTGGTTGGCTATTCCTCGGATCTGATGCTGGCACTAAGCGCGGCCCACGTTTGGTACGGGCATGAATACGACAGTAAAGGGTGACCATTAACGAAGTACATTCTCCCTCAGTTCCAGAAACATCTTAACCGGTTTGACCTTGGGGTGAACAGCATCAGTGAGCTGATGGCTCGAATCGTACTGTTACTGGCTATGGATGCGTGTGTGGTGACGAAGACTGGAACCCAGTAGTACCCGTTCCGAGGCCAATTTGTACAGCGGCTCCAGAAAGTCACCGCCCACATAGTATACAGCTAATATATTTGGCAACTGCTCACGAACTAGATCATATTATCCTGCCGGAGAAACACGAGCGGAACCGCAAAAGGATAAACTACAAGTGAAGGTCAATGAATAGGAAAAACGTAACGTTGCTGTATTTTTATCAGGAAAAATCTGGCAAAAATTACAAAACACGGTGATAAAAAATCACCGCCCACCTCGTTCCCATACAAAAATCAAGTCACAAATCAGTACTTCGTGTGAGCCCCCTTGCAGGCGATAACAGCGTCCAGGCGAGCCGGCATGGAAAGCACGCACTTGCGAATGACATCGTCGTCGATACTCATCCATATCTCAAGGAGCTTTACCTTGAGGTCCTCAATAGAGGTTGCTGGCTGGCGATTCAGCTCCCGCTTCATGATCGCCCACACGTTCTCAATTGGGTTGAGATCGGGGCTCTGGGCGGGGTGACGAAGGTCATGGAGCCCTAAGGACTTCACGAACTTCGTCGTGGCCTTAGCGCGATGCGCTGGAGCGTTGTCCTGGACGAAGTTGGTAGGCTGGGGTAGACCGAGGAGCTGGCGGGTGATCGGGATCTCCTGTTGAAGCAGGTGTCGGTAGTAGGCGCCGTCCACGGACTTCTCGCAGAAGTGCATCGTGCCGACGCCGTCTGCCGAGATGGAGTACCACACCATCAACGACTTGCGGCTGGACTTGAAGGTCGGCACGACGCACTTCTCATGGAAGGCTTCATGTGTCCGGCGCCACACCGAGACACGACCGCTGGTACCGTGCAGCTCCACCGATGCCTCGTCTGTAAAGAGGACATTCGCCCAGTCGTCCTTCTCCAGATGAGCCAGCCTCTTTGCATAGGCGAGGCGCTGCTTGCGGTGCTTCTTGGAGAGGTAAGGTTTCTTCCTAGCAGAGCGGCCGTTGAGGCCGGCTGCGTTGAGGCGGTTGCGCACCACCTGCGGCGACACCACGCGGCCAGTGTCCTTGGAAACTGCAGCAGCCAGGACCGCCGCGCTTGAGAACCGGTTGGTCTCAGTGTCTCGGAGAATGCGGCGGTAGTAGTGAGCCGGGGGCGGCCTTGGCGCGGAGCTACGACACAGTGGTCATTCAACTTGAAGTGTGCGATAATATCGCGCACTGTCGAGCGGGCCATCTCCAGCTCCCTCGCGATTCTAGAGTAGCTGTAGCCCTTCTTCCACTTGCTAACGCAGAGACAACGGATCTCGTGCGAGTGCTGGCGATGTCCTTGGTCCATAGTTGAGCTTGACTTGTTCGAAGTGAGGTAATAGGAGAATGAGAGCAACTAGCGCGGCAACGATCGCTGCGTTGCCGCCAAAATGCATGGGTTCGATCGAGCAACATTCGTGCAACATTGTACAAAATTTTATATAACTGGCAAGAGGCCAGCCACTGGGCGCTCACTATATTTGCACCTTGTTTTGAATAAACGGTGATTGGCGGAACACTTCCCGCGAACCGATGTTATTGGCTAATGTTTTCGTCTTGGGGTTCGCTGGCGGTTCTACTCGTACCCGCAGCATTGTCTAGCTATTGCCCAAAATCGATGTTGAAGTGCCTGGGCGGTGACTTTCTGGAGCCGCTGTAGATGTGAATTTGTTCATCCAAGCTCTGGGAGGTGGGACACAAGCGCCTTTGTTGAAGTCGACGCTCGCATCCGCAGCCGAAACAACCCGAAAATCGATATTAGAAGGGTGGCATGCGAAATGGAGCGGCTGGAAGTGTGGATACTGCCAGTTTGTGCAGATGTACGACGAACCCACAGAGGATCTGCTGTGGGTTTTATTGGGTCGACGAGCTGCTGGGATTTTTCTGGGTGATGAAGGGGGTACGGATCTGCTTGTCCCGATGTTTAATGGTGAGGAAGTGTCGTTCATTTTAATTCAAGTGGAGGGGGGCAAGGAGCGTGAACATGAGTTTCTAGTGTGTGTCGTGGAAGGTATGCACCCCATGCGTGTGTTTTCAGACAGCAACCCACTACATGGTAAAGCTCCGGGTGATATCATTCGTGTCTATATGAATTTGAATGAGTCAGCGTCGCTGGAAAAACCTGACAAGTTCTTTTTTTATGATGAAAATGAGGGAAACCAACTTGCAGAACTGGAGGAGTCGAAGGAATCTGAAGTGGCAGCGTCTGCGGCGCTGACGTTATGTATTCACTCGGTGCGGGCGGGCGCTTGCGGTTGACGAGAATTTATTTCCAGTTGTTACGGAAACGGTATCGACGATGTTGACGCAAATGGTAAAAACCCAAACATGGTCGCAACGGATGAAGTCCTATGGAGTGGATGTCAAGAAATCTACCGACTCGCCCTTCAACAAGCAAAAGAAGAGTCTGCTGGGACCTTTGATCATGTCTGACGATGCACGATTGGAATTAATATCGCAAATGGCGCAGAGCAGCAACCCCAGCTGTGGATTTGGGGCTGACCAGTCGATGGAGGTTGCCCCCTCATCCCCTTAGTCACAGGCTAACAAGAATCGAGCGACGAAAGGCGTGTGTGAGAACCAGAAGCGCCAATGTCAGTAAAATACGTCGTTGGTGTGTACCGGAGCGAAAAAGGAGCGACGCAGCAGGTGTATGAGCACTAAGCGTAGGTTTAAGTCTGAGCTAAACGAATGTTGCTTTTTGGTTTTGTCGGTGTAGCATCTGCATACAAACTATTCCTCGTATTTTTTGCGGCATGAATTAGTTTGGTATGTTCGTGTCAGTTTGTTTTTAAGCAAGATACGAACTCTTCACTGACATGCTCACACCCCTATGGTGAATGTGAGACCCTAAAGCTCAGACAAAATTCTGCTCATGAAATCCGCTCCGGATCGCGTTGCTGCCACATCCTCTTTAGATAGACTCTTCTCCTTGTATCAGCTCCGTTACAATGCGGTCTGACTTGCGAAGGTAGACTTCCCGTAAAACAGGATCTGCCGCGAACTCAAAAATAATCCTCAACACGTGCGGGCTCAGCATGGTAGCACCAGCTTCTGACTGGGTTCGAGCTCGTTTCGCAAACATAGTTGGTTTTACTACCCACTTGCTGAGAAAAGCGAGCTTGCTCCGTAGCGATAATGGACTGAGCGCGCACCAGATTGGCTGTAGATGGTGGCGCCTGAACTTTGGCTGATAGCGTTCGTAGTCAGGATGCACAACTAGCTCGAGATATTCCAGGTACTTGTTTTGCTCCAGCATACTCAGCAGCGCAGTGAAGGCAGCTTTGGTGCGGCGTTCGTGCGCTCGAAGTTCCGCCAAGTTGCCATCTTCATCTTGGAAGTTATTCACTCGAACTCGGATCCGACGCGCACACTTGGTAAGTTTGTTGTCGTTGTCTGCAAGGACCGTTGCAATCGCTGAAACGGAATCCCAGTTGAGGTTTAGTTCTGGCAGGGGTTCCCCCCTCGCATGACAGTCCCTGAAGTTCAGTCGCGCGTCGACCACCCCTCCGCATAGTGACAACTCCTCCAAGTTCGGACAGCATTGAAGGATTGAAGACAGGTCTCCCCTCGGTGCATCCAGAGTTAACTGTCGTAGCGGGGCCCCGACAGCACCGAAGAAACGCGAGATGCCGTCGAAAAGTGCTGGGAACTCCTTGTCGAGGTGAAGTCTGAGGGAGGTTATACCTTCACCCCTTGACGACTGTTCATCATCGCTGCTGCTGCCACCAAACATTAAATCGCGCCGTTGGACTCGACATTGTCCGTAGCCAGGGACGATACAGTCTACCCAAGTGCTCCTGCCATCGTCACTGAACGTTCGGACACACGGCACCTGCGCGTCGAATGCTATGATTTCCGTCGGCCCATTCCGATCATCAAGCACACACCGAACCAGTGTGCCCGCGCTTAGTGTCGCTTTCCTCGACTTCACGCAGCCAGGTGATGAGTCGAATAGATCTTCTTCTGGATGTTCAGATTTCAACATGGATGTGAACGGTTCCATGTCCACCGTACTCATGCTGCAAACCTTCATCAGCGCCAATGATTGTACAGACGAACTTACCCGAGCTCGCTTGGAGAAAAGCGCATAAGCCAGCCACTTCCAGTACTGCTGGCTCCTTTCCCTGTTGTGTATTTTCATCCAGAGACGCAGCGAGAGAATCTTTGACAGCTGAGTGTGAGCCATAGCGGAACACAGCGCGCCAGCTTCACGGATTTCCAGGTCAGGGTTCCAAATAATCTTGACTTCGCCCACTTGAAGCGGAGGCAACCCAGCACTAAAACTAGGGTGGTAACTTGTATTCGCGAGCTCTGAAGGTCGGCGGGCGCTATCAAATATACTCGACATAAGCTGGCCGAAAGCTTGAGTTGACGACATGCCAATGTTGGTCAGATACACCGATATGAGAGAGAACCACGTATTCTGACGCAACAGAGTCTTGATCGCCGCCCCCATTTCGCCAGGCACAGTGAGAGGCGTCAAGTCCGCAATCATCCGCTCCAAAACAAAAGTACATCTCCATTCTCCTGGCGCCACCGCTGCAGATCGGCTAAACTCTCCCCACTGTTCCTTCACTATTCTCTCTGCAATCGCAACTTCGACAAGCCCCGTTACGTCGTCGTAGTCGTCAAGTGGATCAAATTGAACTCGCACAGGAACATCAAAGTCGAATCCAGACTTCGTTCGCTGCGCATTTTGACCCAATGCAGCGATCCGCCGCAGAGCCTCCCGATATTCCTCGCTAGGGTGGAGGCGCTGGTGAACCCCGCAGAAGAACACAATGTCGTACTCGTAGAACTCGCGATCCTGGCTGGTATTAATAATGACTTGAGCTCCCTGGTCCAGATTTATAACATACCGAATGGGAATTTCCTCTTCGTAAATCGGTTCCCCTTCGACGCCGAGGTCCACCGAGCAGTGCTTCTCCAGTAAATACCTCCACGCAGCGTACTCCACGTGGGCCACAGCGGCTAATAGCGCCAGGGCCTCCCGCGTTTTCTGGAATTGGTTTCGGAAAAATAATTCACGATCTGAATCACTAAATCTGGAAAAGTCCTCCCCCGCCTCCTCCTCCTCCATGGACTCCCGCCTTGGTAGCGACACGCACAAGCTTCGCTTTGTGACGGGCGACTCGGGGAATTTGCCGGCTTGGTAGGAGACGCGGTGCTTGAGAGCGTCGCACCAGGGGGCCAGGAAGCCCCAGCGCTGGTGGAGCTGCTCCATCAGTTCTGCAGATCCCTTGAAACCTGCTGAAAGTGATATATGTGATCGATTACTTTGACTACTGCCTTGCGGTGCTGACGCGGTCTTCTCAAGGTCTACAAGGATCGTATTGTGGAGCTTCCACAGGTCTGCTTTTGTTAAAGAGCTGCTAGGCTCACAGTATGACCCCACGGTCGCAACCTGTATTTGTCTCTCCGAATCTGCTAGAATTACCAACCTTCGCAATGCAGGTGTGGCCAAGTTCAGTGGGTCTTACCTCAAGGGTGTGGAACCGTCCGACCTCAGGTTTATAAAGACTTAAAAGTGTACAACGATCCGACGGGGGAAAGGAGAAGAAGAAGAAGAAGGAGGAGGAGGAGGAGGAATCGACAATTTTGAGGAACCTCGCGAAGCTGAAAGCGAACGAAGGTGAAGTTTAACTTGACAACATGCGCACGACGTCATCAAACCGTCATCGATACGTCTGGACTGCACACGTTTGGCTAGGAAATAGCGAATTTCGTCAGTTTAACTTTCGTCCGGAAGGAAGAAGTGGTGTTCTGGCAAGTGATACAGAGGGCCTGAATTGCGATGATAGGCTTGCCGGGCGACGGGAAATCGTGTTTCCTCATGCTTGTTACCTTCTATCTGGCGTGTGTGAAGAACACGACTATGGTGGGCTGCTTCGACCCAGACCAACAGTAACCTAAGAAGGACTAAGAAGTGCGGGGTTGGATACAGCACCAATTCCTGATGCTGTTCCATAACCTCTGTACAGTAATCGCCCAAGAAGCGCTGGTCTGCAGGCGAGGGTAAGATGAATACGCACTTCTTCAGGTTCCTTCACGTTATTCTTCGTGTTGGTGATGCATGTGGTGTGTCAGTGGCCGCAATGCCACCTTTGTGTGTTGTTTCATTGCTGGCATTCGTGCGAGGTCGAGTCTGAGCAAATGCAGCGACACCTTGCTGCTAGAGCAAGAGACCGGAGTAGCTGCAAAGTAAAATAAATCGTCCTAAACCAGCGACAAAAGGACACGAGCGAGTATGATGTGGCCTGTTATATAATACGATACGATTTTACTTAATCGCCTCCTTACGAAAAAACTCAAAACCAGATATGTTAGTGTAGCGCCTCTCGTCGTGGCCCTCAGGCGTGAGGACATCTATGAATGAGCACAATCATTGATCAGCTTCACTGCACTCGGCCTTTATCATACCAGCAAGCACGAACCGTGACAGCAGGCAGCTACCTATTGAAAATCTGTAGCACTCAGAAACTGGAATACTCTTGTTGCAGCCAAGCCTTGACGTGCTCATCATTGGACTCGTGGACAAGTCTGGAACGAGGTCGCTCACTGTTTCCCTGCCGAAAAGTGGATGGGAAAGTCTCGCGAAGAAAGAACAACATTTCAAACTGGTTCGGCGGGTGGATCACCAGGTTTCGCAGACGTGGGGTGAGGTCGGGATAGTGATCTAGGAGCCACTCGACGACGCGGGCGTGACTGTTCTCGGCAGCATCAACAATTGCTTTGGGCGTGCAACCCTCCGATCGATGACGATAGAGCCACTTTAGAATCTCCAGATGCCCGTTCTTAGCTGCTCGTGCAACCTTCACTGCGATGTACTTCACCACCTCGAAGTGGCCATTGGTCGCCGCTGAATCCATGGCGTTGGTGGAGCAATGACCGTCGCAAACATCATGCAGCCATTGTAGAATGTCCGAATGGCCGTGTTCAGCAGCTAGATCAATGGGTTTTGTTGATCGAATCGGTACGGTCAGGCTGTCGAGATATTGGACGATGTCCATGCGTCCATACAGGACTGCAACTTCGAGAACCCACACGTCTTGTTCTCGGTTCCTGGACGGGAAATGCTCCATCACCCACTTGACTGCATCCAGGTGGCCATAAGCGGTGGCTCGACGCAGCGCCTCTGGTATTTGGTCCGCCATGCCCTCCTCGGCTAGAAACTGCATCACTTCAACGTGTCCCCCTTCAGGTGACGCTGCAAACCAGTGGACGTACTCCGCTCCATTACCCATCATGAGGCCGTAGCAGAGTTCCTGGCCATGAGGATGGAGCACCAGCCACTTGACCATCTCCAAATCTCCAGCTCGGCAAGCACTAATTGTAGCATAGAACCAGTTGTTCCCCCACTCAAAGGCCCCCTCTCTCGGGGGCGGAGGAGGGGAGTGCTGCCGCACAATTCGTTGCATGAGGTCCAAGCGTCCCGTTCCTCCCAGACGAAGAATCGCCCCCACCGCGGCTTTCTCACTCTCGCGTAGAATCCCCGTGTCCAGCTCCATCTCGATCACTTGTGGCTGAAGAATATTACCCGGATAGTCCACGAGGCGCTTCCCCGGCGGCAACAGGAACGAGGCGAAGTCCGAGTGCCCTTTCTTCAGAGAGTACAAAATGGCGCTCTTGATCTCTTCAGGATTTAGTTCATGGGGCGCGTTCATATAGAGCCACCTCGCCACCTCTAATTCCCGTGTACAACGGCGTCCACGATGCTGAACCCTCCCCAGTGGACGATGTTGCCGTCTTCTGCTTCCTGTTCAGGAATGTCTGGGATACTCTGGAACGACACTTCGTCGTCTTGAGCTGACATTGCTGTGTGTTTGTGTCTACCGAATCGCCCAGCGTCGTGCCCCAGGAGGAATTGCAGCACGCCCAAGTGTCCGTTCTTGGCCGCGACCTCCACGACCTCCACGGGCACCACGCAGCCGGACAAGTGGGCGAAGAGCCACGAGACCAGCGCCAAGTCTCCGCGCTCCGCCGCCACCTTCATGGCCTTCCAGAACTGCCACCGGTAGTAGTGCGGCTCCGAGCGGAGGTAGTTGGCGAGTCTCCAGCCGCTGGCTCTGCGGCCCACGGACGTGCAGCTGAGACTCCACATCCAGTCGAGCAGCGACGTGGAGGCGAAGGCGCAGGCCTCGCTCAGCGAGAGGTGGGGCGACGGCCCGAGGAAGGCGGAGACGAGCGGCCCGAGCTGCAGCAGCGCGTCGCCCTCTCGCTGGTCGAGCAGCACCAGCGCCACACTCGTCAGCGTGAGAGCCATCGGTCGGCGTCTGTGGCGGTGGCTTGTTAAGGCTTACTCGATCTCTGATTGGCTGAGTCATATCAACTTCAACTCCTCAATATAATAGCCAATCAGATCACTCCATGTTTCAAACAAAATGCGCGGGAAAAAATCACTCGCTTCAATCGATTGACGGATGCAATGTCCACCGCCTTCGAGCTCAAGGTCGTGGCGCTTGTCCTGCACCCGCACGCAGCCGTCACCGCTCTTGCTCACATTGGGCCCCTCATCTCCTCGTTCCTCGGTCCACCTTCATGTTTGCCACTGTGTGAAGCCTGCTCTTTCGGCTCCGTCCAATTGCTGGACTGGGTATGGACTTCCAGCTGCACTTCCGTCGACAACCGTCCGTCCTCGTGGTCTCTGTGCAATTAATTACCTTCGGTCCGAGCCGCTGTACAGTCAGTGGCAGTTCCGAGAGGGACTGCAGGTCGCCGCCGATCGTGGAGATGTGGCGATGGTCCAGTGGTTCTTCGAGCGCTTCTCCGGTCTGGAGGTGCCTTCGGAGGTGGTGGCGAGAGCTGCGGGCAAGGGCCATCTGCCGGTGCTGGGGTTTCTGCTGGAGCACGACGAAGGACGTGACTGCCAGCACGAGCAGGTGGGAGTGGAACTGGACGAGGATTCGTGGACAGACAGCGTGCCGGTGATGTCCAAGGACTGGAGTGGCCCAGGCCACATTGTGAGGTGGGGAGGCCACGCCACCCGAGAGGCGGTACGCGGCAAGCACTTTGACATTGTTCGGTGGTTGGAGCTGCGCACCCCCTATGTGAATGACGATGTGGAACTTTCAGAAATTCTTCGAGTTGCAGCCAATGGGGGCTCTGTGGCTTTCGCAGAGACCATGCTGCCTCGGGGACAGTGGTGGCGAATTTTCTGCTGGACACGACGCAGTCGGATGGGGTTCAGTGGCTGCTGGACAACAACTTCATCAAGCAACACCAGAGCAAGTCTGCCTCGACGTTCCTCACTCTTGCACGCGAAGGCAAGTTGGAGCTGATGCAGCAGGCTGCGAAGCTCCACGACAAGAAGGGGTTGACCAAGGATTGGATCGACAAGTGGGACTGGGCGATGGAAGTCGCAGCCGAGCGTGGAGATCTGCCTATGGTCAAGTGGATGGCGGAACACCGCACTTGACGAGAGGTGCTCAAGCGTATAAAGGACGACATGGTGTTTGTCATGACGGATATCCCGCGAAGTGCTGCGAAGGGCGGCCACATCGAGGTGTTGGAGTACCTCTTCCAGCAGGGGTGGGAAGATGAGTATGCGTCAACCCTGACAAGCGCAGCAGGTGGAGGCCAGCTTGAGTGCGTAAAGTGGCTGCTTGAGCACGCTCCACCTTACGGCAACGACCACTGCATTGACTCTGCGGGCGTTGAAGCTGCGCAAAATGGGCACTTGGAGATCCTGCAGTTCTTTCACGAACTCGACTCTCCTGCTGCTGCAGAGTCGAATGTGACGCGTACCAAACGAAGAAGGCTCGATCGGGGTACTGAATAGTGGGGTCTCTCCAGTGAGGCCATGGACAAGGCTGCAGCTAAGGGCCATCACGAAGTGCTCAAGTGGATTCGAGAAAATCGGTTCGACGGCTGTTCGAAGAACGCAATGGATGACGCAGCACGCAACGGACACCTAGAGGTCGAGAAATGGTTGCACATTAACACCACAGCTGGCTGCACGACGCGTGCGATGGACCTCGCAGCCCTCAAGGGCCACCTTCAAGTGTGCAAGTGGCTGTATGCCAATCGATCCGAGGGATGCACACCCGATCGGCAACGGCCACCTGCGCGTGGCGGCCTGGCTGCACTCGTTGAAGCGCTATCCTTTCAACAAATTCCCGGAGCAAAACCGACTGTGGCACTATCCAGCCAACGCGTTCGACGTGGTGCTCTTCCTGTCAGTTCTTCACTGCTGAGTTCGGTCGAGGCACCAAGAGCTACATGGCGCACCGGAACCACAGACAAAGCGACTTGCTGGCGGTCCAGTGGCTGGACGAGAAATACCCCGGAGCGCCCACTGAACGAGGCCAAGGAGTCTTGTGGCCGCTCATGTAAATAAAACTAAGCACGGGACAGATTCCGTCGTCTCCCATGTATCCATGTTAAGTTGAAGTTGGAGACTTGAATCTGCCAATCAGAGGACGGCAACGAGCTCCGCCAATCAGAAATCGACTGATCTGGGGTAGCTGGTAGCTCGACGATCATCACTCTTCAACTTGCCAGCTCCCGCACAAGCCACCGCCACAGACGCCGACCGATGGCTCTCACGCTGACGAGTGTGGCGCTGGTGCTGCTCGACCAGCGAGAGGGCGACGCGCTGCTGCAGCTCGGGCCGCTCGTCTCCGCCTTCCTCGGGCCGTCGCCCCACCTCTCGCTGAGCGAGGCCTGCGCCTTCGCCTCCACGTCGCTGCTCGACTGGATGTGGAGTCTCAGCTGCACGTCCGTGGGCCGCAGAGCCAGCGGCTGGAGACTCGCCAACTACCTCCGCTCGGAGCCGCACTACTACCGGTGGCAGTTCTGGAAGGCCATGAAGGTGGCGGCGGAGCGCGGAGACTTGGCGCTGGTCTCGTGGCTCTTCGCCCACTTGTCCGGCTGCGTGGTGCCCGTGGAGGTCGTGGAGGTCGCGGCCAAGAACGGACACTTGGGCGTGCTGCAATTCCTCCTGGGGCACGACGCTGGGCGATTCGGTAGACACGAACACACAGCAACGACCAAGCACACTGCAATGCAAACGGAAGACGACGAAGTCTCGTTCCACAGTGTTCCAGAGGTTGAATCCAAGCGCAGAGGTGCCGGGCATGTGGTGTATTGGGGCGGACGCAGTATCGCACTCGCTATCCAGAATGGGTACCCAGAAGTGGGCAAGTGGCTCTGCATGAACGCACCTCACGCACTAATGCTGACGAGGTGAAGGCAGCTATTGAGGCAGCTCTACACGAAGATGAGTTGGAGATTGCAGAGTTCTTGGTGCCTCCCGATAAAGATCTTCTGGATTACGCTAAAAGCTACCCACGCCCTGGGATGATAGAGAAGCTGTTGGAATCGGGGCATCCCCGCGAGAATACCGAGTGTGCTGCCCATGCAGTACGACGACTCGTGCGGACGGAGCGCGTGGACTTGATGCGGAGGATTATCCAGCTTCACTCTCCAGCTCTGGCACTAGACTCTGAGAAGGCGTTGGAGTGGGGCTATCGCTGGTTCCTGGCCATGAGAACAGCCTGCAAGCACGCTTCGCTGCCTATCGTGAAGTACCTTGTAGAGCACCCGGTAGGTCGGCAACTTCATGACGAGATGCAGCGTGGATATGGAGCCAATCTGGAGCACCTATTCAGTATCGCAGCGGAGGCTGGCCAAGTCGAAGTGATGAAGTTCTTGTTCAAGATGGGGGAATGCCGACCAGCAGTTCAAACCTGCACTGATTGGAGCGGTCGCCAACGGGCATTTGGACGCAGTGATCTGGATCCTCCAGAATTACGACTTCACCCAGCATGAAACCAAGCCTCGCGTCACTGACCAAGCTGCAAGAAGTGGGCATTTGCACATCTTGGAGTTCTTTTACGCCCTCCAGACATCCCCCATCCCGAAAAATATTTTGCCGGCCTGGCCAAGTCGGAGAGGAAACCCATTCTGGAGCATACAGCGTGGTGGTTTCGCTCCACGGAAGCCATGGACCAAGCTGCAAGTCACGGACATCTAGCTGTGGTGGAATGGCTACATACTCATCGAGACCGTCGGGTCATGGGCTGCTCCTCTAACGCTATGGACGGCGCGGCTACCAATGGACATTTGGAGGTGGTGCAATGGCTACATGCTCAACGATCGGAGGGGTGCACAAGTGATGCGATGGATGGTGCAGCGGAAAATGGACACCTTGAAGTGGTCAAGTGGCTTCATGTAAACCGTTCTAAGGGGTGCACGACCCGCGCAATGGATGGTGCAGCGAAGAATGGACACTTGGAGGTGCTGGAGTGGCTGCATCGCAATCGAGCGGAGGGATGCACGGTCGACGCCTTGAACGCAGCTGTGGAGAACAGCCACACGCGGGTTGTCTGGTGGCTGCACTTTCATTTTCCGGACTTGATCCCTTCGAAGGAGAATCTCTGGATCAAGGGACCGAACCAGTTTGAAATGCTGCTGCTCTTACATGAGCTCTACCCGCAGAAATTCGGGGTGGGGAGTTCGAATCGGCCGGTGTTCGGGGTACTTTCGGAGCCAAACGTCGAGCATGTCCAAGAATGGATCCAAGACTTGTACCTCGGCAGGGGATTTCTGACCGCAGTCGTGAATCCATTCGGTTAAGTTTTTTTTTCTACTGAGCTGAGTTCTCAGGAGAGTTGGTGTACGGACTAAGTATTAACGTATCACGATTATATTTTTTGGCTTGGAACACATTCCAATTCGAGACAGCAAACGCTGATGCTATAATTGGCAGTGACTAATAAGGCGCTCATATTCATCACCGTCTTCTATGAAGTAGTAACAGCATGTCCTCGTTTGATGATGTGGTGCAGCGACTTCACAGCGTCTGGCGTCAAGCTCGCAAGCTTTCGATAACATTCCAACCAGAGCTGCGGGGCCACTATTCTTCGGAACGCATTCGAAAGTTGTTCGTCTACAGCCAAACGACGCCGCTATCGTGGACTTTATTTATTAGTCTGGCCTCACCCTTCCCGTGCCTGATCATTCTTATTTTAATCCATGCTGTCCCGCTGGCTTCACCCAGAGATGGCTTCAGTGCCAACTACCTATTTTGGATCCGGGATTTCCTCACAATTGCACTCATGACGCGTGTAATCCTCGAGCAATTCCGTGTCACCGTGCCAGTACTCCACATCAGCGCAATTCAACTTGGTGTAATGCCTATCATCTCGAGTGGAGCAGCTGTGGTGGTGTTCCTGATAGCAATGACGAGCGTCATTGGGTTTCCTTTACCGTTTTCTCTGGTGCTGGGGATCAACTCTGGTTCCTGGTGCTGGTTGCGTGCTTCGTGGGCTTCTTCGGAAGAGTCTTAAGCCAGAACCGAGAGCTACTGAGGGAGCTGCTAAGGGCCATCGTAGTGCTCATATGTCAAGTGCTGTTGACATTCGTATATCCAGCGTACCTGTACAGATTTATCAGCGTCAGCGCAGAGAACCAGAAGTTCTACGTCATGCTGCTCCCTATCATCAAAGTTGCCGCCAGAAACTGGATCAGTTATTGTCTGGGCGACAACTATGACTTGATTCCACAGGCCATGATTTTTAACGTCGACTTGTTCAACGCTCTGTACGTGTCCAGCTCGATGGAGAACGCTAACTCGAGCACTACGGTGGTGCAAATGGTTGCGTTGGATATTCTTCTCGGATGCGTGTCTTTATCGGACATTAGGCATCTGAGTAACGCAATTATTTTCCTGCGTCATAAAATACCTGCGGACCACCCTCTAAAGACCGCAACTTTCATTGAGATCGCTCTGGAAATCATCGATGAAGACCCCAGAGCGAGGTCTCGGCTTTCTGTTCTTCGTTACGGTCCAACCATCACGTCCTTTGAAGTTGTCAACGTGAAACATTTTGGTTCGCTTCTGCAAGTCGATATGCCAGCAAAACAGAAGATACGGGATACCAACTCAGACGCCCTTGGTGGAGATATTTTCCAACAAGGAGCGCCAGTGGTTTCTCGAACGCAGTGCAAGGACGCTGTTTACGACTGAGTTTGTGATTCTGGTCTTGTATACGAAAATCATCATCCCGCTCATCTATTGTGCGTACTTTGCTGTCAACTCAATCATCCGTGGGTTTAATACTGAGGTTCGATTGCTTTTTGCACAGGTATATACACTGCGGGGATGTTCTTGCTGCCCAATCGTGACTACTATCCGCTGCTGCAGCCCTTTGTTGCTTCCGAATTGGTAAACAACCTTGGACGCGTGATTGTATTCGGATTCATTGAGCTCGGTTTAATGCTGGTGAAGGGCTACCTTATCCAGGGTACGTTGGGAATATCGGTGGTACACTTGCTTTCCTTTGTACTGGATCAAAGTTGGCAAATGGTTCAATCAAATCTATTTCTGTGGATTTGCTATACGATCCAGAACTCGTTGGAGCACAATGGTAGGTTTGAAAAAAATCGGGTGCCGAGTGTATTAGAATTCGTTTCTCACCTGTATTTTCACAGGTGCCGACTTTAGTTTCACGTTCTCCTGGCTAACTACAGGTTCAGTCTGACACTGTTTGCCGGACCAACTTGGATGGTTTAGTATCGTCGTAGAGAATATGATTTTCACTCTCTTAGGAACGTCAAAATCGAAACCGGATTTTCCACACAAATTTTTTTTCTCTGAAGCGATCCGCTTCGATGCTATGGAACGGTTGGTGCAACCCAAAGAAGAAAACAATGTTGTACTCGTGGGTCTCCAGATTGCGGTACATGCCTGTATGGTCTCATTGGTCGAGATTTACCACATAGCGAGTTGAGGTTTTTGGGGGGAGTACACTCGGTCCCCAGACCCACCAAGCAATCGGTCCGTCTTGGTGTCGAAGATCTCGACGTTGTGCGTGTCCACGAAGTACCGCGCGTTATACTGGCAATTGAGTCTCTAGAATATAATCCACGCAGTATGGCCAACGTGAGCCACCGCAGCTAATACTGGCAGCGACATTGCCTCCCTAGTATTCTGGAGCTGCTTTCATATGAAATTCTTCAAGATCTGAAGTGCTAAGACTGAAACCCTCGCCGCTGGTCAAAGGCTTGAGGTGGACCCTTTCGGGTAGCCAGACACTTAAGCTCCGGTCCTTGAAGTGCGACCACCTGCACTCGCTGCCTATGTAGCTGGCTTCCTTCAGTGCCTCGCACCAGGGGGCCATTTTAGTGGAAAATCTGCCACAAAGAGAGAAAAATCCGACAATCGCAAATAAACAATCCGCTACTATCGAAAATCTGACCAATCAATCACGTGTATCAAATTTTGGTCCCATTCTGCAATTCACTGCAATGTTGCCGCAACTCACGTGTGTGCGGCTGGTACTGCAGCACCAGCGCCACGCCGGCCCTCTGGAGCACTTGGGACCGCTGCTCTCGAGCTACCTGGGCCCGTCCCCGACCCTTTCGCTCGCTGCGGCCTGCGCCTTCGGCTCTCTCCGCCTCCTGGACTGGATATGGGCCAACAGTGCCCAATCCGCAGACACCAGATCCCTCACCTGGACCCTCAATAACTACCTCCGCTCCGAGCGGGAGTATTATTTGTGGCAATTCCGGAAATCGACGGAGGTTGCCGCAGCTCGTTGCGACTTGGAAATGGTCAAGTGGCTTTTTGCCCATTGTTCCGACTGCTTCGTGCCGGTTGAAGTGGTGGAAGTTGCTGCTAAAAATGGGCACTTACCCATTTTGAAGTTCTTGCTGGAGAATGACGCTGGGAGATACTACAAGCACAGCCACACTGCCATGGCAGTACCAGATGGGATCGTCCCGTACCAGAGTGTTCCTGAAGTTCCAGAGCAGGAAAAGGGCGACGGAATTGTGGTGCATTGGGGTGGGCGCAGTATGTTGCACTCTATTGAACAAGGTCACGTGGAGATCGCTCGGTGGTTAAAGGAGAACAGTCCACACCAAATGGACAACGACGAGATTCGCTGGGCGGTGGAGTACTCTCTTCGGGTTCCGGATATGGATCTGGCGCTGTTTTTCTTGCCGGAAGGGAGGTCAATTGTAGAGTTTGCCCACGATGATCCACACCCAGAGACTGTGGAGAAGCTGCTGGAGGAGGGGTATACCCGCCAGGATGAACACTGTGCTGCTGTTTCGATCTACATGCTAGCGAGAGTTGGGAGACTCGACTTGATGCACCGCATCGTGCAGCTCCACTCTCCACCTCGAGCTCGCCCGCGTTTCGACTGGTCCAGTGAGTGGTTCTTTGCGACCAAGGAGGCGTGCAAGTTTGGAGATCTTTCGGTTGTGCGATGGTTGATGGAGCACCCTATTGGGAAACGTGTGGCCGAAGCGTACGAACATCAGCACAGCGCGGGGCCGGAACATTTCTTCGCTCTGGCAGCGGCAGGAGGGCACGTTGAAGTGATGGAATACCTGGACAACGAGGGGTATTCCGACAGCTTTAAGGATGCTGCTATCCTGGCTATCCGCAATGGTCACTTGGAGGCGATAAAGTGGCTGCTGAGGAACCATTCCTACTTTTCAGATACCTTCATGGTAGAAGAAGCTGCGAGATGCGGACGTATAAACTTCCTGCAGTTTTTCCATCAGGCGGACGATTCGAAGGACGTTGAGAGTATCCTGTCTTGGTTCCGGAACGCGATCGATGTGGCGGCGGGAAAGGGCCATCTCGCTGTCGTGCAATGGCTACACGAAAATCGGTCGGACGGGTGCACGACCAGAGCGATGAACAACGCAGCGAGAAATGGGCACCTTGAGGTGGTAAAGTGGCTGCATGAGAACCGCAGCGAGGGCTGTACGACCAGGGCCATGGACAAGGCGGCATCGAACGGCCACCTCGACGTGGTCCAGTGGCTTCACACGCACCGCTCGGAAGGGTGCACCAAGAAGGCGATGGACTTGGCTGCTGCGAATGGTCATCTCAAGGTGGTGCAGTGGCTCTATGTGAACCGGAAGGAGCGGTGCAGTGCTAAGGCTTTCGAAAAGGCATTGGAAAACAGCCACTTGGTAGTGGCGTGGTGGCTGCATGGGCGCATGCCGACCTGGAATCCTTCTGTGGACACGCTGCAGATCCAGTCCCCCAACCAATTCGACATCCTGCTGTTCTTGGACGAGCACTTCCCCAAACTTTATGACGCCGGAGGCCCGACCCAGCCCCTCCTCGGGTTTGTCATCAAACCAAACGATCGCCACACGGTGAAGTGGATTCGGGAAAAACACTCGATCATTATTGACGTGCCATAGGGGGGGCGAGTTTTGACACGTCGGTGCAGCTGACTCGAGCTCATTTTTGCATCAGTTTTGTCGGTGAGTCGAGCGGGGCTACGTAGGTCATAGTTGAATACGAGCTTCGCGATAGGTGAGAAGTAATTGACCGTATTTTCTGAGAACTCATTTAGTAGTATTCGTCTTACTACTGTAGAATCATTTGAAGCAAAACTCGGTGCATACGAAGTGTCCTCCAAAGCGAGGTTTGCCATCTCATAACTATGCCATCGGGTGTTGCAGGCTGCAAAGGTTCACCAAGGGGAACGTTTGCTGCAGCCAGCTGAGGATATACGCGTCGTTGGCCTCCGAGTGAATACCCACGATAGGGCGCCTGGGGCTGCCCAGGTCGAAAAACACGGGGTAAAACTTGCCTAGCAGGAAAATCATGTCGAACTGATTCGGAGCTTGGATCCAGTACTGTTGCTTTGGCGGCATGAGCTGCGGAAGATGATGCTTCAGCCACCAGACCACCTTGACGTGACTGTTCTCGATGGCACCAACAAGTGCATCCCTCTGAGCGTGCTCAAACAGCCACTTGACCACGTCCAGATGACCGTTCTTCGCAGCTCCATCCATCGCTTTCGTTGTGCATGGAGCCTTCGTGTTCGTGTGGAGCCATTTCACGACATCACGATAGCCATGAGAAGCAGCTTCATCCATGGCAGCAGCTGTGCACCTTTCCGAGCGGTTCTGATATAGCCATTTTCCTCTCTCTCTTCAAGAAGGCATATGGGGGAAAACAGAGCTGCTCATTCTTCGTTAAATGAGGCTTGCCTTCGAGTGGCTTGCGTAGCAAGGCTCGAGGAGGCTGCCCCAGAGTGTGATGTGGTGGGTGAAAATTGGCTACGCGCTGCCTGAGGTGTTCGAGGCCTGCGCGCACTTGAACTTGTCGCCCGTAGCCCTTCGCGCTGACGGAGCGAAAGTCTAAATGAGCAGCTCTACCTACACGACTTCGCCGACAACTACCGCATCAGAACCTTGCACCCACGGTTGGTTACCAGCGACCGGCTGTGGGATGAAGAGGACAAAACTGACTGCGTCGACGAGGCCGCTTGCGACGCCGCGGACTCAACCGCCTCGGGGGTTTCTTGTCATTCAGCAACTCGAGATTCTTGTCGGGAAACCCCCTGACGTCTACGTTGAAGTTGCCCTTGGACTCCAGCATGCACATACACTTCATTCCGATCGAACCCGAAAAGCGCGCTTCCGTCATCGCTGCGCTCTGCCGGAAACTTCCCATTCACCACAGCGAGATGTCCGTTTGCAGCAGCATCGCCCATGGCCTTCGTTGAGCACCCTTCGGAGCGATTCTCGTGCAGCCACTGCACAACCGCCAAGTGGCCTTCAACAGCGGCCACATCCATCGCACCATGCGACCACAACCCAGCGAACTTGTCCACATTAACGCCATGGAGAAACTGCAAGATCTCCACTCGACCTGCGCTTGCAGCAGTGTTAACCACCTTGTCGACGGATTCAGGGTTATTGAACGAGAAGTTCCGAAGCAGCCACTTGGCAACCTCCAAGTGGCCTTGGTCAGCGGCTTGGAACAGTGCGCCTTCAATTTGACCATATCCTCCGTTCTGGAATAGATACTCCACCATCTCCAGGTTGCCTGCCTGCGCTGCCAGAGCGAAAAAGTTATTCAGATAATCCTGTTGGTGAGTGTTGAATATCACGCAAAGGTCTTGTCCAGTTGGGTGCTTGACCAGCCACTTCAGCATCGGAAGATCTCCGGCCGTGATTGCATTCCGGACAGCTCGGTACCAGGGCCTGAACCAGTTAAAATCACTCGTCGGCGGTGGCGGCGAGTACAGCATCATGATCCTCTGCATCAGGTCAAGACGTCCCTCAGACGCCAGCTCACATAGCGAATATGCAGCACACTCCCGGTCCTGTCGAAGGTACCCAGAGTCCAGCAGCATCTCAATCACTTCGAGCTGCGGACTAAACGTCGCAAAGTCCAGCAGGTTCTTGCCGATTGGGACCAAGAGCTCCGCCAGCTCCATGTCGCCCTAGGTCAGAGCAGCTTCGATGACGGCCTTGATCTCTTGTTCACTGTGGTGGTGAGGCGCGTTCTCAACGAGCCAGCGAGCCACATTTCGGTGGTCGTTCAAGACCGCAAGCAGCAGACTCTTGCCGCCCCAGTCGACCAGAAGCCCCGGTCCGTTCCACCCCTTGGGCAGCACAGGGGTGCTCTCGTGCCAGACGTCGTCTTTGTTCTCTGCGGGCATCTCCACCCACTGCCGCTTCCAGTATCGAGCAGTATCGTGCTGCAACAAGAACTCAAGAACTTCAAGACACCCGTGGTGGGCGGCTATCTGCACCACCTCCACCACCACTGCACAGCCCGAGAAGTGGCGGAAAATCCACCGCAGCAGCTCCATGTCGCCCGTCTCCGCCACGAACTTGAGGCACTTCCAGAGCTGCCAGTAGTTGTAGCACTGCTCAGACCGCAGGAAGTTGCAGAGGCTCCAGCCAGGCGGTTTGCGCTCCTGGGGGCCGCAGCTGAGGCCCCAGATCCAGTCCAGCAGCTGGGTAGAGCGGAAGGTGCACGCGGCACTTAGGGACAGCGTGGGGGAGGGCCCCAGGAACCCCGAGACGAGCGGCCCCAGCTCGTCCGAGTGGAGTCGGTGGTGCAGCACCAGAGACACAGACGTCAGTTGTACCGCCATGGAGGGGGGGTCTGTGAGGTTCTTGGCGAGTTGACGAATGACAGGGATGTATGCAGGTTCGAGCGCTCTCATTCGTTAATCAACTTCAATGTAGCCATTTTGTTGTATACGCTGACATTTCCACTTTTTACATTTTTTTAGCATTGCTGTTTTTCTTCGCGTACTTCGATCATTTCGACCTGGTGTCGCCGATGTCTGTGGAACAGAGCGCGAAGAATTGCGTCTTTAGCCCATGAGAGGCCACATTACAAGCTGGTGTCTTTCTGTTGGACGTCCTGGGTCAGCGATGAGAAAATCTCCTCCCCTCTTCTTCTCGTACAAAAGATCGCTCTTTGTGCCGCGCCCAAACTCTAAAGTGAAGAGCGTGGGGATGTTTGCTTGGAGGAACAGCACCATGTCGAACGTATTTGCCGGATATATCCACTACCGGTTGTGCTCCTTGGGGATATGCTGCGGGTAGTGCGAGTGGAGCCATCTTGCAACCCGCAAATGGCCATTGTCGACTGCGTACTTGATCGCGTTGGCCGTGCATCCCTCCGATCGGATCGCATGTAGCCATTGCACACCTGCAGGTGGCCCTTCAAGGCAGCACTATTCATTGCGCGCGTCGAGCACTTGACTTTCGTGTTTGAGTGCAGCCATTTTACGACCTCCAAGTGCCCATTCAGCGCGGGTGTGTCCAAATCAATTTCCCACCTCTCCTCGAAGTGGTGCGCATGGATCCATTTAACGACATCGAGGTGTTCTTTATCCGCAGCCTCCTTGAACGCCGAACTGGAAGACGCTCGGCACCACCAATTGATTGCATGCTGTGTGCGCCTTCGTTTTGAGTCAGCCATTGGAAACACGTCCAGAGATTTCGGACTCGCTCAACTCATGGAAAAACTCTAGAATGTGTAGATGCCCATTCCTCGCAGCTGAGTCAACTGCCGAAGTAGCGTAATGCTGATCACCGTAAGGTGGAGCGTGCTCGAGCATCCACTTAACGCACTCCAGGTGGCCTCCACCAGCTGCGTCCACCAGTGTACTGGCGTCTTCGTCGGGCAATCCAAGCTTAACCCCTCTAACCCCGTATTCTGTATCCTACAGAATAAGCGTTGTCACAGGACATAATATCCAGCAAACTTGTCCTCTCTTTCGAACTTCGCATATGGATGTTTGTATAGCCCGTATTGTGCACATCTTCCTGTTAGATTAGCGATGGGAAGATAAACGGGGTTTATTCCGCGGTAATAGACGGACGAGTATAAACCACCAACAGGTTTGAAAATTCGGGTGGAAGCCTAAAACCGCCGCGTGTCAGCCACTCGTACTTTCCTTCATTCCGAAACTGCGCTGTTCAAGACGTCGCAATGCAAGCTTTGTTGGGGCCCGTCGAGCGCGCCCAAGTGGCCAAGGACCATGGCCGAAGACGATCATGATGAGCGCCATTGTGATCTACGGGTAAGCGAGAGCGTGTACTTTGCTCTGTAACATTGTACTAGTGGTATATTGATTCTACGTTGCGATGTTGATTACCAGACCTGGTGATCTGACCCAGACGACGCTATGAGCTCTCGCGTGTGGCCCGAATGGCAGATCGATTGCGGAGTCAGCGCACAACCTCATCGGTTCCTACGAAGCCGGCTACAGCCGGGTCTACCGCTATATTGTAGCTGATGCAGTGGCTACTCAAGAGGCTACAGAAGAAGCGCCCCTCATGGTGTGGCTACACCGGAGACTACATAAGAAGCGGTAGATGCTACGACGGATGCTACAGAAGAAGCTCTCCGCGTGCTGAGGTTACACCGGAGATTACAGAAGAATGGACAAAGGCTACGACGGAGGCTACCGATGAAAGCGGCAGGAATGGAGCAGCAGTGCCGGAGGCTACAGAGGAAAGCGGAGGCTGCCAAAATGGCGAAGATGACCCACGGCTGGCGCGAACATTGAAGAGCGTGCGCATGTAAAGGAAGAAGTAGACGTTGGCATGAATATCATATATTGTCCTGTTTCGTACAAGAGGAACCGTGTGTAGTGCGTGTCATTACGGGCTATTGAGCATGCAAGCTCCCTGGTGTTGTTAGAGAGACAATCGTAACAAGCTTGTTAGGTGGGCTAAAGAAACCTAATGATACGCTAATGTCAAGCACAAGGAAGAATTCGCCCAGTTCCTCCTCACTACGTCAGTTAGGAACAGGACGATTTCTTCCTCCGCGTTTATCGCGACGTGCCGAAGATGGGTGGCTGGAGCCGAAGTATGCTGCCTTAGCAGCCTTGCAAGGTATTACCATGTAGCAGGTTTTGAGCGTGCTCTACGCTCGCCACGGCCAATAGAAGCTCGCCATTTCGGCATATGGTGGATACATTGAGCATGTTTTGTTCACTTTCGTAGCTGTTCTGTGCACAATGTACCCAGCGCTTGACCGCAAGATGCGAAAGGGCTTCCAACAGCAAATCTTTGACAGGTTTTGAAGTATACTTTAATCAAGTCTAATGCTTATTTTGTAGAATACAGAATAAGGTCTGGGGCTAGAAGAGACACTCGGGTAGTTCTATGTGACCTCCTTTGGTTGCGTTCTCGAGAACGTGGCCAAGGTTGAAGACCATTGGATCTTTAACTCGGTCCAGCACTGCGCGCCCCGTTCGGTGCTCCGCCATCCACTTCAGCATGGAGTCTGTCAACTTGCTGCATCATCCCTTCTTGCGCTAGCGTGTAAATCGTGGCTGCCGATTTGCTCTGGTACTTCTTGATAAAGTTGTTGTCCAGCAGCCATTGAACCCCGTCCGACTGCGTAGTCGGATGCAGATAATTTACCAGACTCTTACCTGCAGGTACCAGCGACGCTGCAAACTCGGCAGAACCTCCATTAGCAGCGGCAAAGATGATATTGTTCAGCTCATCCTCCCCGTTTGTATGCGGGGTGTGTTCATCCAGCCACCGAACGATGTCAAAGTGCTTGCCGCGTACCGCCTCGCGAGAGGCGTGGCCTCCCCACCTCACAACGTGGCTGGTCCACTCCAGTCCTTGGGCATCACCGGCACGCTGTCCGTCCACGAATCCTTCTCCAGCTCCACTCCCACCTGTTCGTGCCGGCAGTCACGTCCTTCGTCGTGCTTCAGCAGAAAACCCAGCACCGGCAGATGGCCCTTGCCCGCAGCTCTCGCCACCACCTCCGAAGGCACCTCCAGACCGGAGAAGCGCTCGAAGAACCACTGGACCATCGCCACATCTCCACGATCGGCGGCGACCTGCAGTCCCTCTCGGAACTGCCACTGACTGTACAGCGGCTCGGACCGAAGGTAATTAATTGCACAGAGACCACGAGGACGGAAGTGCAGCTGGAAGTCCATATCCAGTCCAGCAATTGGACGGAGCCGAAAGAGCAGGCTTCACACAGTGGCAAACATGAAGGTGGACCGAGGAACGAGGAGATGAGGGGCCCAATGTGAGCAAGAGCGGTGACGGCTGCGTGCGGGTGCAGGACAAGCGCCACGACCTTGAGCTCGAAGGCGGTGGACATTGCATCCGTCAATCGATTGAAGCGAGTGAATTTTTTCTCGCGCATTTTGTTTGAAACATGGAGTGATCTGATTGGCTATTATATTGAGGAGTTGAAGTTGATATGCCCCAGCCAATCAGAGATCGAGTAAGCCTTAACAAGCCAAGACACAGACGCCGATGGCTCTCACGCTGACGAGTGTGGCGCTGGAGCTGCTTGGCCAGCGAGAGGGCTGCTGAGTGGGCGATTTTTCGTCTGACGGGAAGGACCCATGTGTCACGGGTCACGTCTGAGACCTCAACTGACAGGTTTCCTGACGATGCTCGAAGGCGCGTTAGAGCAGGAAGAGGCGCGACTTCAAGAGGAGCATGGGAAGGACGGGCTAGCATATCAAGTGTGAGTGGTTATCCCACTCTTCAAGGCAAAGATGACGCGAGATGGCGGGCTGGGCGCGGAACGTTCGGTCGCCAGCCGCCAAGGACGGGTGTCATGGACGCCAGGAAGCTCGTGCACGGGAGGTGTGGCGTCCCCAAGTGGTTGCAGTAGGAAAGGAAGCGGGTCGGCGGGGTAGCCGTCGGCCGCGTATGATGTGGTGAAGGATTCAGTCGTGAATTCTCCTCGTTGAAAGCAAGAAACCCTTTGCATTTTTACGAGATTGCCTTCCTTTCTTCTAGCGTCTTACCAGCAAGCTACGCGTCTACTCTTTGTTGGCCAAAGTACTCGACCCTAACGGAGGAGGACCGCGACACATGCAACGGATTGTGACTCCGAGGAAGGGGTCCATTGACAACTGGCCGTGACATCGGTTCCATCCGAAGCCATCTCTCAATACCGTCCATCAAGTCGAGTCTAAGCTCAAGAAACTTCCCCTTCATTTCATTACAAGATAGTCCCTGTGGCAAGAAGACCATGTGGGGGTAACTCGACGACGTTGTGTTCGAAGTGCTGAAGCAGGAGAGCCCCAGCCATCGTTTCAAAAAGCTGCTCAATCTGACTAAGTACCAAGCCGAAGGTATCGCATATAGGACTGGACCAGGTGGACTGCGCGCTCTATTGCGGCCTCGGATCGAAGTTGCCTACTACGCTGACGAAAACCTTGCTCAAAGAGTTGCAAAGGAGGCAGTGGACCAGCTAAAACCGAAGCTGGAGGAAAAGGGCCAGTACAGATTTGACGAATTGGAAAATATTGCGGACGCTCGTGATAAGTTTCTCGCCTTCTTGCAGCGGTGCTGGGAGACGTACCAGAAAGTCCCCGATGGTATCACACCTTGTGTAGCAATTATTCAGAGCTCGGGCTCCGGGAAGAGCCAATTGCTGTACCAACTCGCGAAGGAGACTTGCCGGCATGACGTTGGCATTCGAGTGTTGTACACGTGCACGCGTGTTATTAAATCATGGGAATTCCCAGCGACAACGTACCGGCTTCGGGAGTGGCTGTTTAGTCAGTACGACAACTTCCTCACCTCGCATCTGAAACGAATTTATTACTATGCACTGGCAAACTGGTCGACAGTGGGCCACGAATGGATTGAAGTGTTCACAAGCGCCAACGCAGACATTACTATTGAAGAAAAGCTCAGCATGATTAAAGAATTGAAGATCCCAGCCAGTCAACCGACCAAGAAGGTCGTGGTCTTAGGGAAGAGCGCAAAACAGTTCATCGGCAGCTCAGTTCAGCCTAGGTCATGTTAACAACACATGCTCATATCTTCGGATGGTTCCCCGCCTGGAAAAATTCATCAAGGTAATCAATCACACATGACACGGTGTAATTACACGGTGTAATTATGCAGTCCTTAGCATCTACTGTATCACAGAGGGCAACCAATAGTTCATTTAGGATTGAAAATGAGCAGGGTTGCGAAAGACTACATGTAGCCCCTGGATCTGGTGGGCGGGTTGCAAGAAAATGTTCTGCGGGGTGCGTATGTTCGCTGCTGCTACACATTCCATTATAAATTATTAGTCGAAACGAGTTATCTCTTTGTCCAGGTATTATTAGCGTCCGTGGTGCTGATAGTTAGTACTTGATAGTTAGTACTTGGTTGCACTTGGACACGAAGCCCGCGCATGGTTTCATCTGCACTCCTGCTCACACTCTACATTAAGAAGGTGTTATCATCGCCACTAATAGCGTTTCACTCGGTAGCTGCATACGGCTCACCTTACTTCTTCTTTAGCTTTACGGAAGCTGCAAATGCCAATGCAGTGCTCCATCAATTTGTCTTGACCCACTGGTTGGGGGGGATAGCGCGTATATAGCCGGGTTTTGAATGACTGTGCCGCGCATATCGACCATGGTGCCGATGCTGAGCGCTGTAAAAAAGTGATTCAGTGTGCTGAGCTGGTATGACCGCGCACGACTGCCTCACAGTTGCTGTTAGCAGCAACATGCTAGCTTGCGCTAGAGTATCGTGCATCGTACGGCGACTTCATGGTGGCAGTGCTGTTGCTCAAAAGCCGCACTTGACAGCATGCCACTTCTGTGACGTGCTGCCGTACCGGGTTGCTGTAACTTGACCCCTGAGCGAGCGGTGGCGGCCGTGTTGTCTGCTCAGCTGAGTGCTGCGACCCACGTAGCATGTGCATTACTTAAATACTTGTGGTGACCTCACGAGTGATGTGCTGTTGACCGATTCATTGAGCCTGTACTCAAACGGTATACAAAGCGAACACGGCGTGTGTACCGTGTTGGTGCAGTTACAGGTGTTCGCAATTGATCGAAGGGCTGACTAAAGTACACGGTGTTTGTGCCGTGTCAACAAATCGGCTGAACCTGTACTCAAGCGTTGTACTGGGCTTACCATGATGATTCTAGGTGCTGATAGACGATAACGATGCTGAGTCTCTACATGAGCGACGCGATGCAGGGCATACCGTGTTGTTGGTGCTGTTGCTCGACTATGACAGCCTATAGTGGAGCTGTGTACTTATCGTACTCGTCCTAGAGCCAACCTGCAAGTGTAGTGTAGTTACTTGTACAGTAGAGGTAACCTGACCCATTGCCGCCAGATATATCTTTCTTAGAAACCATGCGTGCCTCGTGTTCGCGATTATCTTTTGACAGTCGTGTTATAGCAATCATGTGGCTAAGCTTTTGTGCATGACCTGAACCTGAACTGAACTGCCCCTGAACTGATAAAAACGCTACCGGTCTTAGCTGTGGACTCAGCCAGTGGGGTGGTTAATTGGCACTTAAGTGGGGCGGACTACACGTGGCTTTTGCGCAAGGCCGCTATCGAAGCTAATGAGTTCATTCGCAAGTCGAATCCAGAGGGTGGCCTTCTCGTGGTGTTCGTGGACAGAGATTTGGAAGTCGCAGGGTTAACCCCACCTCCATCAGCAGACGCGCATCGAAAGGTGCTGCCACCCTTCGCCCTCACTCATAATCTGGACGTCTACTGGAAACGTTATTGCACCGAGTTGGACCTGGCTGACAATGAGATTGCTGCGTACAAGCGTGTCGTAGCCCAAGACGATGAAGGAGAATCTATGAAGTCGTTGCTGTCAATGGGGCGTCCGCTATGGGGCGTCCGCTATGGGGGAGTTCACTTTACGCGAGGCTGGCCATTCGCAAGGAAAGGAACTCCTCTACGGCTAGAGTTGTGTATCGTTCAATGGAGAAAATGGTTTCACTGGCATCGATCAAGTTGCTAGCGGGAAGCGGTGGATTCACATGCTATAACCATTTCGGCGTAGCTTCAATGTTGTGTCGATTGGGGGCGCAGTTTCGATCCACCTCAACGCTCGCGCCGTACTTCGTTTCGAACTTAATGGCTACTCTATCGTTCGTGGGCTAGAACGGTAACCACCAGCGGAGTGGCTATACCTCGGACCCGATTCTGGCGTTAGGTGCAGCAAGGTTATGGCACGTGAGAGACGACCAAGCATAGGACGATATTCTCCCTGAATTCGTGAAACTCCTGGAGCAAAACCATCTCGAGTTGGGAAGCATCGATGAAATGGTGGCTCGAATTGTACTGTTACTGGCGGTGGATGCGTGTGTAGTGGCAGAAAACGACAATATCGAGTTCCCGTTCCGAGGCCAATTTGTGGCTGTGAACTTGTTCGTGCAAGCTCTAGGAGGTGGCACACAAGCGCCTTTGTTGAAATCCACGCTGGCTTCCGCAGCCGAAACAATCCGAAAAACGACGTTCAAAGCATGGCAGGCGAAATGGGAAGGCTGGAAGTGCGGGTTCTGCCACTTTGTGCAGATGTACGACGAGCCCACTGAAGTTCTTTTGTGGGTTTTGTTGGGCCGACGAGCTGCTGGAATCTTCTCGGGTGATGAAGGGGGTGCGGAGCTGCTTGTCCCGATGTTTAATGGTGAGAAAGTGTCGTTCATTTTGATTCAAGTGGAGGGGGCGAAGGTGCGTGGAAATAATTTTCCAGGGTGCGTGGTGGAAGATATGCACCCCATGCATGTGTTTTCGAAGGGCAGCCCACTGCATGGTAAAGCTCTGTGTGATATCATTTGCGTCTACATGAATCTGGAGGAGTCGGCGTCACTACCAACGGAAAACCCGGATACTTTCTTTATTTGTGAGGAAAATGAGTCAAGCCAAGTTGTACCGCTAGAGGGGGAGTCAAAGGAGTCTGAAGTGCCAGCAACGCCTTGTTCTACAGCAATGGCATTGTGTGTTCACTCGTTGCGGCCTTGGGATCTTGCGGTCAAAGCACAAAATGTTCCTGTTGTCACGGAGAGTGTCGCGAAAGTATTGACGCAATTGATAACGTCTGAATGTGAAGCCAAGAACTCTGGCGACTTGAGCTTGGGTACTCAGTGTCATGCTATGGGGAGGAGGGGTAATGATCGTGCCCGATGACGAGCAGCTGGAACAAATATCGGGTATAATACCAAGTGAGCTGGCGCTGAGGAACAAGTGCAACATTGCGCCGGTGCCTGATCAGTCAACGAAGATTTCTCACCAGTCTCCTACGGGGGTCAACAAGAAACGAGCAGCGGATGAGGAGCACGAAAACCCGAAGCGTCCATGCCAGTAAAAGGCTTTGCCGAATGCAGCAACAACAGTACTGAACTCGTTACTCCCACTTCGTTGCATTTCTCTAAATGCAAGGTGAACACATTTCTTCCCGTGCTTTAAGCGGTTATTCATATTTTTACGCGGTAATATTCATTTTCACGATAGGCGCCGCAATTCGTACCGCAACCACACACGCACGCTGAGGTGCGTGTTGTATGATAGTCGGCGTGGGTCGTTGGTCTCATGAAAGCTGTGTGATGCCGCTCGTTTTTCACGGTATCGGTCATTTTGTAAGATACCTAATGCCAGATAAAGATACAAGCCCGAGAAGAATGCCCAAGCATCAATCGCATCTTCAAATTTCATTCAAATACCTTTTCCAGCATTGCCAAGGATGGGTCCATCGATCATCACTACAGTAGCCACCCCGCAGGAGACTGATGGAAATACACGCGGAAGTCGACTTCATCGGCTCCAGTCGTTATTAAAAAAAACGAAGATGCCTTTTACGCTGCTGTGTGTGGGCCTCGCGGTGCGGCAGCAGCTCGGCGATAGAGACCTGCCGGAGATTGGGCCTCTGATCATGAACTTTTTGGGACCAGCACCAAATTTGTCGATTCCTCGCGCGTGTGCGTTTGGATCGACCGCACTGCTGAATTGGATATGGGACTGGTGCGTCAACGATAACAGTCCAGACTGGAGGCTGACCAACTTCGTCCTAGCGGAGCCACACTACTATCGCTGGATATTCGTCAATTCACTGTGTGTTGCTACGATTGGACTGTAGGTGAATGGCTTTTTGCCCGTTTTCCGGGTTGCAATGTATCGAGGGAGGTCGAGCAAGTAGCATCCGAAAGTGGCCACGTGCGCTTTCTTCAATTTCGTCTGGAGCGCGATTCTGGGCAGCAAGACAAAGGAGATACGGCCGATACATGTAACGAGAGCGGTGCTGATAGCCAGAGGGTTATCTGCTCCAAAAAGCAAAGTAAATTGGGGGGACGCCGTGTAATTTCGGCATCGAGACGTTTATGATCACCAACTCTATCGGCCTGACTTTGCGGTAGACAAGCTTATCGACGTAGCTCTGAGCTAAGGTGACATCGCGCTAGCTGAGAACTTGCTCCCTCCTGGGAAGTGTCTTTTGGAGTACAGTGGAGCTGCTTCTCACCTCCAGTTTGGGGATTGTGTCACTCTCTCGTGGTTATTGGAGCATGAGGTTGGACGCAAGATTCCGAACCGGGCTACCTTCTTCGCAGTCATGGGAGTCGCGATCCGTGCGGGTCAAGGTGATGTAATAGAAATACCGTGCTTCTGAAACCCTCTATTGTCGCGTCAGCAAAACGGACAATACACCGAGCTGCGTGCGCTATGGCGTCCATCCGATGTCATGAATGAAGCAGCTAACGGGTGTCTAGAAGTTGTAAAGTGGCTACACCTTTGTCGACCGGAGGGGTGTCGAAGGCTGCGATGGACTGCGCAGCTGCTAATGGACATTTAGAGACCGTAAAGTGGCTCCACTCGAATCGATCCGAAGGGTGTACTACGAGGGCGATGGGCGATGGTGGGGGCGGCTGAAAATGGGCATTAAGAAGTTCTGAAATGGCTACACGTGAATCGAGCGGAGGGAACAACGGCTGCAGCGATTGAAAACGCGCTAGGTAAGGGCCATTTGCGAGTGGTCTATTGGTTACGCGCTCACTACCCGCAGTTCGCCCCAGCTGAAGTCAAGATATCAAGCCGGTTGCTCAACGTTTTCGATGTGCTGCTGTTCCTGCGCGACCACTATCCAAGTCTTCTCACTGCTAACTTCGCTCGCAAAACCCGGTCGAGTTTGAGGCTTGATAGTGGCATTGCCATTTGGTTCAAGGAGCAGGGCCTGTCAGTCTTCTAACGAGTCTCGCCATTTTTCAATGCTTTACGGTCAAATGCTGGATGAATGTATTTGCGTGTTGTTGGCAAACCTTTTCAGGAATTAAAATGCTTGTCTCCAGAATATTAATGCGGGCTTCTTGTAAATTCTCGGTACCGTGCGGAGTATTTCTTGTCGTTTACTTAAGTAAGCCGATAAATACGAGTTTCACATCATGTCACGCACCATTGGGGAGCTCTTCGAGTTAGTCCTACAAGTCCGAGCAGCGCTGCTGTTCAAGTTCTTCCTACGTGAGTTTGGAGGAGCGCTCAGCCATGCATCACTCTCCAGTTAGCGTTTGTCCAGTGCCATATTTTATGCTGTAGGTAGCGAGTGTATTCAATCGGAGATCGACTAGTCGTAGTGGCTCCGCGAAAGTTAGTCCATCCATACAGACGTTGCAGCCAGCTATCAAATAAGAAAAAAGGGTCTGGAACTGAAGCTTGGTGTCTGTCACCCGATCCGAGAGCGTCTTGCCGAGATGCTGGGGCGGAACCCCGAGCGACGAGGAAGCGCATCCGTCCAGCGCACCCGACAGCTTATGCTTGGACCTCTACGTACAACTCTGGCAAGCCTCTTTCTACTGCTTAGCGTTCTTTGTAAGATCCATGCTGAGTTAACTGAGTTAATCCCTGTACTGAACTAGATAAGCGTGTCCACATGTGTCTGGGTGTTCGCTTCGCATTTGAGTCACGACGACACCATTGGACGTGCTGTGTTGCTGTTCCTGCCCCACCTGGCTCTGCTACTTCTGTCGGGCCTTCACTTTTTCCCAAGACTCCAGCAACGAATGCATCCATGGGTGAGGTCACCACCGTAGTGATTGGTTACGATCTCAAATGTACTCATGTTTGCATTGCTTTTTAGGCTGTGGTCGCGACGGTAGCGCTGGTTCCTGCCGTTTTCGTCGCAATAATCCACTCCGGCTTCCACATGGGCGTCGGGCTCTGCTGCTGCAGTCGCGCTTTCTGGTACGGCATTGTGGCGAGGGTTTATCGTCAGGCTTCTTCTATCTACTGGCTGTGGCCTTCGTCATGAAACGCATTGATGCAACAGCCCTGCCACGTCTTCCGCGGAGATGGCAGCATGTGGACGCGTCTTGGATAACTGGTACGCTGACCTGTTGCTGGCCGAAACTTGTTGCAGGCAGGGTTCATTCAGCTGACGAATTGTTCTAACTGGGTCAATTCAGCTATATGGCGTTTATTCGGAAGATCGTTCACTTTTACGCTACAGCCAGCTTGCTATCCCCCCTCGTAAGGCAGACCCATACATTCATGCGCAGTGTTAAAGCTCTAGCGCTTACACTAACTGCCGTTTTGATCAGACGACCATCGTGTTTGGGGAATTATCTCGCCATACTCGCCAGCGCATTGGACAGCAGCACTGCCGCGACTTCCTTGCCAAGACGTACGCTCAGTAACCCGTTCGTCGGGTATCAACTCAAGAGAAGATTGACCCGCGACAGGATCGATTAACTTCGTCCTCAAGAAGTGTAGTTTATCCTCCAGAGGAACTGGTAAGCCAAGAAAACTTGAAGCTAAAGTCTGCACCTGATCACTCAAAGAGATGAAAGCAGAGTATCGGAAAGTGAGAATTGCGGTAGAACCAGCCAAGGTTCCCCCCACAAACTCGTACCGTTGTGCTCCAGTGAGTTTTGGATCGTATAGCAAATCCACAAAAACAAGTTCGATTGAACCATGTGCCAGCTCCGATCCAGCACAAAGGAGAGCAAGTGCATCACCGATATCCCCAGCATTTGCTGAATAGCGTACCCCATCACCAGCATCAGAAGCAGCTCAATGGACCCGAACGCAACAACGCGGCCAAGATTGTTCGCCATTTCATCACCATCGTAGGACTGCAGCAGCGGATAGTAGTCGTGGTTGGGTAACAAGAACATCCCCGCAGTGTATATGCCTGTCCGAAACACACAAAACATGTCACTAAATAATTTATGCGAATTCAAAGAATCACGAATGCAACGCACAAAAGATCAGCGGGATGATGACCTTCGTATACAGCACCAGGATCACAAACTCCGTCGTAAAGAGCGTCCTTGCACTTCTCTCCAGAAACCACTGGCGCTCCTTGTTGGAGAAAATCCTCATCAAAGGCGTCTCGGTTGGAATGAGCTCCAACGAGAGACTTTTCACCTTTTGTACAGGTCGAGCCATAGGGAGGGAATGGCGTGGAGGCCCGACCGGAATCACCTTCCGGTCTCGTGATGGTATGTCCACTTGTCGAAGGGCACCTAAAGTCTTAAGATTAACGACGCTTAGAGACGTCGTCGACTTTGCCAATGGACCGTAACGAAGCAGTGAAAGTCTGGATCTCGCTCTCGGATCTTCGTCGATGATTTTCAGAGCGATCTCAACGAAGCTTGCGGTCTTCAGAGGGTGGTCACCGGGGATTTTCCGACGTAGGAAAAGGATCGCGTTACTGAGGTGCCGAATGTCCGACAAGGATACAAGCCCGAGGAGAATATCCAACGCGACCATCTGCACCACCGTCGTGCTCGAGTGCGAGTTCTCCATCGAGCTGGACACGTACAGCGCGTTGAACACGTCCACGTTGATGATCATGACCTGAGGGATCAGGTCGTAGTTGTTGCCTAGACAGTAGCTGATCCAGTTCCTCGCAGCGATTTTGATGATGGGGAGCAGCATGACGTAGAACTTCTGGTTATCTGTGCTGACGCTGATAAATCCGTACAGGTACGCTGGGTATACGAAGGTCAGCAACACTTGGCAGATGAGCACTATGATCGCCCTTATCAGCTCCTTTAACAGCACTCGGTTTTGATTTAAAACTCGTCCGAAGAACCCCACGAAGCACGCAACCAGCACTAAGAACCAGATGTTGATCCCCACCACCAGAGCGAAAGGAAGAGGAAAGCCAATGACGCTCGCCATCGCTATCATGAACACCACAGCTCCTCCACTCGAGATAATCGGCATCACACTCACTGGAGTCGACGTGATATGTAGAGCTGGCACAGTGACTCGGAACTCTTCGAGGATCACACGCGTCATGAGGGCGATCGTGACGAAATCCCGTATCCAGAACAAATAATTTGCACTAGAGCCATCTCTGGGTGAAGCCAGCGGGACAGCGTCGATTGATACGAGAATGATCAGGCACGGGAAGGGTGAGGCCAGAGTGACGATGACCGTCCAGGACAGCGGCGTAGTTTTGCTGTAGGCTAAGAGCTTGCGAATACGCTCTAAAGAGTAATGGCCACGAAGCTCCGGCTGGAAAGTTATCGAAAGCTTGCGAATTCGACGCCTGAAGACGTGAAGTTGCTGTCTCGCGTCGTCAAGAGAGTCCATGACTCAAACCTTGATGTGAGCGACTTGATGAACTCACAAATGATGAACATGGGCTTCTTCTAACGAATAATTATAGGAAGGGATAACGCGGTCGCAGCTGAGGCTATTTTACACCTTTTGCCGTTGACTACAAGGTACTTATTTAATAAGCCACAGTGAATCATTTTGAAGTAGCAGTGAGGAGTATTCTCTAGCACAATCGATAGGGCACGCGATAGATAGTAGCGCAGTTGTAGGTTACGATTCGAAGGAGGCGGGAAAATTGAGAATCTAAAAGCTGTCAAAGGCATCGACAGACACTGGAAAACAAGAAAATACAGTAGAAAACTGGTCATGCAACACCCAATGCACACCCTTCGAGACGATTCGTTGCGTTCAGTAAAGAAATTTATTACAATTTTACAGGAACAAATTCGATCTCTTGAGCATTGCACGTTATGCTACTGTGCCTTGAAGCGAAATTATTCTCAGGTAAGACAAAGAGTGCGCTTTTTCAGTTGTCAGAGCCTGCTTGTTCATGAGTCTTCGGGAGCGCCGCCAATAGATGTACATGGACGAGGAGAACGTGTGGACACATCCGCCGATGACTCGGAGGATCCGACGGCAAGAGGAGAGCCGGCGGCAGCCGGGCTCTGGGTACACCAATGACTGGTCAGGGAGACCCATATATACTGAGATCAAGTCAAGCGGAAACCGGGAGTACTCCGTCTGATGAGAGGCACCAACGAGCACAAGGAGAACAAGAAGGAAAGCAGGAGGGGAAGACTAGAGAGTAGTTTGAGAGACGATAACATTTAATCTCACTTCGGAATTTGCCCCCTCAACCACAAGCTACAAACCAACAGGTTAACAGCCGCAACAAACTCAAGCCCTCCCCGACGACCGACATGACGACGTCCAGCAAGAAGGCCGAAGTCATCCTCGGAAGTGACAATTACTTCCACTGGGAGTTCGCGATGGGTATGACGCTCGCGAGGAAGGGGCTGCTGGCGCACGTCCAAGTGGTGAAGGACCCGACGGAGATGACGGAGGCCTGGATGCTCAACGACATGAAGGCGCTCGGTGATCGCTCAAGGCGTGGCTGTGGAAGACCACACGAAGATTCGGTCGGCGACGTCGGCTATCCAAGCCTGGAATACTCTACGCGAGTTCTACAACCGGACGACGATGCATAATCGGGTCACGATGACTCGTCGGCTCCACGAGTTCAAGATGGAGGACGGTGCGACGATGGCGAAGCACCTGGACAAGTTCGACGAGCTCATCGTGGGCGTTCAGACGCTTGGAGAGCCCCTCGATGACTCCCGACAACTCGTCATCCTGCTGAGCAGCTTGCCGGCGGAGTGCGAGTTGATCGCATCCATCGTCGAGAACTCGAAGGACGTGACCCTCATCGAGGTGAAGGAGAAGCTGCTCAAGGAGTACGAGCGGCAGGAGAAGAAGGAGACCACGGAGCGCGCGTTGAAGGCTACCTCGTTCGGAGGTAGGGGCCAGAACGGGAAGTTCGGCAAGGGCGGCAAGGCATTCGGCCGCAAGCGCAACGGCGGGCGAAAGGTCGGTGGCTTCAAGGGCAAGTGCTTCAACTGTGACCAAGTGGGACACATAAAGCGGGACTGCCCGGAAAAGGCAAATGGAGACACCGCCGAAGACTCGGTGTTCGCTGTGGCGGAGAATCCATCAGCGGGTTGGCTGATCGATAGTGGGGCGACGGCTCACATGACGCCTCACCGCGATGACTTGTTCGAGTACAACGAGTCGTCGGCGGACATGTATGTGACAATCGCGGACGGGAAGGAGATCCGCGTGGCAGGGAAAGGGTCGGTGCGCCTAACGGGCATCGACGGCAAGCGCATCAAGATGGTGGAGGTGCTCCACATCCCCGGACTCGACCGGCGACTACTGTCGGTTGGGAGGGTGGCTGAACGCGGCATGAGTGTCGAGTTCCAGCGGAAGTCGTGCGTCATCTGGGACAAGACGAAGGCGATCGCTTCGGGGAAGAAGGTCGACAAGGCGTACTTGCTGGACTGCCAGCAGGACATGGTGTATTACACCGAGTACTCGGGAGTCGACGGGAAGTGGGAGCAATGGCACGCTCGTATGGGACACTTGAACGGAGACGCTATGGCAAAGACCCGCGAGGCAACGGACGGGTTCCCGACGACTCAACAGCAGACGAAGACCCTGTGCGGAGGATGCATGAAGGGCAAGCAGACGGTCGCACATTTCCCGTCGCGGTCGACGTCGGCGACGACTCGACCGCTGGAACACGTTCATACGGACGTGATGAGTCCTATGAAGACGAAGTCCAAGGGCGGAGCGAGGTATGTGCTCACATTTGTCGACGACTACTCGCGACACGTCGTGGCGTACTTCTTGACCAAGAAGAGCGAGGTCGCGACCAAGTTCAAGTCGTTCATGAAGCTGTACGAGAACCAGTGGGGGCAGCGCATTAAATGCCTGCGCTCGGACAACGGCACTGAGTTCGTGAACACGCCGATGACTGAGATCTGCCGGGTGAATGGGATTATGCATCAGAAGACGGTCCCGTATAGCCCCCAGCAGAATGGCGTGGCGGAGCGGATGAACCGCACGATCATGGAGAAGGCTCGAAGCATGCTACACTACAAGGGCGTGGCTTCGATATGGTGGGCAGAGGCGGTCAGCACTGCTGTCTACCTGATCAACCGGTCGACGAACAGCATGCACCCGACCAAGACTCCGTACGAGTTGACGTTCAAGTCGAAGCCTCGGCTGGACCATCTTCGAGTCTTCGGGTCGATTGGTTACGCCCATGTCGACAAGTCGCGACGCACCAAGTTGGAGCCGAAGAGCTTCAAATGTATGTTTCTTGGGTACGCCGACGACTCAAAAAGGCTACCGAGTTTACGACTTGGAGTCGAACACGGTGAAGGTGTCCAGGTCGGTGAAGCTGGACGAGCGCGAGGTGAACGGCATCTACGACATGGTGCCCAGCGAGAACTCGCCGATCATTGAGTTGACGGAAGATGCCGAGGATGCGGCACTGCCCGAGGAGATACAACGACCTGCCGCCGACGAGCCGATGGAATCAGTGGAAGAGACCGTCGAGGACACGGAGATACATGAGGTGGAGACGTCGGAGCCATCCATGCAGGAGCTGACAACGTACCGACGACTCGCGAGACCGGTATTGAATGATGACATGGTCTTCCACCCCGAGCCGGAACGGACCCGGCGCGCCCGAGAACCGGTACTACTACTTGGATATGGTTCCGCAGACGGTGAGGAGTCGAAAGAAGATGGTCCCGATGACTCGGACAACGATGATCACTTCTGGCCACCGTCTCCAAAGCGACCCAGGGTGGACGAAGACAGCCTATTGACTGAGGCGGTGCTGGCCTACGCCGCAGACGTCGGCGATGCCAATGACGCACCCACCACGTATCAGCAGGCCATGCAGAGCGATGAGTCGTCGGAGTGGGTGAAGGCAATGAATGCGGAGCTCAAGGCACACGCGGACAACGGGTCATGGACGCTGGTCCGTCGGACACCGAGTGCTCGACCGATCGGTTGTCGCTGGGTGTTCGCAAAGAAACGAGACAAGCACCGCCGAGTCATCAGGTATAAGGCCCGCCTGGTGGCGAAAGGGTTTAAGAAGAAGTATGGCGTGGACTTCTTCGAGACGTACTCGCCCGTGGCCAACATGAACTCGATCCGAGTGGTGTTGTCGGTTGTGGTGGCCGAGGCGTACATCACCGAGCAGCTGGATGCGGACACCACCTTTCTCAACAGCGGGCTGGTGGAGCGCGTCTACATGGAGGTACCCTACGGAATCATCAACGCGAAGAACATGATGTGTCGGCTGCAGAAGGCGATCTATGGTCTGAAGCAGGCGGCAAATGCCTGGCATAAGACCATCCACCGAGTCTTCGTGGGCATCGGATTTCGGAGCTGCGGCGGTGACCAGTGCGTATACGTCAATGGCGAGAAGGGCAGGTTCGTGTACGTCTGCCTGTACGTGGACGATATGATCATCGCAGCCAAGACGAGCAGCAAGATCCAGGAAGTCAAGGTGGCGCTCAAGAATGCGTTTAAGATGAAGGAGTTGGGCGAGGCCAAGTTCATTCTCGGTATGGAGATCGACCATGACTCATCGGCGAAGACTCTCATGATCAAGCAGACTCGATACATTGATGATGTGGTGAAGCGGTTCAACCAGCAGGACGCCAAGGTGGTGGTGAACCCGTGCGAGTCGGGCATGAAGTTGGCGAAGACTCAGTCGCCGATGACTCAGAAGGAACGTGAGGAAATGCAGGCGAAGCCCTACCGAGCCCTCATTGGCTGTTTGCTGTACATTACAACGTGCACCAGACCTGATGTGGCGTACATCGTGACCCAGTTGTCGCGCTTCCTCGAGAACCCTGGGCAGCAGCACTGGAAGGCTGCCATCCGCGTGCTCAGGTACCTGAAGAGCACCCGAGACATCGGCATCGCCTACAATGGGAACGCGAAGAAGGTCGAGGTGACGGCGTACACCGACGCCGACTGGGGCAGCAATCTCGACGACCGACGCTCGGTGTCGGGCATCATGGTGATGATTAGTGGGGCGCCGGTGGTCTTCAAGTCGAAGTACCAGCGCACGGTGGCGTTCAGCTCGGCGGAGGCCGAGTACATGGCGCTGAGCCTGTGGACGCAGGAGGTGCTGTGGACCCGCGTCATGCTCAATGACATGGGTCACGAGCAAGTGGGAGCTACCCAAGTATGGGAGGACAACCAGGGCGCGATCGCTCTCGCAAGCAACGCTGGCTACAACGCGAGGACCAAGCACGTGGAGATCAAGCATCACTTCATCCGCGAGAATGTGTCCCGAGGACTCATCGTTGTCAACTACGTGCCGACGCAAGACCAGCTCGCGGACATGCTAACCAAGGCGTTGGAGACGAAGAGGCTCCAGTACCTAATCAGCGCAAGCGGAATCATCGGGACGGTCGTGCAGCATTAGCGGCGAGTGGGAGTGTTCATGAGTCTTCGGGGGCGCCGCCAATAGATGCACATGGACGAGGAGAACGCGTGGACACATCCGCCGATGACTCGGAGGATCCGACGGCAAGAGGAGAGCCGGCGGCAGCCGGGCTCTGGGTACACCAATGACTGGTCAGGGAGACCCATATATACTGAGATCAAGTCAAGCGGAAACCGGGAGTACTCCGTCTGATGAGAGGCACCAACGAGCACAAGGAGAACAAGAAGGAAAGCAGGAGGGGAAGACTAGAGAGTAGTTTGAGAGACGATAACATTTAATCTCACTTCGGAATTTGCCCCCTCAACCACAAGCTACAAACCAACACTGCTAGATAGTGGCTGCTAGCACAATACTGAGAGGATGGCTATGTTCGCCAAAAACACATCCGAGAATGGCTAGCATATCCCACCTGTCTACTACATAAGTACCAAGTATCATTTTCGAGGCCGAGTGGCTTGAGTTGCTCATTTCCGAAAACGCCGCCTACCGCTCAATGCTCCGCGGCAGGGCCTCCGCCGTTCGCTGCGCCCAACACCTCGCTTCCCTGGTGCGCCAAGCTTCACGCCGCCTGCGGTAACTTAAAAGGTAGAGCATAGCTAGCTTGTAGATGGATCAGCGAGTGTTTGTTTGTACTATTTGAGCAATTATGGAGGCAAGAGGGCGTAAGCGCAAGCGTTGCGTGTAAACTTGCCCTTACAGAACCGTTTAGACAAAGTATTAGCATGAATAAACTACATGAGGCTGAATACGGACGAGGGCGAGCGAACGCGAGCGCGAGGCTCACTCAGTGCATTCACTGACCACCAACATCCGCCGATTAGGCGGGGGCGTGTCTGTGCGAGCGAGCGAACGCGAGCGCTGCAACCCGATATTTTTTTCCTAGACACCGCGCCTGGCCGAGATGTTATCAGCACTTTGCATCTGTTTTCTTGTGATGGGTATTTGTCTAGTCTCTACCACGCACAGAGTCACTCTGTTTGGTTCTGTAGGCTAGCCCTGCTAGCAGGCTCTGTCTACAGAGTAACCCTTCCAAGCGTCAGCTGTTCATCGCGGCGACATCCGGTTAACCCCTCCGTGAAGGCATCTTGGCCATGATCAGCCCTCGGATTTGCTGTTCGAAGCATGGACCTGCACTTCTCAATTTACCCTCCGCCACTCGGACCTCAAAGAGGCAGCAGGACCGGGTCCGAAGATGCGTCTTCATAGCTTTCTTCTGCTGTTTGCCGCTGTAATAGCCACTGCCTCCTCAACAGCAACAGCGGAATCTGTAGGCCCCATCACAGTCCCGTACCCTGCTAGGCTCCTGAGACTTCACGAGTTGCCAACCGATGCCGAAGAGAGGGGTATCACCATCAATACGAAACAGATCGACGACTGGCTCGAGAAAGGGGACACTGCCGACGACATATTCAAGCTGCTCTCTCTTCACATGAAAGAGAGCAATATCCTGGCCAACCCAAAATTGGACGAATGGATCACCTACATGAAGGCTTTCAACAAGAAATTCCCAAAGAAGCAGACCAGTCTGGTCACGACACTGACCACTCACTATGCCGACGACGACCTCGCCAGGATGATCCAAGCCGCGAAGAAGGTCCCGGGGACAGCGAAGATCGCCAAAAGACTGGAAATCGAGCAGATTTATCGCTGGCTGGAGCACCAGAAGACCCCAAAAGAAGTTTTCAACCTGCTGAAGCTGGACGACGTGACTGTGGAGCCGTTCCTGCAGCCTCAGATGCTCACGTGGGCCAAGTACATCGACTACTTCGACAAGGCGAACCCTGGTAAAAAGGCCTCCTTGCTGCCGGCTTTCGGGTATTATGACGAAGAATCCATGGTCGCGATGCTCATCAAAGCCAAGACGGTCCCGGCCACGGAGCACCTCGCAGTGAGGGCGCAGGTCGAGCTGACGCAGGTGATGCTCAGGCATGAGAGGACGCCTTCGCAGATCTTTACCATGCTCAAATTTAAGGAGGCGGACGACAAGTTACTCGAAAATCCGCTCTTCATTGCCTGGATGAAGTACACGGACGACTTCAACGAAATGTACCCCAAGAAGAGACAGCCGGCGATGACGGCGTTGCTGGAGAACTTCTCAGGCGAAAAGATGGCCAAGATGGTGCTGGACGCCGAGAAGTCCCCGACTTCGGCCAGTGTTGCCAAGCAGTTGCAGTCCGAACTGATGGAGACCTGGTTGAAAAAGAAGAGAAATCCGGCCCGAGTTTTTAAATTACTGAAGCTCAACGAGGCGGCGGATAAGGCGTTCGAGAGCCCCGTGCTGGCGATGTGGCTCAAGTACATCACCTTCTACAAGGAGGCGAACCCCAAGGAGATCGTGAACGTGGCGCAAATTCTGAAGATGTACCACAGTGACGAAGCTCTGGCCAAGATGCTCCTGGAAGCGACCAAGGCCCCAAGCACGGAGAAGATCGCCCTGAGTACACTGGATGCGTTGACGATCGGGTGGATGTACCGTCAGAAGGTGAGGCCGGAAATCGTCTACAAGTGGCTGGATGCAGCGAAGAATGACGTCGGCGAGAAGTTTTACACCTCGTATAGAACGTTGTACAACATGAAATATCCTTCTAGGCGGTGAGGCGTCGAATTGACATAAAAATACTGTAGAGACACAAGACGTGCATGGCTACGTAGCTGAGAAGCCTTGTCATATTCGAAGCACTAAAGAAAATTGGTTACTAAGTAAAACCAAATTTCTTACTTCTCTGTATGATGATTTCGAAATTGTGCTTTATCTTCGCTTTTACTCAAGATTTTTGGCCATGTGAGGCCTTATCATGAAGCTTAGAGGCAGGAGAACTGAAGGAGGCACAACGCTTTTTTTTTTAGTCCTCCGTAGGTTTTTTTTCGTAATTCTATCAAAAATTAGTGATAATTCATCGAAATTTCAGGATGAGTTGCTATTGCCAATGTTAGCTTGGTGAGCCAATTACAGCTTGTCAAAATCAACGAGGTTTTTCTAGTCAAGTGTGCTATCATTGGGCAAAAATCAAATTTTGCCCTAACCAACGTCAAATGATCAATGACATTCGTTGTGTGGTACACAAAAAACCTAACTAACCATACTTATATAAGTACTTTCGTGGGACAGAGTATGTGATGTTCTGATGCGGGATTTCCCTATTAGTGTACCCCTATATTGGTACATTTACAAAATACATTTTCGATGGGGACCATTCCATTGCCCAGTGTGGCGTTCGTGCTGCGCCACCAGGCAAATGCCGGTGCTCTACTGAACCTCGGGGTGCTCATCTGCGACTTTCTCGGGCCTTCCCCCAACCTGTCGCTCCAAGACGCGTGTCGGTCCCGAGTCGATCCCGCTGATGGAATGGCTGTGGCGTCATAGCTGCACCTCTGTGGACGCCAGATCTCCGAGATGGACGTTCTGCAACTTCTTGCGGTTGGATCCCCACTATCGTAATTACCAGTTACATCACGCCCTAAAGATTGCGTCAAGTCGTGGGAACTTGACAATGATCAAGTGGCTGATGGACCATTTTCCATGTGGACAAACGGCGGTCGAAGTGGACGAAGCGGCAGCTGCAGGTGGACATTTGAACGTGCTGGAGTTCCTGTTGGCCCTCGATGGCAAGGAAAGTACCGGTGGAAGTGTTCAGAGCGGTCAACAGGTTGACTCCGAGAGGGACGCTGGAGGACGGGTCTGCTGGGGCGGCCGCAGTGTCAAGGACGCTCTCTCCAAGAAGCAGTATGCAGCAGTTCAGTGGCTGTGCGAGCGGGGACTTCACACGCAGGAGGATCAAGAGATCGCGACACGAGTCGACAGAGCGTTGAGACTGGAAGATGCGGATCTCGTGGACTTCCTGCTTCATGGAGGACAAGCCCAAGAGGACCCAACTCCCGAACGAGTCGACGCGATCCTACAGTTTGCTGCTGACCCGGACTGTGCTGTGCACGCGTTCCCAGCCGTGATGAAGCTGCAGAGTGCGTCTCTTATGCAGAAAATGGTGCAGCTCCATTCTACCCTTCCGAAGGACCACAAAGCGTGGTTGAACGTGTGGAAAAGTGCGCTTAACGAGTCGTGTCGCCGCGGAGACCTGAACATCTTCAAGTGGCAGATGGAGCACTGGCTGGGGCGCGAAGCTTGCTCGGTTCTGCTTCGATATCCTGACTTCGTGGACCTCATGTCTGCGGCTGCAAGGGGAGGGCACGTGGAAGTGATGGAGTATCTTCACCGCATTGGACTAAAGGAACTCCCGGAAAATATGATTGCCGGTGCATTACTACGACGCGGGCGGAGTCAAGCACGCGACGATGCCGATGAGTGCAGTGTGGCCTCTGAGTGATGCGATGATGTACGTCGCCTGGAACGGCAGTCTCGACACCATCAAGTGGCTGTGTGCAAACGGATTGGAGGGCTCCCCGCAGTCTTCAGCCAACACGTTGACAAACGCAGCAGAACATGGGCACCTGGAGGTGGTGAAATGCGTCCACACGAATCTGCCCGCGAGGTTTTCTGCGAACGCTTCGGAGGCAATGGAAATCGCTGCAGCCAACGGCCACGTCGAGGTCGTGAAATGGCTTGGAACCCAACTACCTGGAGCCTGCACGAGCCGTGTTATCGACAGTGCTGCTGGAAGTGGCCACTTGGAAATAGTGAAATGGCTACACGAGAACACGCAAGCTCGCTGTTCTTTCAAGGCAATGAATATTGCTGCGTACAATGACCACATGGACGTATTGGTCTGGCTCCATGAGAACACGGGTGCTGGCTGTACAGAAGACGCGATGAACGGTGCGGCAGCTAAGGGCCATTTGAACGTGGTGAAATGGCTACATGAGCATCGATCCGAGGGTTGCTCGGCCACAGCCGTCGAAGAGGCAGCAGGTTACGACGTCAGTTTCCGATGTTTGAGCCGCGGAACGTGGAGAACCCCGTGGAAAACCCCAACAGGTTTGAGGCGCTGCTGTTCGTGTATATTCACTATCCGAATCACCTAGGTCGCGCTTCCCGTGAAGCGGCGCTGGCGAGTCTGGAGAGTTTCTCGGAGTCGCATGATGCGCACATCGCGCAATGGTTGGTGAAGAAGTTCCCTAGAAGCGAGGCCATGTATTGAAAAGCTATCGATAGCGATGGCGATCTTGGAAACAAATGGAGAGAAAATTAATCGATATAGTTCGAGTAGTATCCCTGTTCGACAACATATCTTTGTTAGATACCGGTTTGGCGCATCCACTACCAGAGAAAAACTCCTCTATGACCCATAGTGTGATGCACACCGCGCTTCGAATACGGTACCCCGGACAAGATGAACCATGCAAAACATTTTCATCTTGTGGACTATCATTGAAAATTAACAGTAGGTTCTACCTACCGAATTGTTATTTAGTTTTTCTTGAAACAGGGTAAGGTAGATGAAATGACAGTCCTTGTTGGTCGCGTGTTAGACACGTTTCGGCCCCTGCCGGGCCTTTTCAGTGGCTTTACCAAAAGGAAAGTGAGCGCTATTCTACCAGCTCCGCTACCTACATGTATCCACAACCCATCCTAACCGCTCGATACTCTACGGTGGTCATCCGTAAAAATCGATTTGCTACGCTATGGCGACAAGGTAAAATCTACTCGTAAATATCACAGTACCAGCGAGTTGAGATACTCCAACAGCTTTGAATCTACTCAACAAGCACCGTTGTATCCTTGTTAGCAGTACTAATGCATGCACATGTAAGCTGCTGGAAGCGTAAGGTATGTATATAGTCCACCCGCAGATCATGATGGTCCAAAGCTACCTTATTGCATCTATTACTACGCAGTTGTATTTAGTTGGGTGGTTGCATTCGACGAGGCAGGACATGCAGTAGTACCACTCACTTTGAGTGAGCATAGGCTTCGCGGCCCCTGCAATCCGATTGCAGCATGGTTACTTCTGACATTCTTCATCATCACGGAAACGTATTAATAATAGCGAGCGTTCGTAAACGTATATTGTCCCGGCCAGAATTGAAGGGCCCGATTTGAAGCCTCGATTTGAACATGATGTCTACGACTTTCCATATGCGATGGTTAGATATAGGGTAAATTATACGCGTTAGATTCCAAAAATGTGGTCAAAACGGTCCAATTCGCAGCCGTTTTTTCGTTATAGGCGCTCAAACATGAAGGTTTGAATCGGCCAAGAAGCATGAGCTCAAGTGGGCTAGGTCACGATAGGGTTACGAGAAATAGCATTCTGTAATTGGTTGATCTTCAGAAAGCATATGACTTTTGGAGTAGTCGACAGGACTACCGTCTTACCCCGCATAGTGCGCATAGGCGCACAAATAAAATATAGCACCCAGTGAGCGTAATATTCGTTTAAACCGCCTAGGCGGTATGCTACGAACAAATCCTACAACCTTGAAGACGGGCCACCTCAATGGCACCAAACATAGTTTTAAGGCGATAAATATGACTGGGTCGTGCGAGATTGCAATGTGCTGACGACTCAACCGGTACAAGCATGGATTGGCAAACCGCAGGTTCATAGTTCGATCCCGGTTCGTGTCAATTGAGGGCCCGGTATGGGAAGAGGGTATGTCGCGAGTCAATCGTTAATTCCCCGCACAGAAAGGTATATCCAACGCTTGTCAATTTCAAGCGCCCACAATAATCAGAAACTAACATGTCTTTTTGTATGAATCAATGCAGTATTGATTTAGCTCTGTGTCTACTTACAACAGGCATCCGTTAATCTCAACAGCGAAATACCCACCGCCGCGCACAAGCACAACATCCTTGGTAGCGTTTTCCGCAGCATAGACAAAGCTCGAGGTGAGGCGGCTGCCTTCGTCAGCAGTCTTGAGGGTGATGTTCCACCCGTGCATTTTCGACGCCGCGTAGATCTCGAGCTCACCCGGGGCCATCAGTCCTTTCCTTACAGCGACCAGGTACTCGTCGTCCAGCAGTCCGGTCAAGTCCACGAGGGTAGCCATGTAGGTTGTAAGCGCTTCGGCGTACTCGGGCACGGACATATCGAGACCGAAAGACAGGCAGCAGAACAGACTGCTCCTCTCGTTGTCTGGAATGTACCAGTCCGGGGCAGACACACGTACCAGCTCACGCTCTGAGTCGTCGTTCACCAGGTGCTGTGTGCCATGCATGCATGTTGAAGTCGGAGCTGAGTATGGCTTTCAGCGGAGCGTGCAGCCGATCCATGCTGAAGCGTTCCTTCGCCACTATTCCACACAGGCCGAACGCCTTCTTCACCTCCGCGGGGTCCTTCGAGGCAACCCAATCAAGGGTCCACTGCGCCACCGCGTCGTATCGCGGGACCTTTGGGTTTCCAGCTTTCGTCTGCAGCATGGGGTCACGGAGAGCTTCGCTGATATACGCGTCATACTTTGAGCGCTAGTATTCTTGATAGCTGCGGTTAACAGCAACATCAAGTGGCTGCAGCATGTTGGTGAGGTTGGGTGGGACCAGCACGACAAAAATGTTGCAGCGCTCCAGTCGCTTGGAGTCTGTCAGCTTGACGTGGCAGCCGTAGGAGTCGATCAGGTAAAGCACCGGCTCACGATAGAGCTGTGTTTCCTTGCGCGAACAGATGACAGCCTCGGCATGAGCGAGAAGCAGGTCATCATTCCACATCCCCGTCCGATTCACATCTACCAGGACGCCGGGAGGGCACTTCGGCTTGTTTTTCAGCTTCGAGAAAAGTAGATGAGGCTTCAAAAACTCCCCTTCCGCCGTGATCGCAAACGTTGCGGTGAACCGCTTGTGACCTGATCCGCCTTTGCGCAGCAGGACCTCACGCGAACCTCGCGTAGTTATCGCTGCCTTGGGCTCGGTCTCGAGGTACCGAGGTACCTGATCCATGTTAATGATGTTCTTGGGCTGGATGCCGTGCTTGGCAATCAGATGATGGACACTCTGAATGAACAGGCGGCAAACGTCCGGTGCGTCAGCAGGCAACGAGCGCGACGTGGTCTGGCGGCGCGATACCAGGTTTCGACGAGCCTTGAACCGAGCAAGCCATCCGGAGGACGCCTCAAACCCGACAACGTCTTCACCATGTAGCTGGCGGTGGATGTTGCGTGCTTGAAGGCGGATGTACGAGTCCTTCACCCGCAGGCCTTTTCGGTTTCGGCTAATGACCCACTCATACAGCCGTGCCTCAAGCTCGCTGTTGGCAGGTCTTCTGCCACCTCCGGTGAGCCGTCGTGCTGTGCGAGTCGCGACTTGTCGGTCGCGCGACGCAGCCCTCAGTTTCTCTCGATGCTGCCACCACCCTCGAATGGTGCTGGCAGCGACGCCGTGGCGTAGACCAACTGCGTGAAACCCGCTTCCCTCGACACCGGCTTCGTATTCAGCCAGAATGGACAGCTTTTCTGTGATGCTGTAGCTGCGACGCGAGCTTGGCATGGTGGGCTGAGTGCTTGAGCTGGTAGTAGTGTTGCTTCGGAGAGTGAGTTGAAAAGTGAGGGCGTTGGAGCAAGCAAGCGTTGCTGGCATCAGGAATGGTTGGTTTGTAGGTGAGCATTACTTTACATTAGGGTAAATGTATAGGCATTGGTCATGAGTTAATGCTACCAAACCCTTTCATCGAGGGCGTCCTTGTATTAGACTCTGCGTTTTAATTGGGGTTTACATGTTGGGGTTTTGGCACCAGATTTTTTATTACTACATCTAGGCGCTTTATGCGGGGTAAGACGGTAGGTTTCCTTGTCGGACACGATCATGTGCTTCTCACCGAGGCTCAAAACATGCCGCTCAATCGTCCTCTTTGGTGGGGCTTCCAGCGGCGGAGGCGGCGTCTGCATGCTTCCGCTCCCTTTGCTTTATGTGAGTATTTTGAGCCCCCACTTGCTTCAAACGGAGCAGGCGATCCCTCGCAATTGCTAAAAATATGGCGGTGTTACAATTTCCGGGCCCTTCAATTCTGGCCGGGACAATAATAATAACGAGCGTTCGTAAACAGATGTACGCCGTATGTCGTGCATACGGGTGTCGTGCATACGGGCAACCGTACATGTACTTGGACAGGGGTTTTGTCGGCATCTTCCGTGCTACCAGCTCACGCTGACAGTATCTCTTGTGTACTTAAGTAAAGTTTCTTCCGCCTCCAGTGCGTCGTAGAGGGTTCCAATCTTCGCATTGCACAACGTCTCACTTTAAGTACACTATGTCTGGTCATTGATTTGAATACATATTTTCACTTTCTGCATCCTACAATGTATAGTTATTATCAAAGGTATGGACGAAATCGTGCTCTAAAGCCAAGCCCTCGACTCTCCCATGATTAATCTATTATCAAAGGTTAGTCGGTGTACCCAGGACTATTCAATCCCTATCTCAAAAAAGCTATCCTCGATGGGCATTTCTGTTGGCCATCATACGGTACGGAGCACAACACATGAGATGTGGTGTCCCAAATGTCCAGGACAATGTTTGCTCGCGTGATGCTGCATCACTGTCAAACACATTCCTGCGCTTCCCTATTAATAGGCTCAGTTTCGTTTGTGCCGGGGATTCGTGAAGCTCTGCCGGAGTTATAGCTCACTCACTTCCACCCAGTGGTGACCGTAGACGGCCATGGACCAGCAGTGGCGGGCCAAGTTCCGCGAGCCACGATGGCTGCAGCTCCTGCTCGGTGGCTCCGCGTTGTTTTCGGTCATGATGGTATTCTCGTTGTGGACGAAGCTACCGTCGCACGAAGCTCTACGTCGGCCTCCCACAACGGCGCCAGTACAGCAGACCACAAGGCAGAACGTAGACCTCTTTACGCTCGACGAGAGACGTCGGAACGCGAGCGCCACCGCCAAGTCCAAGATGCTCCACATCGACGACTTGGCGCTCTCCGACTCGTACCAGCACTGGGCGCCTGTCATCGTGTCCGAATGCGTCCACGGAATGGACGAGCGAGCTGCGCCGTGCATCAAGGAAGCCAATAAGACGAACCTCGTCGAGGCGCAAGAGCTCATGTACCCCGCCTTTCGACTCAAACTGCCGGCTTTCACTGGTGAGGTCATGCAGAAGAAGTGGCTGTCGGGGGGTCTTCACGTTGAACGGATGCGGATATCGGACTTGCAGTGGGCCGAGTACCCGACCTTCCATGGTCTCCTCGAACGCGGTGTACCGAGGAGACCCGCCGCCGGACATTTGGTCGGACAAAGGCTGCATGGGCCACGACGTCTCCCACGCGTCCTTCTTGGAGAGGGCGAACGCCAGCGAGCTGGAGAATGCAACGCGAGTCGATACGGTGGTAGTCGCCACGAGTCCGGACTCGTGGTCCTTCCAGCACTTCATCGACCGAGTGGCAGTTGTCTGGAGCCAGGCGCAACTGGTGCTCCCTCACGCCGAGAAGAACGAGACGACAATTGTCACAGGCGAGGAGCCCCGCGACTCGATAGTGAACGAGATCTACAAAGTGATGGTTGGACAGCACCTCCATGAACCCAAGTTGGTGGCAGCCAAGCGCCTCGTGTTCTCCTGTCGAGCTCCGTTGATCCACCCGTTCACGACCCAGCGGATCACGGAGAATATCTTGCGAGAGCTGCCTCCGCCTCAGCATGTTTCCGAGGCTGATCGTGATGTTATTTTGTTCCTATCACGGTCGAGGGGTGGTAGGGCTGCCAATGGCGGACGCCAGATTCTAAACGAGCCTAAGCTCTTCGACGCTATTGCAGCGAGGCTGAACGCCACCGGCCGACCGGAACAGCTCATGTACTTCAAGCACGACGAGTTCAATGGCCTTGAGGAGGTCGCGACCTTCATGCGCGACCGGGTGAAGATGATGATCGGACGGCACGGAGCGGCATTTTACAATGCCCGCTTTGCTCAGCCCCGGACTGCGTTGATCGAGATCGTCCCGGACCCCGAGCAGTTCTTCGTCCCGTGCTTCTGGGAGCAAGCGAGACTGCTGGGGCAAGATTACTCGGCGCATGTGGGGAATACGCAGAACGAGCAGAATGATATGATAGTCGACGAGGTACAGGACGTGGTCGACCTGGTTCTCAAGAGGTTGGAGTACCTGGACGATTCGTATCGCATGGAAGATTCACTCGGTCATACTTACGCATGGGGCGTGGATACTACTGCAGCAAGGTTATAGTTGTTATCCTTACCTATCCAAAACGTTAAACGACAATATATGCAAAGCTAGCTAGTATAGAAACTTCGGGCTTGAGTCTTCGATTAATATCATTCACGTCGATACATGAAATAAATAAATAAAACATTTCCATTACTAGCTGGCCAAGTAGTATGCCACTCAAGGACGACCTCGAGTGAGGGAAATTGTTGACTTTTCGCCCTTCTCAAATTGGTTTTAGCAAGCAAAGTCCCGGAATTCGAGGGGATCTGCTCGACGCTCCTGACTCCATGCCCAGCCCCACGTATTGCGCAGTGCCCGCTCTAGTTAAAGGGTAATACGTGGAGAGTTGAAGGGTAATGGAGGGCGCATCTCCCTCATTTCATTGGTCGTCAGCAGTTGAAGCGCATGTTGAAGTGGTCCCTTCATGTGTACCGTGACAAGTCGCTTAGTTGCGGTTGAAGTCGCAACTGAATGATCAGGGCACGAGCGGTCATTCTTCCTTCTTCGCCGAGAACAAGAGAGCTCCACGCAGGAATGCTTTGCCCGCTGCTGAGCGTGCACCTGGTGCTGGAGAGCCGCGACGATGCTGCTGCGCTGCAGGACCTTGCTCCGACCATCGCCGACTTCCTGGGGCCCGACCGCAATCTTTCGCTGCACGGCGCGTGCAACACCGGATCCCTCAAGCTGCTGGGCTGGATCTGGCGCGTCAGCTCCGACCGCTGCAATGGACGAGCTGCAGGCTGGTCGCTGACCAATCACCTGCAGTCGAACGTCCACTACTACCAGTGGCAGTGTTCCGAGTCATTGGAGGTCGCGGCCGGAAGAGGAGATCTCGAGGCTGTCAAGTGGTTATTGGAGCACTTCAGTGGCTGTGAAGTGGCTGTGGAAGTGGTGGAAGCGGCTGCGAGGAATGGACACGTGAGTGTGCTTCAGTACCTACTGCATTATGGTCGGGTAGTGCATTGGGGTGGACGCAGCTTGGTTGATGCGGTGGAGAACGGACACTCGAAGGTTGTCCAGTGGCTGTGTCAGCACGCGCCGCATAGGTATGACGAACTGGAGGTTACGACTGCGATCAAGACTGCTCTGAGGGTTGGTGACATGAAGCTGGCGGAGTTTCTGCTGCCGCGGGGCAAGTGCATCCTGGACTACGCCGAGTTTTGCGCGCATCCGGACGTGATCGAGTGGAAATTGGACTGCGGATATTACCGACGCGATCCATTCAGCGCTGGAGTTGCTATCAAGTACCTGGTTCGGTCTGGACGCTTGGACCTGATGCAGCGCATTGCGGCGCAGCATGACCAATCTCCAGAAAGCACGGACTGGTCCGCGGATTGGCGCTGTGCCATGGTGCACGCGTGTGTGAATGGAGACCGCGCTATCCTGCAGTGGCTGATGGAGCACCCGGCTGGACGTTGGACTTGCAATGGCGACGATCGCCTCTTCTCCGAGCTCGTCTTCAGCGCGGCGTACAAAGGGAACGTCGAGGCGATGCAGTACTTGTTCGAACAAGGGGCAGTCGACAAGGTCAGAGATGCGCTGCTGCATGCGATTCGAGAGAACCACTTGGACCTTGTGAAGTGGCTCATTCAGCACTTCCCAGAGTCCGAGCGTGTTCCAGATTATTGTGTGATGGACGAAGCTGCGAGGTATGGACGCTTGGAGATGTTGCAGTATTTCCAAGAGCTGGATACGTCGGCTATCCCGGGGTATTTTCCCTCACTGGCGTCTCCAACGCAGAGAGCAGCAAGGAATTCACGTGGAGAGAAGCACATGACGCAAATGTTCGTGCCTGCTTCGGATGACTATCTGAAAGTGCACTCCACTATGTGTCGATATCGTACGGAATGGCATCCAACTGAGGCGATGGACGACGCAGCAGCGAACGGGCATTTGGATGTGGTGAAATGGCTGCACATTCACCGATCCGAGGGCTGCACGACTGCCGCGATGGACTGCGCTGCTGCAAATGACCACCTTGACGTGGTGCAATGGCTACACAGTAATCGACCTGAAGGATGCACGACGAAGGCAATGGACGGCGCAGCTGAGAACGGCCACCTCGACGTGATCAAGTGGCTCCACTCGAACCGGTCCGAAGGCTGCACGGCGAAGGCCGTCGAGGGAGCGCTGAGCAATGGCCACTTGCGTGTGGCGGCCTGGCTTCAGTCCCACCTGCCAGCACCAGCATTCAAACCCGCGAACGTGGAGCTGTGGAGACGTCCGCCTAATCTGTTCGAGCTCCTGCTGTTCCAGAGCGTCCACTTCAGTAGCTGCAGTCCCCGACTCCTTGAGTACGCGCGCGAGATGCTGCTGGACGGCAGCGCCAAGTCCAACCACAAGCACGTCGTCCAGTGGCTGCAGGAGAAGTTCCCCGCAGCGCCCGGGGCTCGAGAGGAGGACGAGTGGTGGGGTATGTAGCCATCTCGGAGTCTGAGGCTGGCATTCGTCTACCTCACGTACGTCATCCAGCGCGACTACCGAAATTTAGACCTGCTCTACAACTGAAATCTAGCTAAACAGCACTAATTATAACTTGAAGTATGTATGAATCAATAGACGCTCTTTAACCGCATTGGTGCTGTACTCTCCGACGTCCTCGGCCTTCATTATTTTCATTATTGGACTCCTTGTGTTGATGTCTCCGTCGCCTTCCGCTGCGGCACCTGAAGCCCCCAGAGCGTCTACAGACACGCCTCCACCTTCATCTCTTCTTCCCGATGGTGCAACTCCGCCTCCCTCTCCCCCTTTATCCGCTGCGTCAGAGGCTTCCGACGCCAGCGACTTCGCGCCGTCCTCTTCTTCCTCGTCAGACGAAGACTCGGACTATTCGCCAGGCTCCAGCAGCAAGAAGAAGACCAAAACGAGCCCAAAGAAGAGAAAGATCAAGAGAAAGCGGTTAGTGAAAGGAGACGAGCGGAAGAAGAAGCGGAAAACAGCCAAAGAAGAAGAAAATGATGAAGAAGAGGACGAAGAAGAGCTAAATACTGGACGAGAGGCCTCTAAATCTCCTAAGAAGAGGACGCAGAGCGAGCGCAAAGCTGCGGCGGCCACGTGGGCAGACGACGGCAGCTTGGACCTGTACAGACGCCGGCTGCATGAGCTGCGGCGGCAGCTGCAGGACGCAGTGGACGAAGGCAAGAAGACGTTCTACAACAATCCCAGGCCTGTTGACTACGTTGAAGAGGAAGAACAAGAGGGAGAGAATGATGGTGATCAAGGAGGAGAAGAGGGTGAAGAAGAGAAGCCGAAGGTGGAGACGGGACCCAAGTTCTACTCGCCGTGGGACGTCACGGAGACGGCGTCGGGGCTTTTGGTGCCGAGTTACGTGCTGACGCAGCTGCTGCCGCACCAGCGAGAGTGTCTCGAGTGGCTGCACAAGCTTCATGAGCGAGGAGTAGGTGGGATCTTGGGTGACGACATGGGCCTGGGCAAGACGGTGCAGCTGGCTTCGTTCCTGGGCTCGCTGCACCGCGCGAGACGCCTTCGGACGGTGTTGTTGCTGTGTCCGGCCTCCGTGTTGCTGCAGTGGGTGCGAGAGCTGCACAAGTGGGTGCCCTGGATGAGAGTGGTGCTGCTTCATGCATCGGGAACTGGTGTAAGCACGTCGTTCTCGAGCGATTCGTACGAGCAGCTTATCGACGAGGTGTTTCGCTTTGAAGATGAGATGTCGGGGGACGAAGCGGATGGTGGCGATGAGTTCAGTGGCATGGGAGGGCACGCGCCTACAGGAGGAGGTGTGGTGATCAGTACGTACGAGAACGTTCGCCAGTACCAGAGTCTGTTTCTAACGCGTGAATGGGACTATGTCGTGCTGGACGAGGGCCACCGTATCCGCAACCCGGATGCTGAGACGACGTTGGCATGCAAGCAACTGCGCACAGTGCATCGCATTATCCTGTCGGGCACGCCGATTCAGAATCGACTGCGTGAGCTGTGGTCTCTGTTTGACTTCGTGTATCCTGGACGCCTGGGCACGCTGCCAACGTTTGATGACGAGTTTGTGTTACCTATTCGAGCTGGTGGGTACGCGACGGCTACGAAGATGCAGGTTTTGATGGCGTACAAGTGTGCTTTGGCGCTGAAGGACCTCATCCAGCCGTTCCTGCTCCGCCGTACCAAGCAAGAAGTGCTGACGAACGGTGCTAGCGGTAAGATGGGTGCGCTGTTGCCTGGCAAACAGGAACAAATACTGTTCTGCCGACTCACCAAGCGTCAGCGCGCCTTGTACAAGCGCTTCCTGGCCTCACCCGAAGTTGCGTCCGTGTTGCGTCGCGACATTCGCCCCTTCCGCGCCATCTCAGTGCTGCGCCACATTTGCAACCACCCGGACTTGCTTGCCTCGTTTGGCGATGGGAGACTGGCCGACAAGCGCCGGCAGAAGTATGATGACGACGAGGATAATGAAGAGGAGCAGGAAGGGCTTACTGATCTTGCCGGAATGCTGGATGAAGTCGACGATGAAGGTGAGAGTGATGAACCCTTCGGTGCTGCATCAGCGAGCGGGAAGATGATCGTGCTGCAGAAGATCTTGGGACTGTGGAAGGAGCAAGGCCACCGCGTTTTGATTTTCACGCAAACGCGCAGTATGCTGGACATTCTGGAGAGTTTCATGTCGAGGCAGGGACACGCGTGCTGCCGTCTTGATGGAACAACTGGCGTGGCTGAGCGACAGCAGCGACTGGATGCGTTCAATGCACCGGATAGCGAGCTGTTTGCGTTCTTGCTGACGACTCGAGCTGGCGGTATCGGTGTGAATTTGGTTGGAGCCGATCGTGTCGTGGTGTTTGATCCGGACTGGAACCCGTCCACTGATGTGCAAGCCCGAGAGCGAGCATGGCGCATCGGTCAACAGAAACAAGTGACAGTGTACCGACTCGTGACTGCTGGAACTATCGAGGAGAAGATCTACCACCGGCAGATTTTCAAGCAGTACCTGACCAGCAAGGTGCTTCATGACGCGAAGCGCAAGCGCTGCTTCAACAAGCACACGCTGCGAGATCTGTTCGTGCTGGCTGACGAGAAGGAAGAGGAGGACGGCGTTGCGGAGACTAACGAGCTATTCATTGCTGGAAACGTGGAGAGACCGGCGGAGCTGGAAGACGGTGAGGAAGAGGACAACGAAAGCGGCGGGACCCCCGAGTCGGAGGACAGCAAGAGCCGCATGGAGGCAGGCGACAACGACGCCGTGCTGAAGCAGCTCTTCGACGGCGGCGACGTCCGTGGCGTGTTCGACCACTCGGCTGTCGAGTCGGAGGGTGTGCAGAACCAAGAGGCGGATCTGGTCGAGATTGAAGCTACGAAGATCGCTCAGGGTGCTCTCAGTGCGTTGAGAGCATCTGGGGCCCTCATCCGACAGCAGCGCGAGACCATCTACACGCCAACGTGGACGGGTCGATCAGGGGCTGCGGGTGATCCCACCCAGCGACGTCAGCAGCCTGCAGCTCGAGGTCGCGGCCGGGGTAGCAGCGTCCGAGGTCGAGCAGGAAGGGGTCGTGGTCGAGGTGGACAAGGCGGTGGAGTGTCCTCGCGCGACATGCTGGCCAGGATCCAGCAGAGACGCGACGGCGTTGCAACTCAGGCTGCTCAACCTCCTGCGCGTCCTCGTGTTGCGGCCTCAGCTTCGTCCTCTGCTCCACTGAATGCTAGCGACATGACCAAGCGGCTGCACGCGTTCCTCGTCGCGAATCCCGCGGGCGTGACGACCGAGCGGCTGCTCGAGAGCTTCGGCAACGTCGTCGCCCCCAAGGACAAGCTCGTGTTCCGGCATGTGCTGCGTGACATGGCCGTGTGTCGAGGACGTCGGTGGACGCTGAAGCCGTCTTACTCGGTGTCCGACGCACCTGCCGGCGCAGCTCCGCAGCCGCCAATACAACGTCGACGAGGTGCGCTCTGGTGACGGAGGGAAATAATTTCGTAATAACACATGTCAATATGCTAAACAATGAACGTCCACAAGGACACCTTCAAAAACGGTACACTGTACCTCTTCTCAATTTCTAACCTATAGAAACGGCATATAGAAATCCACCACTTCGACGACGTCAATGGCTCGCTCGAGGGACGCCTCGCGGCGCAGTCGCTCTCGCTCGCGGGGGCGCCGGCGCTCGCCCGTCGTCTCACGCAGACGCAGCCGCAGTCGCAGTCGGTCCCAGCCGCGCCGTCGCCGCAGCCGCAGCGCCAGTAGAGCCTCCAGGAGCTCGCACCAACGGTCGGAGTCCAGTCGCAGCTCGTCTCATCTATTCGCGCCCCGTTCTCGCGGCCCCGAGCGCGATTCCAGCCGCCCTCGCGCGTCGCTGCTCGGTCTGGACAAACTGGCGGCGGAGAAGCGTCAGGAGTGCGAAAGTCGCGGCTCGGGGGCCCTCAAAACGACCGAAAACAGACCAGAACGAGACGTTAAGAGTAAATCGCTGTTGCCGCGCTCCGAGAGGACCTCAGGGCTCAACTCCAGTGAATGGGACGAGCCCGAACGTCTGCAGAGCGTGTCGAACCGTTCCGAGGCTCAGGAGGCGTCGGATACGCCCAGAACCAGCGACGGAGACCGACACAGCAGATCCAGCGCTACAAGGGGAGAACGCGAGGGTAGAACGAGTAGAAGCAGCAGTAGAAGCACGTGGAGAGGGGAACCGGACGACGCGTCGCCCGTTGCAAGCAGCTACAGACGCAGAGAGAGGCTGGAGGCCCCCAAGAAGCAGTACGACGATGAAGTCGAGGAGGATTTCGACCGCGAGTTCTACCTGAACGACGACGCTGGGGGCATCGAGGCCCACGAGGGCCACGTGTTCCTGGGCAGCGAGGAGAAGTTCAAGGCGCTGGAGGAGCAGCTGGAGCAGACGAGGGCCAGAGGAGACAACAAGCTCAAGGGCATGTCCGCCAGGGCCTCGGCGCTGTCGGCGGACCAGGAGGCGTGGGAGAAGAACCGCCTGCTCACGAGCGGCGTCGTGGCGTCCGGCAAGGTGGACACGGACTTCGACGACGAGCTGGACTCGCGGGTGCAGATCATGGTGCACAGCACCAAGCCCCCGTTCCTGGATGGGCGCGTGGCCTTCACGACTCAGGTGGAGATGGTGGCGACCGTGAAGGACCCGACGGCGGACATGGCTGTGTGTGCCAGGAAAGGCAGCGAGCTGCTGCGTGAGGTGCGAGAGCAGCGAGAGCGCAACAAGATGAGGAAGCGGTTCTGGGAGATCGGCGGGTCACGGATGGGGGACGCCATTGGTGTCAAGAAGGACGCCGGGTCGGACGAAGAGGAGGAGGAGAAACAGGAAGACGAGGACACAGACAACTACAAGCAGGACTCACAGTTCTCGACGCATCTCAAGAAGCAGAAGGCGGTGAGTGTGTTCGCCAAGACGCGGACGCTGCGTCAACAACGAGAGTTCCTCCCGATCTTCCAGTGTCGCGAGGAGCTGCTGCAGGTGATCCGAGAGAACCAGATCGTGGTGATCGTCGGTGAGACGGGATCGGGTAAAACGACGCAGCTGACGCAGTATCTCCACGAGGAAGGATACTCTGGCTTCGGCATGATCGGCTGTACGCAGCCGCGTCGTGTGGCCGCCATGTCCGTGGCTCAACGTGTTAGCGAGGAGATGGAGGTGACGCTGGGCGAGGAAGTGGGGTACGCCATTCGATTCGAGGATCTCACGTCCGACAAGACCATCATCAAGTATATGACGGAGGGTGTGCTGCTGCGCGAGTCCCTGCGTGAAGCCGACCTGGATTCGTACTCGTGCGTCATCATGGACGAAGCCCACGAGCGCGCTCTCAACACGGACGTGCTCTTCGGTATCCTGCGCAAGGTCGTGCAGCGTCGCAGCGACTTCAAGCTGGTCGTGACGTCGGCTACGCTAGACGCGGACAAGTTCGCCAACTTCTTCGGCGGCGTGCCCATGTTTACGATCCCAGGCCGAACGTTCCACGTCGACACGCGCTACGCCAAGTCGCCCAGCGAAGACTACGTCGACTCGGCGGTGAAGCAAGTCATGCAGATCCACTTATCGCACCCTCCAGGCGACATCCTGGTGTTCATGACGGGTCAAGAGGACATTGAAGCTACGTGTTACGTGCTGGCGGACAGAATGGGTAAGCTGGACGGCGCCCCGCCTCTCATGGTGCTCCCCATGTACTCCCAGCTACCGGCCGATCTACAGGCAAAGATCTTCGACGCCTCGGACATTCGGAAGTGCATCGTGTCGACGAATATTGCCGAGACATCGCTCACTGTGGACGGTATCAAGTACGTGATCGACACGGGCTACTGCAAGGTGAAGGTGTACAACCCCAAGATCGGCATGGACGCGTTGCAGGTCAGTCCTATCAGCCAGCAGAACGCCAACCAGCGAGCGGGTCGTGCCGGTCGTACCGGCCCAGGTGTCGCCTATCGGTTGTACACGCAGCGGCAGTTCGTCAACGAGATGCTTGAAGCGCAGATCCCTGAGATCCAGCGGACGAACTTGGGGTACGTGGTGCTGCTGCTGAAGTCCCTCGGGGTCTCCAACTTGCTGGAGTTCGACTTCATGGACCCGCCGCCGCAAGACAACATCATCAACTCCATGTACCAGCTCTGGGTGTTGGGAGCACTGGACAACACGGGCGAACTCACGGAGATCGGCAAGAAAATGGTCGTGTTCCCGCTGGACCCGCCGCTGGCCAAGATGCTGCTCTTCAGCGAGCAGCTCGGCTGTTCCACCGAGGTGGTGGTGGTGGTGAGTATGTTGTCTGTACCCAGTGTGTTCTTCCGTCCGAAGGACCGCGAGGAGGAGAGTGATGCCGCCCGTGAGAAGTTCTTCGTGCCTGAGAGCGACCACCTCACGCTGCTGAATGTGTATCAGCAGTGGGAAGCCAACCGCCACTCGGCTCAGTGGTGCTCGGACCACTTCATCCATGCCAAGGGCATGCGCAAGGCCCGCGAGGTGCGGGAGCAGCTGGCGGACATCATGAAGCAGCAGCACGTGCGTCTTCGCTCGTGTGGCGGACGCTGGGACGTCGTGCGCAAGGCCATTTGCTCCGCCTACTTCTACAACTCAGCGCAGATCAAGGGCATCGGTGAGTACGTGAACATGCTGACAGGAATGCCGTGCAACCTGCACCCGAGCGCCGCGTTGTTCGGACTTGGCTACACGCCGGACTTCGTCGTGTACCACGAGCTCATCTACACGAGCAAGGAATACATGCAGTGCGCCACCGCCGTCGAGGGCGAGTGGCTCGCTGAGCTCGGCCCCATGTTCTTCAGCGTGAAGGAGTCGTTCCAGTCGCGGCTGCTCAAGCGCATGAAGGAGAAGGAGGAGGCCGTCGAGATGGAGCACGAGATGGAGGCGTCGCTGCACGCCAAGGAGGACAAGGCCAAGGACAACGTGGAGAAGCGACTCGCGGCCAGTCGCCACCACAAGAAGCAGCGCATGACTGTGGCGGGCCCCGGGCGATCCGACCCTCCTGCGAGCTCGAGCTCTTCCAAGACAGCACGGCGCCCTCCTCGCCCTCGTCGCTTCGGGTTTTAGAGACTGCTGGACAACGGGTAGGATTGATCTCAATGTGAAGTTGAAGTTCTTATGTTGCTGATACTGATCTCATGTTGCAGCAATAGTTTCTATGTCACATCTTTTGGGGACGCAGACTTGCAATTATACAGGAGCATGGTTTCCTCCTTTGTACTCACCGCGGTGGACGTCGTGCTGCGCCACCAGTCAGCTGTTGCAGGTGTGCAGGAACTCCAGCCCATGATCACGAGCTTCCTGGGGCCGCCACCGAGTTTGTCGCTTCGGGAGTCGGCCAAATACTCGAGCGTGAGACTCTGCGACTGGATCTGGGAGTCGAGCTGCACTTCAGCCGCCGAGCGGACGTCAAGCTGGAGTCTCACCAACTATCTGCGGTCCGACGTTCACTACTACGAGTGGCAGTTCGAGCGGGTATTGGAAAATGCGGTTGCTAACGGGGACACGCCTCTTGTCGAGTGGCTGCTGACCCATTTTTCGGGTTGCATGGTACCGGAAGAGGCAGTCATCAACGCAGCCATTCACGGGAACGTGAGGATATTGCAGATGATGTTTGATCATGAGCAGCATGAGGGGAACACCGAGTGGGACTGGTTATCTATGGTCATCGAGTCCGACCACTCCGAAGTTATGCGCTGGATGTGCGAGCACGGGGGGGACGATCCAGACCGACTATACATTCTCATCAATGGATTATTGGATATAGGCGACATCGAACTCGGATTCAGTGCTACCTGAAGACATACGCATCTCGGGCTTCGCTGATGCGAGATACATTCATCCTCACGTGACTGAATTGCTACTAGACCGTGGCTTCCTGCAGCATTTTATTATCCGCATCATGCCTCGTTTGGCTAAGCATGGGCGTCTGGACCTCATGAAGCGAGCTGTAGACCCCCTGCTGCGGCTACCCACTAACTGGAGTGGGTGACCGATTGGCAAGAATCACTCAAGTCGGCATGCCTGCGTGGGGATGTCCACATGGACTCGTGGCTCCTTGAATCGTCGGCTGGACGTGAAGTGTGTCGTAACTTCAACATTTCCTCGCTTCTGTTCTCGACGGCCGCTGAAGAAGGTCACGCTGAGGTGATGGAGTATTTGAGGAAGCAAGATGAGTTTATTGTGCTTTGTGAAGGAAAAGACTTGGTGGAGACGGCGATCTGCCATGGACAGGTGAAGGCCCTGGAGTGGCTATTCAAACACGTTTCGTATGACGCGCGACCTGACGCATCTACGCATATCGAGGTGGCGGCGGAGATGGGGTACGTCGACGTACTCGAATTCCTCTATCAACCGGATTGTTCAGACTCTTTCGTCCCAGCCAACCTGAAGCGTCGACGGCTGGATACGTGGCGAATGTTCGGCCGTGCATTCGACTTGGCAGCAAGCAATGGCCATTTGGACGTCCTCAAGTGGCTGCAGTCCAAGTGCTACGAAGGATGCACGGCACAAGCGATGCACGGCACAGGTGATGGACGGCGCAGCGTCGAATGGGCACCTGGAGGCAGTGTTTTGGTTGCACTACAATCGAACTGAAGGCTGTACGAGAGACGCGTTCGACGGCGCGGCTGGGCACGGACACTTGGATGTGGTCAAGTGGTTGTACGAAAATCGACTGGAGGGCGGCACGGTTATAGCGATCGAGAAGGCTGTGAGAAATGGCCACCTGCAAGTAATAACATGGCTTCTATCGACATATCCAGAGTGTTGCCCAGCGAAGCTGGAGTTTGCTTTGATTGACGGTGGCAAGTTTGACATGTTGCTCTACTTGGAGGCGAAGTACCGCCATCTCTTCACCCGGGAGATTATTGAGGACGTATATCTTGTAATCTGAGTGGATCGATGGACACATCTGCGAGTGGCTTCAAGAATGCTTTCCGCATGAGCTCTGAGTGACTCAACACTCACTTGCCGGAACAGTGTATTGTACTACGTATTTCCGAGTTGCTATCGGGACATTTGCATAAATGTGGGATAATAAGAAGTAAACTGCTTGTATCATTAAGCTATAGTGCACATGGATGGCGAAGTGAATTGCAAACTTCTCGCAGTGTTCATGTAGCCATGATTAGTCTTGATGGATACATGTGGTGTCGTGAACACCAAGTACGTCAGCGAGGAACTGAGGAGATCAAGTGCAACATCGACGTTTGTCAAGTTGGCAACTTGGGCAGACCCATTTGCGTGCACCAAAGTGCATGTAAAACACCAGCTGCACCACCGGAATTGGAAACACAAGCGCTCTCAAATGTTGCAACAGAAGATAGAACGAGGTGCTCGCACATCACGACCACACCAGGCTCCATGCTGCCGAGCAGCACAAGAGCAAAGACCACTGCTGCATGGCTCAGATGGCTGACAACTCCGTCTTGTGCACGTGGCTGAGCGCAGCAAAAGGTGCGCCAGCTCACTCTACGATTTAACACTTCAACACCCTTGGGCCCTTAATTTAACCGCTGCCTGCCACAAGGAGCACAACAACTAACACCTTGCATACACAGACAGAGATAAACCGGGCTAACATACTTTATTGCCCCGCGCCACGCCATCGTCATGCCGAAGTTTTTTTCCTCCTGCCTCAAATAACGCGTCCGCGGGAACACCTTGCTAGTGAGGATTTCCATATAAAAACAAAAATCCTCAAATAACCTCTGGGTTAGAGATCTCTAAACGCGCTCTTATTTGAGGCATTTTACTCGAGCTTGCCGAGGATGTCCTCGTCGCGGAAGAGGAAGAACTCCTGGCCGTCCAGCTTGACCGAGCTGCCGCCGTACTCGGGCAGCAGCACCTTGTCGCCCACGGCGCTCTGGGCCGGGACGAGCGAGCCGTCCGTGGCGCGGGCGCCGGGGCCCACGGCCACCACCTCGCCCTCGTTCTGCTGCTTGGCGTCGGCGTCCGGCAGGTAGATGCCGCTGGCCGTCTTGGCCACGGCCTCGAAGCGCTTGACCAGCACGCGGTTGCCGAAGGGGATCAACTTGCGGAGGGAGCTCTGTTGCAGCAACAGTTTAGGTGTACCATAACCGCCGGTTAGCACTAGCTTAAACGCGTGGATAGAGAGAGGGAGGGAGTTATTGCCGAGGAGGAGGGTAAGGTACCATTTTGACTTGGGGAATTGCGGGTGAGTTGCGAATTGACGGGCGGCCACCGAAGGCGCCGGAAGCGGATTTGTGCGGCGGCCGTTGACGCGACCTTCCGGCAACATAAAGTTGTCACTTGATTAAAATATGGGGCTAGATTACGGGGATGTAATTAAAGCAGATTTTTGGATATAATTGGGTAATTTTGGGTAGCTATTTGGTAATTTTGGGATAATTAGCCCACCTTCGCGCGACATGGCGGTCGCACCTATCAAGGCTTCGATCATTCGAGAACGCTGACGTCAGCTTCAAGGCGTTAAAAACCGAGCGTCCTTTTGATTGATTGACAAGCGTCAATCATCTCAGTCACTTGTTGCCTCCGTCTGCCAACACCCAAGCCACTTTTCCACTTCAGCATCACACGGCTGCCCAATGCCCAACCGAATCTCCCTCCTCCTCACAGCTTCGTGCAACTTTACACTCTGACACGCGACCACTTGCATCCTCGAGCTGTAGCACATGCCAGCTTTGCATTGTTTGTACATGACCCCGTCGCACTCTTCAACCTGTTGCCGAGTGGGGGTCACCAGGAAGTCGCTGGGGGCTCCTGGCAGTCGACACGTTGCAACTCCCACAGTGTCCAGCAGTTGCTGCGTAACGGAATTGCCTGGCTGGTTATGGGGGTCGCTTGTGTCAAGACATGAGGAGGGGGACGGGCAGAGGTAGTGCGAGGTGTTGCAGGGGCCGATGTAGCCATTGCAACAGGCAGTTGCGTCCACAATGACAAACGTGCCGAGGTGGACGCTTGAGGACAGAGTGGGGACGCGGAGAAGTGCTGTGTCGCCGGTGAGGAAGACTCGTTTGAGCTTGCGGAGGGTCTCGAGGGACGGAATGTCCTCCAGGGACAGCATCAGAGCGATAGACAGCATCTTGAGGTTGGTGGACCATTCATGCCGGGGAATGCCGCCAGGTGTTGGTGGACTCCGAGGTGCAGATAAGTGAGCGACTTCATGTCGTCGAAGAGATTTTTAGGTATTGCGATCAGTTTGCTGTCCATGGATCGGCCTTCGATGCTTCTGTATTGGAGGCAACAAGCGGTTAGATAGAGGGGAGGTTTTGAGGGTGAAAACGGCAACTTACAAGTATTCGAGCTTGGTGAAGGCTGCAGACCAGTCCGGGATAATTTCAATGCCAGTGTACGCGAGTGTTTGGCAATTCTAGATACAACATATATGTAACACGCACATGCTTTGGAGTTGTGTGCAGCGCTGGAGCTCATCAGGCAGTGCTGGGAGGTGCCTGTTGACGACCTCGATGACGCGTAAATCGCCTGTCAGTGACAACTTACGCAGTAATTCTGTCACGTTTGGAGGGTTTGTCCACTCGGCGTAGCTTCGAGGCGCTTTATCCACGTCTATCAGCGCTCGACACGGGCAAAACTCCGTCTCGGACCAGCGGTACGCGTATGCAACACACTCGGGATAAGCCAAACACCTTTTGTCTGAGGTAACAATGCTTTGGTTGGTGTGCATCAGCACTCCGATGCTCACGAAGACGAAGATGAGCGCAGTGGGTCGGCGGATGTGCATTTGGTTGTCTTTCTTACTCGACGACTGCTTAGACGCAACTTCGTGCCGCCGATGGAGGATCAGAAACTCCACCACGCGACCGAGGCGGTGACTGAACGACAGGTTCATGGCCATACGAATGCACATGTCCAACCCCGACTTCAGGCGCAGAGCGTCGAAGCTGATGAGGAACAGCGTCACCTCGGACGAGTTGGCCATCCGCCGAGCCTGGCGCTCGAACCAAGATCTGGGGTACATTGCCACGTATAAGAGCGCTGTGGCGCGGTCGAAGTCGAAGTCCATGTACGAGTAGCAGAGCCACCAAATGGGCCACAGCACAGCGAACAGCATATCAAAACTGACAAATAACATTCCCAAAACTCAGTGATGATAGCCCATGTCGACAACATACTGGATAACTGAGGACTTACACTGTATCGACGAAAACTTCAGAGAATGCCGAATGGATGCCAGGAGCCAGGATAAGGCTGGCACAGGATAACGAGTTGGCTGCGATCAAGCCTGCGTATGTGTAGCACAGCGTCGTGGGGATCCCATCTTCAAGCAGGCGATGAAGAGCTGTCATTTGGATGGCCAAGTCGAGAGACTTGTGAAAAACGTTCTGCGGTAAAAAAACAGTATACGTTTTGGTTAACACTCAACCTTTGGGCATGCGCGTGCGAAGTAACATATAATTTGGCGTTCGTACGAAGAGTTTGCGCTTTTTGCCCTCGAAATTGTTGAGCTCGTTCCAGAACTCGAACGATTTTCGAGCTATTCGAAGTCGCGGGCTGATCTTGCTGCTCATTCGATAGAGCCGTGCTGTAACCAGTCGATAGATGACGCTGGGCGAACACTTGGCGTTCCTCTGCACCGTCATCTTGAGCAAAACATTGGCGTAGCTTACCAACAGAACCCCCAGACACAGAGTGCTGACGACCATGAAGATGGGCTCCGGGTCAATGATCAGCCAGAAGTTACCGTCGTCCAGCTCCGTGGTCCCCATCAAGAAGTTCGCAGTTTGGTTGGGCGCGACGGTCAGTATGACCAGCCACGCAGTCCAGGCGACGGATACAGAGATCATCCTGACTAGTGGAAGTCCGAGCAAGCCGAACGTTTGGGTGAAAGATAAGGAGACTTTTCCCCCAACACACGATAGTTTTCGGAGGTCGTGGACACGCGGACCTTGCCTGGAATGCACCTTCGAGCGCTTGGGTGCGTTCCCTTCTGGCGCAATTGATGCGGCTCTTGGACTTGGCAACTTCATGCCGGTGCTCCTCAGTGCTGAGTTGATGTATTGTGCTGATGTCCAGGCAGATACAATATCGCCACGCACAAATAGAAATAGATTGATCGATGATAACTTCAAGAGTTGGGTGATCTGTACTTAGCTCATACTCGGCATAAGAATAATGCCCGAACAGGTGATACCAGTTCGAAACAGCACTCTAAAGCGCCAAATCTCGATAGAAATTCTTCATTTCGATAATGCTGCACAGCCTAGCCACTACTCGTGGATCGGATCACAGGGGGTTCCTACTCCGTGTTGGATTTCCTGTCTCCGAGCTGCCATATAGAGCGGCATGGTCTGGCAGGAAACAACCTGCATCGTCTCGTTGTAGGGATGCAAGCGTTACCGTTAAATTTTCGGCACTGCGCGTACAAAACTCCGCCGCAGTTGTCGACGTTCTCTTTCGATGGAATAGTGAAAAAATCTGAGACTTTAAAGCCGGATTTGGTGCAAGTTTTGAACGTCATCAGGTCGAAAATCCGCTGCGTGACTTCGTTCGGTCGATTCTCGGGGAGAGTTTTATCCAGACACGAAGGATGCGCCGAGCAGAGGTGGTAGCAAGGATTGCAGACGATGTATCCATTGCAGCACGCTTGGCTCTCGACGACGATGAAGTTGACAGAGCCGATATTTGGTGACAGGTCAGGGATCCGCTGCGTGCTGGTCGCTCCAACCACTTGAACCAGTTGCAGTTTGGTCAGCTTATCCAGGCGCGGCACATATTGGAGCGACATCATGACGGCGAGAGTGAAGGATTTAAGGTTGGTTAGCCCGTCCATGCGAGGGAGATGGCGCAAGTTTTGGTGCACTGCCAAATGCAAGTACGCTAGCCTGTACATGTCGTCGAAGAGATTTTCTGGTAAAGAGACCAAGTTTTTATCAATTGGACGCCCTTCAATGCTCCTGTTCGTTCACGAAATATAGTGTTAAAGTTTGGTCGCGTTCATGTAGAGAATGATGCATGACGTACAGCATTTCAAGGTGGTGGAATGCTGCTGCCCATTCTGGGATGACATTGATGTTCGTGTACATCAGCACTCTAAGCAACACAAAACAAAATTTGTCAGTAGAGATGCCATGACTTAAGTCGGGAGAAAATGAAGCGTACATGCTGCGAAGATCGGTGCACCGTTGCAGCTCCGCTGGCCATACGGGGAGCTGTCGATTAATGATCTGGATGATGCGTAAATCTCCAGATTTGGCCAGCTTTTCGACGAGGTTTGTCACGTCTGGGGGGGTGGATCCACTCACTGTACGTTCGAGGGGCTTGCTCTACATCGATGAGTGCGCGACAAGGGCAGGAGTCGTGCGTTTCCCATCGATAAGCATACACTACGCACTGTGGGTAAGCCGAGCATGCTTTTCCAGAGGCCACGATGTGACGACCAGGACGCCAACGCTCACAGCAAGGAAAACTAACGCCACTGGCCGCGGTAGATTGAATTGGTGACTGGTTTTCACGAGGTTAAAGGACTTGGTGCGCCCGAGAGCTTGGCGTTGTCTTCGAATCATAAACTCCACCGCTCGCTTCAGGCGGTAGCAGAACGAGAGGTTCATCGCCATCCGCAGACACAAATCGGACGCTGACTTCATCCGCAGAGCGTCGAAGCTGATCTGGAACAATGTCACAGTGGCTGCGTCCGCCATAAGTCTCACCTTCCGCTCAAACCATCTAGCTGGGTAAACTTTCAGATACAAAAGCGGCTTAGCTCGATCGAAGTCGAAGTGCTCCACAGAGTACCCTAGCCAAAGAATGGGCCACCCTACAGCGAAAACCATGTCAAAGCTGCAATACAAGGCACATGAGAACAAATACGCAATCTAAATCAACACGTGCGTGCATATTTTACGTACAAGGAGTCTACGAAGACTTCCGAAAGTGCCGTGTGCTGTCCAGTTCGTAAAATTAATACTGCACAGGAGAGTGAATTGGCAGAAATCAAGCACGCGTAGGCATAGCACAATGGCGCCGGTATGCCGTCCTCCAGTAGCTGATACAGTGCAATCGTCTCGATGACTAGGTCGGGCACCTTTAACACGGCGTTCTGGCAAGTTAAAATGAAAGAAAAGTTAGTTTATGAAACAAACTATTCTTTTTTGCTTATCTTACCCAATATTTTCGCTTTTTGCCATTGAACGCCGTGAGTTCGTACTTAGTACCAGAACGAGAGCACATTTCGTTCGAATTGTGACCGTGCTCTCCTCCCAGGGCACATGACGTTGATCAACAAGTTGAACGGACGCACGGGATGGATCATATTCCGCTGCACAGACATCTTCAGCAACACGTCGATATACACAAGAACGAGCATCCCAAGACTCAGAGCGCTAACGATCAAGAAGACCGGGTCAGGGTCAATAATCAGCCAGAAGCGGCCGTTGTCAAACTCCGTCGTCTTCGTGAGGAAGTTCGCGGCTTCGTTCGGCGCGACAGTCAGAATAATTAACCACACAGTCCACGTGATAGAAACCAACACCACAACCACTATAACCAGTCCTCGTTTGCCAAAGGCTTCAGCAAATGTAAGCGACGAGTTGTTGGCTCGTTGAATGTCTTTTACCGTCGGGGCACTCGGAGGTTTGGCTTGGCGATGAGAGGTGGACCGAATAACAGCAGACGCGAACTGTCTGCTGCCTACTGGACCAATGCGAGCTTCGAGCGGCGAGATCTTCCGCGCTCCACGGAAGCGCCCAAGCCACGACATACTCGATGGTAAGTAAGGATAAGCGGTCGAGCGAAGGCTGCTAATAACGCATGAGGGCTTAGAACGTGCCTGGTGAATAGCCCCCGAAATATTGTGTCCAACTGAGCTTGGCGTCGCCTAAAATACCAATGAGGGTATTCTTATGAAGTTCTTGGGGGAAGCATTACTCCAAAAAGCTAAGCACCGCACAGTACCCCTCGAGACGCTTGCAGTGAGCGATGGTGTCGCCCCCCAAGGCGTGGAAAGCAAAGGACCAGCCAGTCGGCTCAACGATCCGCATTTTGCCGCAACAGCCCAGCAAGCCAACAGCTATAGAAACCTTTGTGGCTGGTGCTAAAGCCGATAGTTTCTTGGAGGCTTTCGGAGCCATCGGAGTTCTTCTGTTTCTGGCGGCAAGTGTGTCTGTGGTCTGGACGCTGTGGCTTATTGTGCTGAATGTGGCGCCGAACGATACGGCGAATCATCTTATGGGGACGGGAGACTTCGACGACGGCAACTTCTGGCTGATCATTGATCCTGATCCAACTCTGACGGCTATTAACGCGATGGTCCTGGCGATATTGGCTCTTAGTTACGTTCAAGTTCTAGTGAAAATGACAATACGGAGGAATTCCCGACTTAGGATCACTCCCGTTGGGCCGACGGAGGAAGAAGTTCACCGACAGTGGGTGTCCAATGTGCCTTACGTTGGCATATATCTACATCAAGCCGCAGTCTTTGGGGTTGAGCTTACAGGCTACTACGGACGATATCGGAAGTTCTGGGTGAGGTTTTGCATTGAATATTTAAATTTTCACTTACATCGGGAGTTCTCACCTTTGTTTTTTTTTCATTTAGAACGTCCTTTTCAAGGTCGGCGACCTAGTTGTTGAAACTATACAGCTACATCACCTGTTGGAGGCCGGCTTCTCCGCTAGTTTGTCCTACGGTTATTCAGCTCTGATCGCGGCGAACTGCTTAATGCAAGCGTTTTTCATCCTAAACCCCGTCAGACATCACACTGCATTCACCGAGGTCCTGGTCGACACTGTGTACGTCCAACTAAGGCTCATACTTGAGTTGAGTCCCCCCAAATCTAACGTATTATTCTGTCATTCTAGCTTTGATATGCTGTTCGCTATCGGTTGTCCGATTTTCCTGTTAGGGTACTCGTATACTACGTTCGATCTTGACCGGGCCGTAGCAAGACTCTACCTGAAGGTGTTCTTCCCTGGCAGCTTCCAGCGGCAAGCCAGGATGCAGGCAGACCCGATAGGGACCACGCTTTTCCGCTTCTCCTTCGACTCATTGCGCACGCTGACGTGGTCAGATCTGGTCATTCGACTGGCAATGAATATTGCGTTTAGCTATCGACTGTCACGACTGGTCGAGGTGATCCACCAACAACGCAGGAACTCGAGGACTACGAGCAGCAAATTGGCGAAACTAAACGCCCAGCGGTCAGTGCCACGAGGGGTTGGCGTTTTATTCGTGGGGGCAAGCATTTTTGCGCTGGTGTACACATCACGGTGCATTTCCGACTCTCAGGGAGACTGTAAAGCTTACCCCGAGTGTGTGGCGTTCGCATATCGCTGGGATAATCGAGACGTTTGCCCGTGTCTAGCGATCGTTGACGTGGATCGAGCTCCCAAGACGTATGAAGAATGGATCCACCCCTTGGATGTCACGGCTACGGTGAGATCACTCGCTACGTCGGGAGATCTGGAAGTACTGCAACTGACGAATAGACAGATGGTCACTTGGCCCGAAGAACTCCAGCGCTGTGTCAACCTCGAATACCTGTACGTACACGATAGGACAGATTGAAAACTTTGTACCTTCGTGCCACTAACTTACTGCACATGGGGGTAGTTCATTGTACTACACCGGCGTCGAAGTCGTGCCAGATTGGTTTAAGGTGTTTCACAATCTCCAGTTCCTGTACGTATTGTGAGGCCATTGGTGGTTTCTTGTTGCTGCTCTAACTCGCTTTTGGTGCCTGTGTCCAGCGATCTGCAAGGCAAATTTGGCGACACGAACATCGTCAGTATGCCTCCAGATGCGTTCCTCAACATGGGCTCCTTGACCTTCATGCACCTCGGCTACCTCCAGCTGCTACCAGAATTGCCCAGCTTTGAAGGCCTCTGCAACCTCAAGAGCATGTCCCTGGCGCTGCTGTACTCCTTGACTGCTCTCCCCGCTCTTATGCCTCTGGCCAAACTCCAACAACTCGAGCTCGTGTCACTAAACTCTCTTCAAACATTGCCAGAAGTCACGTCAAACCACCATCTCTCGCACGTTGTGGTCTGGCAAGCACAACTGTGTTGCAATGGGTTTCTTGGAGCCTGCAATACGTCGGCTCCTGTTTGCAGCGGAATGCCAGCGAGTGACTGCCTCACGCCTTCCGACCGCCCAAGTGCCGAGAGTCTGGGAATTATCGCGACTCAGCCGGAGGTGTGTGCCAAGAACGCCCCGTTCATCCCTCCAGCCGAACCTCCGCTAAAGTCTCAGGTGGACGCGTGTGGAGGTGTCTTGTACCGTCAGTGCCGCGATACATTGTTCGCTTCGGAGCCCGTGGGCATGTGCATCAACAACTTCTTCCAAGTGATCGCGTGCTCCTCGATCGACAAGTTTTCGATCTATGTACGGCAGCAAGAGATTCTTTACGGGATCGGGACCCCGTGCGACCCCAAGGAAGAAGCCTGGCTGGGCTGCAACAAAAGGCAATAACTCAGCAGTTTTCGTGTAAGACTCCATCTAGCTGTGGTGTATTTTGGCTACGACAGACGCGAAAACTGGCATTTTGATCCTACCGTCCGCGTGACATATAAAGTGGAGCAATAGCGCCTTAGAATAGTTCATCGAGGGGCTGAAAATACAACTTTATGTCCTGGTTGCAGGCGTTGTTCTGATCGTCACGGCATTTTGCCATTGGCACAGCTCCGACGCATCCTGGTAAAGCTGCAATGGCAAGGTTGCACCTCCCAGACGCATTCGCTCGGACGATGACCTCGAAGAAGGCGCCCGCTCTCAGATCGATCCAAATTCTACCGCAACAACCGAGTAAACCGCACGCCAGCAAAGGTCCAACAGCAAACGTCTCTGCTGCAAAGCCTGACAGCTTCTTTGAAGCTTTTGGTCCTATTGGGATCCTACTGCTGCTGAGTGCGGGCGTCTCTGTTTGGTGGACTGCGTGGCTCATCGTCTTGACCATCGCTCCGATCGACACTGCGAACTACTTGATGGACACGGCCGAGTTTGACGACGGACACTTCTGGCTCATTGTGGACCCTGAACCCGAGATCATGAGCGTCAACAGCATTGTGCTCGTTGGACTGGCAGTGAGCTACATCCACGTGATGCTGAAGATGACGGTGCTGAGGAACTCAAGCTTCCGCATTATGCCGGTCGGTCCGAGGCGAGATGAAGTTGCCACACCCAATTGGGCTGCGAGAGTGCCGTATATTGGGAAATATTTGCAACAAGCTGCGTCGTTTTGGCTCGAGTTGACGGGGCACTATGGCCAGAATCGAAAGTTCTGGGTACGTACGTATTGGTGCACTTGATTTGAGTTCATGGGGGTGTATTGTTAACGAGGTCTTGTCTGTAGAATGTGCTCTTTAAAGTCGGAGATCTCGTCGTAGAATCTATTCAGCTAAACCATTTACTGGAGGCGGGGTTCTCGGTCAGCTTGTGCTACGGCTACGCCGCGTTAATTAATTGCGCTGAGCTGCCTCTCCCAGGCGTTCTTCATCTTCCAGCCCGTATCGCACTCGGCATTCACTGAAGTTCTGGTCGACACCGTGTAAGTTGCTATATCTACCATTGCATGGATAAATATTATTTACCTAACACTTTTTTTCTCTACTTCAGTTTTGATATGATTTTCGCCGTCGGGTGTCCAATTTTCCTTCTGGGATACTCGTACACCATGTTCGACTTGGATCGGGGCATCGCACGACTCAACCTCACGGTATACCCTCCAGGTAGCTTCCAGAGGCAAGCCAGGATGCAAGCTGACCCAATTGTCACCACTCTCTTTCGGTTTTGCTTCGATTCTCTGCGAACCCATGGTCGAATTTACTGGTACGACTCGTGATGAATATTTCGTTCAGCTACCGGCTGACTCGCCTGGTGGAAGTAATCTACCAACGCCGAAAGAACACCGTGCGAACTACTAGCAGCAAGTTAATCAAGCTAAAGGCTCAAAGAGCTGTGCCACGCTGGATAGGGGCGACTTTCATTGCTGCAAGCACTTTCGCGCTGGTATATACAGCGAAGAGCGTTGCAGAGTTGCAGAAAGCATGCAGCGCTTATCCTCAGTGTGTGGCGTTTGCCTACCGGTGGGACCGCCAATACGCGTGCCCTTGCCTCACACTTGTTGATATAGATCGAGCTGCTAAAACGTATGAAGCGTGGATACACCCAGTCGATGTGACGGAGGATGTAAGGGCCTTGGCGCTATCGGGAGATTTACAAGTGTTGCAGCTCACGAATCGAGAGATGAAGCCGTGGCCCGAGGAGCTGCAGTGGTGTACAAACCTCGTGTATCTGTACGTAGTGTGAGTTGCGTGAGGGATAATGGGGAAATGAGATTCTAACCACGCATTTTGTGCCCCATAGGTCCTTGTATTATACGGGCGTTGAAGTGATTCCGGACTGGTTCAAGGTGTTCCACAAACTCGAATTCTTGTACGTAGCGAAAATATGTCATGTTGGGATCTCCATTGTATCAGATGATTGCTTAGCTATCTCCATGTAGTGATATGGAAGGCAAGTTTGGGGAAAACAATGTCGTGAAGATGCCGTTAGACTCCTTCTCACGGATGAGCTCACTGACGTTCATCCATTTGGGATATCTCCAAAACCTACCCGAGCTACCCAGCTTCAAAGGCCTGAACAATCTGAAGAGCATTTCGTTGGCGCTCCTGTTCTCGATCACTTCGCTCCCTGAGATTAAACCTCTTGTGAAGCTCCAGCGACTGGAGCTAGTGATGATGTACGAGCTCCAACGACTTCCCGACATTACGTCTAACCAGCACCTGAAGAATCTCATTCTCGTCAACGCGCCGTTGTGTTGCAATGGGTTTCTCGGTGACTGTTGCCTGCACTGGGATAACATGCCTACCGTCAAGCGATCGCATCAGTGAAGCGAATCTGGATATTTTCGCCGCACAACCAGCAGCCTGTGACAAGAACGCATTTTATTTTCCCGCTCCACCACCAATAGCACAGCATCAAGTGGATATCTGCGGGGGCGTCATGTATCGTCGATGCTACGATCCGATCTTCCAGAGTGCAGACGTCGAAGTCGTGGGGATATGCATCAACAATTTCTTTCAAGTAATCTCGTGCAGTTCGTTCGACACATACGCCATCAATGGGAGACAGCAGGAAATCATCCATGGCTTTGGGGTTCCGTGTGACCCGGTCGAAGAGACTTGGCTTGGCTGCGTGCAGCTAAAGATCGGAGATATCGTAGTCTGGGTGGTGTGTTTCCAGCCATTGGACAACGAGACCACCGCTTTCAGTCCTGCTGGTGCTTACAAGAGGCCGTTGAATCCTGGCACGGAACCAAATAGTGAAGACGTGGGGATAGTGTACGTGAAGAAACAGCAGAACCTCCAAGGTTTTATCCGAGGAGATGGACTTGCCCACCATAGCAGGAAAATGATGCGGGTAGTGGCCTCTTAACCAGAAAGCAACTTGGAGGTGGCCGTTGCTGATTGCTGCCTCGATCGCCTTGAACGAGCAGCCTTCGGATCTGTTGGCGTGCAGCCACTGGAGTACGTGCAAGTGTCCACCTTTGGCAGCCAAGTCCATTGCCTCAGTCGTGCAACCCTCCAAGCGATTAAAGTGCAGCCACTGTACCACATCGAGGTATTCATTCGCAGCAGCATGGTCCATTGCGAACGTCGTGCAGCCCTTAGATCGAATCAGTTCCAGCGTGGCCGCGGCTCTAGATGAAGAGTCGGAGCTGTGGAAGTACTGGAGAATGGTCAATTGACCACACTTGGCAGCTTCGTCCATCAAATTCTCATTTGTCGGTCTTTTGACGCGCGGAAGCAGCCACTTTACGGCATGCAAGTGACCGCTACGAACACCTTTAACCAAAGCGTCTTCGTATCCATCAGCAATGCCTTCTTCATGAAGAAATTGCATGATCTCGACGCAGCCGTTTGAGGCGGCAAGACCGAGCATACGCGAAGCTTGATCGCCTAGCGTCTTGTTCTCCAGTAGCATGCGTCCACTTGGAAGCTGTACCAGCCATTGAAGCAGGGGCAGGTCGTCTCGCTTGATCGCTTCAACCATAGCTTGGCGCCAATGGTCCAACCAAATTATATCATCAGTTGGTGGTGGAGTGTAGATTTTAGCAACACGCTCCAGAAGATCCAGCCGTCCATGTGCAGCTAGGCTCACTATAGCAATAGCAGAGGCATTTTGGTTCCGCTCTAAGTGCCCACCCTCCAGCATCAGCTCAATCACGTCGGGGTGCGGACAGTCGAACGCGTAGTCGAAGAGGTTTCTACCTGGAGGCATAAACAACTGAGCCAGCTCGACGTCTCCAAGCTTGAGCGCACCGCAGATGACCAGATCTATCTCTCCATACACGGGTTCGTAGGGAGTGTTGCTGTACAACCATCGCGCAACATCCGCGTGACCGTTCTCAACTGCCTTCTGCATACTCTTCCCACCCCAGCATACGTAGTTCCCCGGTCCATTCCACTCCAACGGCACGTCTGGGGCACGGTCGTTGCTGTACGCGCGTCCACCTCCAACTGCATCAAGGTACTTAAGCACTGCTAAGTGGCCATTGGCAGCGGCTGCCTCGACAGTCTCCACGGGCCCCACACAGCCCGAGAAATGCTCAAAGATCCACGTCAGTACACTCAAATCCCCGCGACCTGCAGCGACAGTGACCGCCCTGGCGAACTGCCAGCGATAGTAGTGCGTATCCGACCGTAGAAAATTGGAGAGAGACCACGCGTTGGCCCTAACAGCAGCTGAAGAGCAGCTCGACTCCCAGATCCAGTCCAGCAACAGGATCGAGCCAAAGTGGCACGCGTCACTGAGCGAGAGGTTGGATGACGGTCCGAGGAGCCGAGAGATATCACTCCCTAGTTCTTCAGGGGCGGCGATGTACGGCTGGTGCTGGAGCACGAACGCCACGACGCGTAGCTCCACGGGACCCATGGCGATCTTTCAGCAAAATGTAGAGTGAAGGATGTTGAAGTGTATTGACCAATGAAACAGGGGGAATTAGACTAAAGTTGGACGTATGGTTTGTGGGTAGAGGTAGGGACGACGGAATTGGACTGTAATAAACTAAGACCGTACTTACACAGGATCATTTCCATAGTACCTTCTTTTCTACTTGACTTTCCTAAACCTACCCCGAGACGCCGATGCTGTCGCCGTTGAGCGCGTCTCCGTCCACCCGTTCGCGTTGCGCGAGCGCGGAAGATGGAGACGAGTTCTACGACGCGATCGAGTGCCCTCAGTCCCGCGCGCAACAGGTTGGCGGAAAACGCCGCCGCCTCAACGACGCTGGAGACGACTGCGACGTGAGCGAGCTTGTCGACACGAACGAGGATTGCCCCCGTGCCCCAGCGCCCAAGCCATCCGCGGCTAGCGCCTCCCCAGCCTCAATTCTGACCACAACGCGCAGCACTTTGAGTGTACGCTGTGCACGTACACCGCTCCAAGCTTCGCCTCGCTGTCGCGACACCGTGACTCACGTCACCGCCGTATGGCCTTCTTGGACCGATTCTCGGCCGGATGCGCATGCGGCAGGCCGTTCGCTACAAGACTGGCGGCCGCCCGCCACTCTCTTGCGTGCCCAACCACTATGGTAACCCTACCGATGCCGGCAGCGCCGGCGGTATCAAGCTTCGCCGTCGGTGCTGACGATGCAACCGTCGACGTTGCAGCCCCCACCGCACCCGTTCCGACCCCCCCCCCCCACGAAGAACTGGAAGGATCCATCCCAGCCGTCCGCGAAGTCTACAGCAGTGCAGTCGGAGCCGTCAGTGGAGCGACCCTCTTCGCGCTGGGGAAGATCGCTCCAGCGAAATTTGGTCGCCACCCGAGTGGCGACCCAGATTGCCGACCGCCTCGAGGCAACCCAACCAAGGTGGGATTACCCCGTGAAATAATTGCTCAACAAATTGCTACACGCCTTGGATCAAGCCCCCCTCCCTCGGCATCGATGCCACCCAACGCGCCGTTAGCAGCTTTCGACCCCGTCGCCAATCCGATTTCGACGCAAAACACCGCTGCTGAGCCGACCCTGGCCAGCCTACACGATGCCACTACCCCACTCGGTGTCCCGTTGACGCAAAGCACCGTAAGGCCAAGTACTAGTGCTACCAACAGCGGCACCATCGACATGGCTGACAGGGATTCCGCCAGCAATACTGACGTCGATATGGACGTCGCTGGTGGCGGCGAGCCCCCAACGATCGAGGCGGCTACAACCGGCGAGTGGTTACTGCAGTTTGATGGTGCATGTCGTAAGAATCCCCACCCTGGGGGAGCTGGCGCGGTGCTCTTCAATCCTGCAGAGGTGGTAGTATGGACAGGTTCGCTCTAATGCCTAACACCGGAGAGACCTACAATACGGCGGAATATACCGCACTTCTGCTTGGGGTCCGCGCAGCTGCCGATCATGGGGTCCGGCGCCCCCGAATAGAGGGCGACAGCAATCTTGTCGTTCAGCAGGTGCGCGGTCGCTACCCTACCGAACAAATAATGCGCGGCTGAGTGGGCTGCGTAAGCGGGTTATGGCCGAGCTCCGGCGGCTCGAGCACTATTCGCTACATCAGATAGACCGCCAGCGAAATGGACAGGCCGATCGTCTTGCCAATCGCGCTCTTGATCGGCGCAACACGCGCTGTTCACCTAACGGGTATTGGCTGCACATCTATGGATATCGACCCGGCGCGACCTCTGAACGCGATCGCCTCGCAGCCACCCGAAAATCCTGGATCCCAAGATGTACCCATGTGCGAAGAAACAGTGGCGGCTGAACCCCCTGCTGATGCAGACGATGGTGAGGTCTACGCGCCGATGCCGGTCGGCGCAGAGGCGGTCCCTAATCGCCGCTCGCGTCTACGACTTCGGGAGCTCAAGGACGATGAAGAAGAAGCTGCGTGTGCAGACATGGAGCGGCTGGGTGTGGCGTTAGCAGCGAAGATCACAGATGCAGCAGACTGGAGTACCGCTGAAGGCTACATTTCCGCGCTTCCATATCTAATCTACGAGAAATTGCAGCCGTACACGGCCGCTGCATCGTTAGCGGCGACAGCGACGCCACACGACCGGCCGCGCCCGGCCGAGCAATGCGCTCCAATTGGTGCATCGTCGCGGCTTCGTGCCGGCCGCAGGCGACGACGGCACAAGAAGCAACGACCCCCGCGCAACTTGAACTTCAACAGGGAGAAGCGAATGGATGAGGCATTAGACAACCTATATGCAGTGGAACGCTATAATACGAGTACTCGCCAAGATATACGCAAGGCGCGGCGCCGGGTTGGTCGTATTCGCCGATCTCAAGAACAGCAACGTCTGCGCCATCGTTTTAATACTGCCGAAAAAGACTGTGTGGCGGAGATCCTACAACGTGCAGCAGCAGCCAGGACGCGAGAACAATCAGCAGCAGCCCAGCCGAACCCGAATCTGGTCCACGGCAGCGAAGAAGGCGAGGATCCCGGCTGCCCCCTCTCCGGCGAGCAGCTCTGGCAGTACTTTGACGGTATCAGCACGCCGCGGTCCGAGTTCGACCCGCAAGCGCGCGTCGGAACGGCCTTTCGCGACGCTGTGCGTAGCTTACCGGCCGCGACTGCGCTGCCCGAGCTTCTAACTGAGGCCCCTCGGAAGAGGATATCGAAACACAGCTTAACCGGGTCAATTTGCGCTCCAGTCCAGGCTTGGACGGAGTTGGCTACGATATCTACCGACGGTTTGCTGCCCAGCTGCTCCCTGCACTCGCTACAGCGTTTGCATGCTGTTGGGAGCACAAGCGAGTCAAAAGCTGGGCACGGTTCGGCTGATCTTTAACCCCTCCAGACCGGGAGCCGAAAAGAACATGTAAACTGCATATGCAGCGTAATTAGACTTGATGTTTGTGTACAAAAATGGTTAGGGAAGATAGGATTCACGATGGGGGCCAACAAGGCCGTGCTAATAGTGAATATAACCTGCATATTGGCTCCAGTGTGGCATACCCATGCTGAATAATGCTACTTACCACGGATAGTGACAGGGTGTCCGCCGAACAGAAACTAGGGCATAGCGAGTCCCGATTTTCAAAAAATCGGAATTTGAAACTTCCCATACAAAAACTTATATACAAAGAAGGTGTGTCACCTCTAGGTGTTCTGTAAGCTTGTGGCACGTCCGGAGGCATTCTATCCACTATACAAACGTCAAATGAAATAGACATCCAGAAAAATATCCAGGGGGTAATCAGGTGAAACGTAACCGTTGTGTACATAAGACAATACCTAAGATGCAAGTTAGGATGTGTCGTTGCAGAAAGAAGCATGGCATTCTGTAGTTGAAGCAACAAAGCAACGAGGATTACCACGTTTGATCACTAAGTCAAATTTCACTGACTTCAACACCGAAGTAGTTCGTTGCCTGGACCCTTCCCAACTAACAACACACACTCAAGCGCTACACCTGCATTCATGCATGAGGTGGATGTAGTTTACCACATGGTTTCTCCATGGGTGCAAGAAGTTCTACAGTTGAATACTTCAATTAGCTGCTGCTTAGATTGATCGATGCCAAATCCATGCCTTTGCCAATCCAGTCAACAGGAAAGCAGCGATTACAAGCCGTTTCGCTAATTGGAGCATACAAAGGCAAAGTTGCATCTACAACTATGTGTGTGGGTATCCAAAGCCTCGCTATACTGGGAACCGCATCGACTGCAATTGCATTTATCCAAATCGCTTATATTAGTTTGCAAACGTTCACGTTACTACCTCTCGACCATATCATTAGCAGCGCCAGCCATCCCAGGTTTCGGCTCGTTTGCCCATCGGTCATACAATTAACACCAAAGCGGCATCTCCGGCTTGGCCGGAATTCGTCTCGGCTGGTTCTTTTCGCTACTACCTCATTCGAGTCGTCGCCTTCACTCAGGCCGGCTCGTTTTCGGGCTGATCATGACTGCTTGGTCGCCGTAGTCTCCTTCAACAGCATCAATATTAATCAGGTTAGCTCATGTAGGCTACGATACAACATCAGTATAATAAACTGCATGCAATGCAGTATACAGGACAACATGATATACAACATACCATTGTTCGGAGCACGCCATACCGCATCAACTCCTGCCGTCGTCTTCGCCGCTTACATCAACGCGGAAAGATGTCGGAATCCTTGAGCGCCGGAATCTTGAGTGGGCCTCTCCCCCAGGCCTTCGAACGCCAGGTACGAATGCAGCGGGTTGAGCAGTGCGACCGAGCCCAACAGCTTGACTGAGTACGACAGCTTGTACAGCTGCAGCAGCAGACGCTTGCCTGTAAGCAGCAAAAACAACTGGACCAAGAGTAATCCAAAGTCTTGTCACCAAGCATGAATCTCGCAGACATCTCTGACCAATGACCACACTTACCAAGCGCTAGAGAAGCACCACACACAGGGGAGTGCTATCATGAAGAACAACACGTACCAAATAAAACAGGTTAGCAATAAGGTATAGCATTCGTTCGCTACGAGCATACCGTTAGCGCCGTATTTGAGCGCCGATGTATCGCACGATCATCCGTGATTTCTGTTTATTCTTCTGCCGACTTGAGCCCTGGCCGCGCAAATTCTCGAATGAGGCGGATTTTGCAAAAGCGGCAAAAGGAAGTCGCTGTGAGCCACCCATTCCGACACCTTGCAGATTTTGTTCAAATCATACAGTGGGTCCCGCGCCCGTCCCAAACATTATATTCCTAATTTTGACAAACGCTGGTCTTTGACATCTGGAAAAATAAAAAGGCGCGAACAGAAACTAAACGTAATTTTATCTTGACGTTTGTATATTGGTGTGTTGGGAGAAAGGACAGTCATACAAATTTCAAGTCAAAATTGGCTTAAACTGCATATATGCAGTTTAAGCCTTCAAATCTAAGCTGCATTATGCGGTTTGGAGGGGTTAAGAAAGGATCTCGTGATGACCTAGTAACTGGAGGCGCAGCGGTCGATTTACAAGCTGTACGCAGGAGTGCTGGCAGGACGCTTTACACGCTGGCTGGACGCTAATGAGCGTCACGCCCCTGCCCAAAAAGGTTTTCGGTCTGTCAATGGCTGTGGAGAACATAATTTTGTGGCGTCGACTCTGATTGACCAAGCGCGGCGAAAGCACCGCGAGCTCCGGATCATTTGGTACGACCTCAAGAACGCATTTGTCAGCGTACTACACGATCTGTTGTGGTACATCCTCCGGTTGCTAGGTGTTCCACCGGAATTTGTTGGACGCTGCCAGGGCATCAATGATAATGCCGCTTTTGTTGTCGCCAACGCGAAAGATGGACCATCGGCCCCGGTGTCGCTGCGTGTTGACGTGTTCCAAGGTTGTCCACTTAGTCCCCACCTTTTTACGGCAGTGGTCACTCCGCTCTTGCTCGCGCTGGATAAGTTAAATGATGCCGGTGTGAAGCTATCGGGCGAGGATCGACCGGGCGTGTGCGCGTTTGCAGACGACTTGAAGGTCTTCAGCACGAGCAAAGCAGGCATCGACCAGCAGCACAGGGTGGTAACGAACTTTTTGCAGTGGACTGGCCTCCAGGCTAATCCCTTGAAGTACCGCTCGCTCTCCGTCACGCGAAACACGCGATGCAATCTGGTTTCAGGTGATCTAGCAGCTAAACTCGATGGCGAAGCGATTCCGAGCTTGACTTTGCACGAGGCGTACACCTACCTCGGCATCGGAGACGGGGTTGACCATGCCATGAGCCGAACCGAGATGAGTCCGGCAATTGCAGAGCTCAAGCGCGACGCCACAGCTCTTCTCCAGTCTGGTCTCGCGCCATGGCAAGTCGTTAAGGCTGTGAAAACATACCTGTATCCTCGCGTTGAGTATGCACTGCGGCACCTTCGTCCGTTCAACCAGCAGCTGACCGGCTTCGACAAACATCTAGCGCGCGGACTGCTCAATCTCTTTCGCCTACCGTCGAATTCTACAAGGGCATTTTTGTATGCACCAGTCACCCGTGGCGGACTCGGACTTCTCCCGCTGACCGAACTCCATGCAGCTCTACAACTAGCCTATGGGTGGCAGGTATTGCACTCACCAGACCCTTCGATTCAGCGTATTGGTCGTACTCAGCTCCGTGATATTGCTGCTGCGCGTTACCACCTCGACCATGACTATTGGAAGACCCGCACGGACGAACTCGCCGAGATGCTGCTGAACTCTAAGCTGGGCGAGTCTGTACATGCACCGAAGAAGAGGAACTCAAGTGATATCGGTTCTCTTTGGATGATATTCAACGCCATTTGACGTCGTTCGATTTGCAATTTGAAACAGCACCAGCGGACGCCGCCACGGGGATCCCAGCTACTGCTCTCCAGCTTCAAGTTCCCCACCACAAAGGCTGGCTCGACTACAAGACTGTTCTTCGACAGCTCAAGATGCACATGAAATACCGACACTACCACCGCTGGACGCAGATGAAGGAGCAAGGCCGGGTCGCCCGATCGATTGGCGGCGCTGGAAGTGCATTTTTGACTTGCCCACGCGGTCTCTGGGAAGCGGACTACCGCTTTGCAATTGCTGGCCGACTGAACCAAGTCGATACCAACAGCGTGCTTAAACGCAAAAAGGTTCGCGCGCACGCAACATGCAGACACCCTGGTTGCTCATGGAACGAAACGCTCGATCATGTACTTGGACACTGTCCTGGTACCGAAGGTGCTGTCCGTGGCCGTCATGATGACGTCCTCAAGCTGATTTCCCACGCTATCGAGGCATCTCCGCGCGGCAGCCACGGACAAGTCGAGTTGCTAGTCGACCAGACAGTGCCAACGCTCCCAGGACCAGCCCTTCGCCCAGATTTGGAGCTCTACAATCGTGCCAAGCGCACTGTAGCCATCGTGGATCTCGCCATCACCTACGAAGACCATCGTACCGACTCTCCTGGCAGCTCGTCGCTCGCTCGCATTGCAGACCAGAAACGCAAGAAATATTCCAGTGTGAAGAGGCATCTCGAGCGGCAAGGTTGGTCAGTTCAACTATCTGCACTCGTATATGGAGGTGGCGCAGGGCAATCACAAGGTACTGACTACGGAGCTCGGGCTTCTTAAAAGAGACGCTAAACGCCTCGATCGGCAAGTTTCAGCAGCGTGTATCCAGAGCAGCCGACGAATTTGGGCGGACTTCTGCAGGCAGCACAGGCAGCGACAGCACACAAGGAAACGGGGTGGTCGAGCGACGGAGATCGGGGGGTCTCCGTCAAGTGGCCGCAACTAGACGTACTCAGGCCAGAATGGCCAACAAGGGCCCCACCCTCCAAGGGAACTGCCCTCAAAATCCGATTAGTCCAGGAATATCCTCTACAAGCGACGAGCAGAACCATTTCACTCCGTAGTTAGCTCATTTGACAAGAGAGATTTACTAATTGGTAACACGAAGACACTTCAACCTCAATAACTTTGATGATCGTATACGACTTCATTCATTGACTCGGGATGTCGGTGGCTGCAGTGCTGGGTTCTCTTTTGGACTTGGCCTCCCCCATTGATGAACGTCCGCTGTCGCTATTCCAAGGCAGCGTGAGTGAGTGGAGTGATATGAGAAGTTATTGACTTCCAACTTTTTTATTTAGTTTATTCACCTTAGCAGCTGTTCAACAACATACCTTACCATCCTTCTGTCTCACATGTTTCCATGCATTGGCATTGTTGAACGCGTATTCGCTTAGTTAGACTAACTCCTTGAGCCATTGTGTAATGTTTCCTTCGACTACCCCCCCCCCCGCGGAGCAGAATGCTTGACATGCTCAAGCAGGTGTTCCCAACGAACTCGGAGGTGAACATCTCTGGGCAGTGCGCGTGAAGAAACAGCAGCAGCTCGAAACTGAAGTCCCCGGGAGGGGTCAAACCAGACATCTCCAACTGCTCGGGAGCTAGCTCCGGATAATGGGCATGGAGCCAACACACGGCGCGAAAGTGCCAATTCTTCGCAGCAGCCACTAAGGTGTTGCTCGTGTAGGCCTCGGATCGCTGGGAATGCAGCCACTTGACTATACTCAAGTATCCAGATTCCGCCGCTGCGTCAACTGCGGCGGATGTCCATCCAGCCTCGTAGTTTTCATGTAGCCACTGCACCATTGTCAGGAATCCTCTGGAAGCAGCCAAGTTCATAGCGTCCGTACTGCATCTGGCTGCTGTGTTTGTGTACATCCACTCCACTATATCCAGGTACCCTTCAGCTGCCGCGTAGTCCATGGCGATCGACGAGCACGCCTCGGGATGCTTCGCATGCAGCCACTCAACCACGTTTAGCTTCCCAGACCTGACAGCAGCGCTGATCAAACAACCGGCTGGCAGTGGCGGTGTGACTGTGCTGCTGGTGGCTTCGTTGCTCTTGTCTGGATCAAAGTGCACCCAATCCAGCCCTATGTGGCAGAAGTTTCTGTACGCGCTGGTCTTGAGTTCACGCCCGATTGGGTGATCCACAAGCCTCTGAAAAATGCTGAGATCGTATTTTGACGCCGACATCATGACCTCGTACCAATAGTACAAGAAATTCTCCCCACTCGATCTGGCGGCAGCTCTGAGCTCTGCAACCCGCTGAATCAGATCCAGTCGCCCGTGGCGCACCAGGTTGCGCAACGAATTTCCATAGTGCCCCAACGTGTTGTCCCCGTTGCGCCGCGCTCCAGCATCCGTTCGACAACTCGGGGGTGAAAACAGTATCGACTGTACTCCAGTACACCCCTCCCTTCAGGTACCAGTCTCTCTGCAAGCTCGATATCCCCAATCTCCAACGCAGCTTGGACAAAACGCGTCACGGCATCCTCACCGACATGATGACGTGCGTGTTCGTATAGCCACCACGCGACCTTCACTCCAGCGGATAATATTCCCCCCGTGAGGTTCTTCCAGCAGGTCCGAACGTCCAGCATCGTGGTCGTGAAAGAACTGCAAAACACTCAAAATTCCCTTCGCAGCAACCAATTCGACGAGCCCGAAAAATGGTCGAAAATCCATTCTACAACCGTTCGAATTGATTGCAGCCTTCAGGCTTTGGCCGAACTGGTAGGCGTAGTAGTGGGGGTTGGAGCGGCGGTAGTTGGTGAGCGTCCATCCACTACCGGTTGTCTCCTCGGTGGTGGAGGAGATATCCCAAATCCAGACTAGCAGTTGGAGATTGTCGAAGGTACAGGCCTCACTCAGAGACAAGTGAGCAGACGGACCGAGACACTCCGAGATTAGCGACCACAGGTTCTGTAGAGCGTCAGCAGAGGGCTCGTGACGCAGCACCGCCGCCACGCAGCATAAGGTAAATGGCATCGGAGCTGATTCAGAGGAATCCAAAATCAAATTGTGATTGGTTAAAATGCGGCATGGGTTCACAGTTGGCGCAACATTGGGAATATATGCGCAACATAAGAACTTCAACTACCGTACTCGATCAACGTCGAAGATGGTATTAACGGTACTGAACGCCGCCATTAGCAGTGAGTGCACCCGCGACCGTCACGTTGCTGCTTATCGTTAAGTCGATACCGATCGAGATCCACGCGAAGATTCCGGCCTCCACTGTATCACCGAGTAAAGCGTACTCCACGACTGGGTCGTAGCCTGAAGCTGCCGCCTCAATGAGACCCTCATCCACTTCGTTCAGCGTGAGGTTTTGAGTGTTGCTCGCATAGGCCGACGTGCTTTCCACCTCCGTGATCAGATCCTGGTCGAAGAAGAGCTCCCCTGCATGAATAGTGGAGCCTCCCGTGTGGGTTCTGTTGTCCCCCTGGTAAGTGCCGCCGTAGGTGGCGACAATGTCGATGTGGGGCGCTCGGCCTTCGTAGTGACCCGGGAAGATGCTCGTGAAGGCTACGAGCCCATGCCCGTCCGTCCGAGCGAGCCCCCGCAAGAAGGTAGTGCTAACGTTGGACGCGCTCGAGCTCTCTCCTGCTGCCGAGCCAACGACCCCGGAGTACACCCCCGTCGCGTTGCTGTGCCAAAAGTCGATCCACACCATGGACGCAGGTTTGCACGTGTTGACGTCGATGAACTGCAGCTCCGTCGTGAGGCTGACACCAGCTTGATCTTCCGCCGTGTTCTTCCGGAAGAGCTCCCCCTTCACGTAGTAGCTGGGCTTGGAGGTCTCAGGAGCCAACACGCACTTGGGGTGGTCGTCATCTCCGAAGAGATTCTCCGGGTACGTGCTCACAGAGACGTTGGCGAGGTTGGTCTTGTGGGTCGCCGCCGATACAGTCGCAGCGTCGAGCCGGCGTCGGCTGGCACGGAGCTCCTGCAGCTTTGCTGCGATGCGTAGATTGCTCTGCTCCCGCAGCTTTCTGCCAGCTTCCGAGTTGGAGCAGGCAGCCAGAAGGCGGTGGCTGTGGCTCAAGAATCGCTGGCGGTCGGCGACCTCAGCCTCCGTTCGAGGAGTTAGTTGGGCTGTTGGGTGCACCGCTGTTGCGTCACGACCGACGAGAGCAACGAGTGCGACGCAGAACAAGATGAATGACTTGAACATCGTGAAGTCTCGAGACAACGAGGTGAAGTGAGTCGCAGCTGGTGAGTTGGAGAATGCCAGACGCAGGACTCTGGGTTTGATGTAACCCCCCCCCCCCCCCGCGCGACAGGAAACTAACGCTAACGTTGCAGGGATAGGATAGGACGGGCTTCACTAGGCGTGACGATGCAGTCAGCGGCTCAGTGATCCTGTTGGACACGCCGGTGTCTGTCTGGCACAAATAAACTCTCATTCATCGATTGCAGGGCTCGATTAATTACATGCAGGAGACGCCGTAGGGCTTAATGGGCCTACTCATACCCAGTGCATTTGTCGCCCTATTCTCTCCTCGCCATGGTAATTCATTCCGCCGCGGCCTCGATTATCTTGAGTCTTGAATTTGTTGTTCACTAGTCCCAATCCGGTGGCTGCGACCTGGGTAATCTTCTGCTCGTGTCCACTTCGCTGGCAATCTAAGCGAAGTGGATACGAGGAGAAGATCACTCAGCCTGAGATCGGCTATCGAGACCAGCATTATCCCAGATGTGATATCCGCCTCAGAGCGATAGCTACGGATTCCTTTTGTTATATCCAAAGTCGCTCGAGTGTCTGATTCTTCATGCTTCGACATCCCGGCTTTTGTTTCCGTTTATTCTTACATCGCAACTTGAAAATGTTCACTAGCGTGAGGTTTGGCAGATTGTACAGGAACATTCGGGTTTTTCAATTGTATCACATTGACATCTAAGGTATTCGTACGAGACTAGTACGTCCGCGTACGCAGCGTTGAAGTTGCCATGTGCCAGAAGCTTTTCAAGGTGAAGACCCGGATCTAATTAGAGTAAGCACGGTGAAAAGCCGATCATAGATCTACGCCTTCTGGGACGACGTCGAGTTCGACGAGCCCGACGACTGGAGGGGGATGCAGTCCTCTGCACAATAACAACACAAAAGCCTGTTAGTTCAGATGCTCACACAACATCCACCAACTACAAAAGGTACCAAGCAACGTACTGTAGGTCTGCCACACGGTCTTCTTGTCGTCGAGCGCCTGGAAGCCCAGCCAGTAGAAGCGCATCATCTTGCAGCCGCCGTTCTCGCACGACGAGTAGTCGATGGGGAACTCGGTCTTGACGTTGACATTCGAGTGGCCGTACTCGCTGTAGCAGTCGTCCGCGTACAGCACCTTTTTGTCGTCGAGCCAGAACTCGCACGGGCCCGTGTGGATGAGGCCGCGAGAGAAGACGGCCTTGCCGTCGGTCGGGATGGGCTGCGGCGTACCGTTCGGGTCGGTGAAGCCGCAGTCGGGCCCGTATAGCGATGTGTCGTCCAGCATCGTCTTGAGGTCCTTGAAGTTGTTGGCTACCTTGAGGCTCTTGAACACCTCGACGCTCTTGGCGGTGTTACCGTACCAGTCGTCGCTCTTCCACACGGGGTCGATCTGCACGAGCCATTGCGAGTTCTCTCCGCCCTTGAACTGCGACTGGGGGACGTAGATGTACCCGTGGGCGTCGACACCAGGGATCGACGCGGCCATGAGCACGGCGGCAGCGGACGCGAACGTAGCAGCGGCCAACATTGTCGAGGAAATGGTTTGCTAGGAGGATGGAGTGTTGCTGCTTGGGAGGCAAATTGGGAAGTGGTCGTCTTCGAAGAGTTCGTCGCGCCCATGACACCGCGTATCCGAGCGTCTCGGTCTGCTCGGGACCGGCGGAAAGCTTTGAGACCTTTTGCTCGGAGTGTGATGGTGCGTGCTTGCGGACAGCGTGGCCATCACGCGCGTTGTCTTTGGAATCGAGACGCGCTGCGATGCAAAACGTGCGATTGCTGCTGCAACCGCCACAGGATCGAGCTATTATACGGTGCCATGGTGGCGCTGCTTTTGTTTCGAGGATCGTGTCTGGTGCTGTCTGGGAACCGGCTGTCAGATCACTTGTCCACTCCCGGTGACAACCTGCGTAGGCCCTAGGCCCTAGGGACATACCCGGACTAATTGCGCTTCTCGTTTCGTTACCAAGGAGTTGCAAGTGGTTCGCGCTGCTCCGTTGAGTCAATGCCCGAGAGAATGCAGGTCGAATACGACGGATGTCGTCGGTACAGCGAGCGAGGCGTTTCGATCGATTGAGACCGCAGAGTCTGCGGCAGACCGATTGAATCCGTGGTAGACGTCGCACGACCACCGAATTGCACAGCTCCTCGGTGTTGAGTCTAGCTTGAATAGAGACGGACGAAGCGACTTGACGATCACCTGCCAGGTGACGCAGCCTGCAGGACCCTTGGCGCAAGTTGTGGCCACGTTCTAGCGAGCCGCGTCTCAAGCTGTGTCTTACAGTACAAAAAGAGATTAAATTGCGAGCGGCCAATCCTGCAGACGACCCTCGTGCTATGATGTGAATTACGTGGTTTCTCATAGATGTAGGACACCAGCAACGCTTCGCAACACTCTACAGATCTGGACACTGCGCTCCACGGTGCTGTCGGACAAGGTCCGATTGAGTCGGGGACGTTGCCTGCTCCAGCTGATTGTAGTTCAAGCATTTATTGTGGTTGGCATGGCTGCAGGACTCGCGCTTGATGATGATTCGGTGCACGAACGTGCGGCATGAGCCGACGAACAGAAACAGATGGCTTGGCCTGTCAAAAATGCCCTGGCTGTTGCAGAACGCAAGCTGGTGTACAGGCTGTACAGTGAATGTCATGGCGTCGGCCCCCAAACTTTTAGAAAAGACCAACCAAACTCCAGCTCCGACATAGGGAAGCTTTGTCCTAAGTTAATCTTTCTATGAGTACTGTACTGTATACAATAGGAGCGATACGATGAGAAAGAATCGTATCGCTCCCACTGTATACAGTACATGATGAGAAAGGATCGTATCGCTCCCACTGTATACAGTACAGTACTCATAGAAAGATTAACTTAGGACAAAGCTTCCCTATGTCGGAGCTGGAGTTTGGTTGGTCTTTTCTAAAAGTTTGGGGGCCGACGCCATGACATTCACTGTACAGCCTGTACACCAGCTTGCGTTCTGCAACAGCCAGGGCATTTTTGACAGGCCAAGCCATCTGTTTCTGTTCGTCGGCTCATGCCGCACGTTCGTGCACCGAATCATCATCAAGCGCGAGTCCTGCAGCCATGCCAACCACAATAAATGCTTGAACTACAATCAGCTGGAGCAGGCAACGTCCCCGACTCAATCGGACCTTGTCCGACAGCACCGTGGAGCGCAGTGTCCAGATCTGTAGAGTGTTGCGAAGCGTTGCTGGTGTCCTACATCTATGAGAAACCACGTAATTCACATCATAGCACGAGGGTCGTCTGCAGGATTGGCCGCTCGCAATTTAATCTCTTTTTGTACTGTAAGACACAGCTTGAGACGCGGCTCGCTAGAACGTGGCCACAACTTGCGCCAAGGGTCCTGCAGGCTGCGTCACCTGGCAGGTGATCGTCAAGTCGCTTCGTCCGTCTCTATTCAAGCTAGACTCAACACCGAGGAGCTGTGCAATTCGGTGGTCGTGCGACGTCTACCACGGATTCAATCGGTCTGCCGCAGACTCTGCGGTCTCAATCGATCGAAACGCCTCGCTCGCTGTACCGACGACATCCGTCGTATTCGACCTGCATTCTCTCGGGCATTGACTCAACGGAGCAGCGCGAACCACTTGCAACTCCTTGGTAACGAAACGAGAAGCGCAATTAGTCCGGGTATGTCCCTAGGGCCTAGGGCCTACGCAGGTTGTCACCGGGAGTGGACAAGTGATCTGACAGCCGGTTCCCAGACAGCACCAGACACGATCCTCGAAACAAAAGCAGCGCCACCATGGCACCGTATAATAGCTCGATCCTGTGGCGGTTGCAGCAGCAATCGCACGTTTTGCATCGCAGCGCGTCTCGATTCCAAAGACAACGCGCGTGATGGCCACGCTGTCCGCAAGCACGCACCATCACACTCCGAGCAAAAGGTCTCAAAGCTTTCCGCCGGTCCCGAGCAGACCGAGACGCTCGGATACGCGGTGTCATGGGCGCGACGAACTCTTCGAAGACGACCACTTCCCAATTTGCCTCCCAAGCAGCAACACTCCATCCTCCTAGCAAACCATTTCCTCGACAATGTTGGCCGCTGCTACGTTCGCGTCCGCTGCCGCCGTGCTCATGGCCGCGTCGATCCCTGGTGTCGACGCCCACGGGTACATCTACGTCCCCCAGTCGCAGTTCAAGGGCGGAGAGAACTCGCAATGGCTCGTGCAGATCGACCCCGTGTGGAAGAGCGACGACTGGTACGGTAACACCGCCAAGAGCGTCGAGGTGTTCAAGAGCCTCAAGGTAGCCAACAACTTCAAGGACCTCAAGACGATGCTGGACGACACATCGCTATACGGGCCCGACTGCGGCTTCACCGACCCGAACGGTACGCCGCAGCCCATCCCGACCGACGGCAAGGCCGTCTTCTCTCGCGGCCTCATCCACACGGGCCCGTGCGAGTTCTGGCTCGACGACAAAAAGGTGCTGTACGCGGACGACTGCTACAGCGAGTACGGCCACTCGAATGTCAACGTCAAGACCGAGTTCCCCATCGACTACTCGTCGTGCGAGAACGGCGGCTGCAAGATGATGCGCTTCTACTGGCTGGGCTTCCAGGCGCTCGACGACAAGAAGACCGTGTGGCAGACCTACAGTACGTTGCTTGGTACCTTTTGTAGTTGGTGGATGTTGTGTGAGCATCTGAACTAACAGGCTTTTGTGTTGTTATTGTGCAGAGGACTGCATCCCCCTCCAGTCGTCGGGCTCGTCGAACTCGACGTCGTCCCAGAAGGCGTAGATCTATGATCGGGGGCTGAACTTTCGGCTAGAGTTGATCTTCCAACGCACTGTCAAGCGCCACTGCCTGGTTACGTCGACGCTTGCGACGCAGTCATACTGGTCTCGTAAAAATACCATATAGATGTAAATGTGATACAATTAAAAAAACAGAATGTTCCTGCACACCAAGTTGCGCCACTGAATCCTACGTTAGGCGTGATAGGAGACCGAAGTCAAACGCAAGCCAAAGTGATGGCTTCAACTCAAGTATCGATGCATGAAGAGATCAAACTCATGGAGCGCTCAAATACAGCAAATCAAAACTCCGAGGCTATCGGTCTGGAACGGATATCACATAAGGGATACCCTGAGAAATACTGGCTTCGATACTACACGAACGCTCTTACGTGGTCGATCTCAGTGGTGCGGACACGACGAGTAGATCATTAAGGCCGTGGGCATAGGATTGGGGTACGCCAAATTCAAGATCCAGGCCGCGGCAGTGTAAATTGGCACGAAGGGGGTCGGCTGGAGAGAATCGGACGATGAGTTTGCCTTGGGAGACCACCGTATCCCTCAGATGCCTCAGGTAGGACAAACACAACATGGACAGACCGTCCAGGTCGTACGTTGGTTCGGAATTCGAAGCTGCCAACATATCATCTGACAGTGCAGATGGACAGACGATCGACGTCAAGTGTACGTGTCCCAGTCAGTCGCGAGCAATTCCGGTGGTACTGTATGTAGACGTAGCAGTGTAGGCAAATAATTCAGTAGGAATTTTAGATTAATATGATAAGACGTCCTAGAGGAAACGCTGTCACCAAAGCCTTCGGCACCGGATGAGCACAGTTATGCCATTTGAATACTTTTGCGAGCGCTGGACATGCTCAAGACAAACAAGATTGCCTAAAAAGTAGCTTCTCGAGCGACAGTCTGCTGTACTTGACAAATTTGGCCCCGTTGCAACGACACGGGCACTCGGTCGTCACCGTTGCCATCTGGTTCAGTTCGTCGCTCATGTGACGTTCTGTAATATTACATCAACAAATGCGAGCAATGCAAGCCTCAACGAATGCCTGTGGTATGCATCAACGCATGTCGAGAAGCATACACTATAGAACTTATAAGGTAGCGCTATGCCAAACTAAAAGCCCCCAATTTTGCATTTAATTAAACGGCCAACAATAGGATAGTTTGGCCATGACAGTGAGGAGCACGGCGCTTTGGGCTGCTGAAACTACGCGACGTGGCTACATTCCTACCCACTTGTTCACATGGCGAGTCATCGTCAAGTCGCTGCGTCCGTCTCTATGATGTGGTGCCAGTGCCTGCGCTTTGGTGGTCGTGTGCATGTAGTGCACGTACGGTTTCCATGCGCAGGACGATTAAAGATTAATTCCCAACGTAACCTCTCGCTACATACCTCCGAATCCTTTCCTTTCTAGAGCTGCTATCACGCGGTGATCTCTTTTTTATGGGGAGCCGCGTCGCATGAAAGGAGAACGACTCAAGTTACGACAATTGATTTGCCCGGTTGCCGCAGCCCCGTTGACTCACTTATTGTTCCTAGGTACAAGTCAAACCTCCACCGTCAACGTTGTGCAGTTCCTGGTTTCCAGACTGCACGAGCGTCCCCTCACAAAATCCTGGCGCTGTCCGCTTCTTCGAAACAAATTGCCACCGTCTAGGTCAAGCATGTGGCAGTTGCAGCTTCGATCGCACGTTTTGCATGGCAACGTATGCCTCGACGAATCCTAGGATAACCGTCACAGATGGCAGTCCAGGCTACGGGCACGCTTCAGACTTTGACCAGCGGATTCCGACAATCGGTGTCGCGTTGAGAGCTGTTCCATTCCAACCACTTTCCAATTTGCCTTCCAAGCGACAGCAACCCAAGAAACCCAAACACTTCTCCAACTATGAAGACCACCGCTGCTATCGCCTCCGCTGCCGTGATCATGGCCGCCTCGATGCCCGGCGCCGACGCTCACGGATACATCTACGTTCCCCAGTCGCAGTTCTTCGGCGGTGAGAACTCGCAGTGGAGCGTCCAGATCCCCCCTGTATGGCCTAGCAACGACTGGTACGGCAACACCCAGAAGAGCGTCCAGGTGTTCAACTCGCTCAAGACGTCCCACAACTACAAGGACCTCCGGACGCTCCTCGACAACACGGCGGTCTACGGCCCTAACTGTGGCTACACCAACCCGAACGGCACGCCGCAGCCCATCCCGACCAATGGCAAGGCCATCTTCTCTCGTGGTCTCATCCACACTGGTCCGTGCGAGATCTGGCTCGACGACAAGAAGGTCATGGCTGCGGACGACTGCTACAGCAAGTACGGCCACTCGAACGTGAACGTCAAGACGGAGTTCCCCGTGGACTACTCGTACTGCAAGGCAAAGGGTGGCTGCATGATGCGCTTCTACTGGCTCGGCTTCCAGGCGCTTGGCAAGAAGACCGTGTGGCAGACCTACAGTACGTTGCTTGCTACCTGGGTATTGAGTGTTTAAACTAACTAACGAGTCTTGTTGCTGTGTTGCAGAGAACTGCATTCCTCTCAAGGCTTAGACTCAATGGACGTTGACTACACGCGTAGACCCCGCTCGGTGCTGAAAATTCATCAACCGGTGAATTGGAGTTTGTTTCTGACACCCGGTTTGGTACGAGTGCTTGGTTACTTCAACGCGCAGAATGTGGTCGGACTAGTATCGTTAGAAATACCATAGATGTAGTTGTGATGCCCATATAATGGAATATTCATCACTGAGACGAGATCGTATCTGTGTATAGTTTCCAACGTCGATCAGGTGCACCCTTCACTCTAATTACACCATTTCCCAGGCAGCCTGGTTGGTTTCCCAACCAAAGTGGTTCAAATCATTTTCCGGGGAAAACCTTATATCACTTTTCCCAGGTATTTTCGAGCAAAGTGGTTCTGTCGTAAATCGTTCCCAAGCAAAGTGGCTTCACTATCATCGAGAATTTAGAGCCATTTTGAAGAAATCAAAACGTAGCTTAGAACAGCCTTGTGAATGTATTTGAGGGGTCTATCGTGATCTACGTGACGTGGGCAATTTAACTAAGCCTTTTTGCATCGAAAAATAGCAACTTTTGATTCTTACAGACCAAGGTCAAGACGTGGACTGGTCCAATTTAGCCCCATATGGTTGAGCAAACCATTTTGCTTGGAACAAATACAGCTGTAAATCACTTTGGTTGAAAAATGCCCCTTTTCGTCGCAGTACAGACATCTGCTTCAATAAGGAACACTAGAAAACCTATAACCCTTTATATTGTATGAATGCTGGTTGGCTCAGACATACAAATTTCCCTATTATGCTAACGCAATATTCCATCACCTTTCACAATTTTATATATATAAGGTGTTCTTTATTGAAGCAGAAGTCTGTATTATGTTGCGCGAGACCTTCCTGCACCACTTTGGTTGGGAAACCAACCAATCTGCCTGAGAAATGGTGTAGAAGAAGAAAAAGTTGATTAACTAGATAGTGGACATGCCGTTTCGCTAGCTACGGTAAGTTATGATAATTTCTACTTGGATAACTCAATTATGGCCGCGGAATCCAAATTCGACAACCCTGTTGGGGTAAACTAATTGGTTTGGGTGCATCAAACCCAAGTCGTTGAAGCACCGAGTTTATTGCATCACCGTCCAGTTTCAGCTCTTCAGAATGCTGGAACATGTATTGACAATGTCGGCGAAATGAGCTCATCAAACCTTGAGTGCTTGGTTGCTCTGTTGCTGCTTCCTCAAAATGGATATCGTTGCGTAGACGCCATGTAGCATGGAACACAATTGCTGTGTGAACTCTCCATGGCAGCAAAATGGTTTTATATTGTTGCTTCCAATCTGCTTTGATGTCCCGTGGTTGCGGAAAAAGCAGTAGCCTCCAGCTTAACACGGCGTGGAACGCCTTGCTCCATCGCGCCCACAGTGATTGCCACATATCGTTCAAGCCGGGGCATGAGAAGAAACAGTGCTCAAGTGTTTCAATCGCCACACACGATTCTCGAACGCACTGTTGAGCCGTAGGATTGAGTGCCTTGAGGAAATACAACCTTGAACTGACAATGAGATCTCCAAACAATAGTCTTAACATGACATCATACACCACCGGAATCAAACAGCGTCGCAGCGAGATGTACAGAGCTAGTGTAGAATGAATCCGTAATTGGGGGCATCCAAGTTCTTGCATAGGGTGGCTACCAACTACTTGAGTGCTTCATAGCAATATATTCCAGTCCAACAATCGAAGATTCGGAAAAAAATTGGTGCCCTTGTCAGCTAGCACTCCAAATGTAGGAGGGAAGGCTCCACGAGATGAAGCCCTTACTCCGCCTGCATCAGGATCCGGTAGCACACGACGCCATACTTCCGTTGATTGCCGATACAACTGAAAGATGTCGCTTACTTCGATTTGTGACCCGAGCAACGGTAGCACCACTCTGCGGATCTTGCGAAAAAAAAGGAAAGCCGTTGGCCAGTGATGAGAGGTGTCTAAGAAGTCAGCTAGACACCATCGCTGCTGAGCTGCAAGCTCTCGGCACAGACATATGAAATGAATCGTTCCTGTACCCAGAAGTTTTTGAGCCGAGTCCTCTCGACGATACACTTGGAATGAAGAAGATGTATTCCACCAGATAGGAGTGAATAGTGCATACTGAACGGTTCTTGCTCTCGTATACCGCAGCGTGTGCCGAAGTGGCCAATGTACCCGCTTCCAGTCCTTCAACAACTGGCGCCAACACATTGGCAGCATAGCTGCTCGCCATCCCGGTGGGTTTGGAGGATACTGAAGCAAAAAGTCTCCAGACCACCTTCGCGAAAATACCCCATATCGTAAGTGCAATAATTCAGCAACTGGCCTGTACCAAACGGCCGCACCATCATTCCATGCGTATTCAGCACCTGAATGAACTGCTGAAGAAGCATAAAACGTTGTCTTCGAATCACTGAAGCGAGCACAGGTACACCAATGCCATCTTCATCACGTGGCTGAGTAGCCAAGCCCTTCTTCACAACATTGATTCCACCTGGACCCGCTGCAATCTTATTATATAAAGCGTAACGGGTCACGACACCCTGCCATCGCCTGATAAATCGGACCGGGATATTTATCGTGGTCGTGAAATACCATAACAAGGAGATGACCGCAGCTTGGACAATTAGTCGACGCCCCATCAAAGTTCGTGCCCTTCCTTTCCACAGCCGGAGGCGAGTCATTAATTTTTCATCGAGCTGATTTGCCACAATTGTGGACGTATCAAAGTTCCCAAAGGGAATGCCAAGATACTTTACAGTCTCGCCCTTTCGAAGTGATCGGAGCGGCTCGATTATTGGCGCCGCCCGATGGTTATTGAGGCTCATGATCACACTTTTTTCTGGATTGAGCATTGCACACGAACCAGCACAATAGAGATCAACTAGGCTGAGTTGTTGTTGCAGACACCGCACATCCGCTGAGAGTAGAACTGTGTCATCAGCAAAGAAAGCCACTGGGATCGAAATTGTCTAGTCAACTTCAACCCCCAGCTCTCGCTCTGCGCGTAGAAGATTTCCAAGGGGCTCTAAAGCAAGCGCGAAAAGGAAAGGCGACAAGGGGTCTCCTTGTTTTACTCCACGTGAAGGTTCAAGAGCTGGTTGCGACCATCCATTTAGCATTAGAGAACATTGTGAGCCATCGTAGAGTAGTTTTATCCACGAGAGAAACTTGGGACCAAATTCTTGGCGCTCCATCACCTTAACTAGATACCCACGGTTAACACGATCATATGCCTTCGCAAAATCGAGAAAGTGGCAACGCCTTTGTCACCTCGAGAGGTAACCAAGTGTTGCAGGTCACGAATCAGCATTACTTGGTGATGAATGGATCTCCCTGGGATGAAACCCTTCTGGTCAGGATGGACTAGCGAGGGCATCCAGGGTTTTAATTTATCGGTGAGCGACCTCGACAACACCTTCACTTCCACCGGTAGCAGAGTTATCGGTCGGAAGTTGCCCGGATCTGCACGATCTTCCTTTTTGAAGGTATCGAATCAGAGAAAAGAGAACCATGTCCGCACGACGTGTCTGCATCGTGCTCTCCGACGGGATAATCTACCCATTCACTGGATCCAGTCAGAAAGGGACACGTAGCTTTCAGTAGCAACTCAAAGGCGCTAAGCAGGCGCAGAACCCCCCACTGGGTTTTTGCTTCAGCGCTTTGTCGTTTCAGTTCCGCAGCTAAGTAGCTGACGTAGGAGCTCCGAGTTTTCCCGAGGGGCAAGTGGGAGCTGATCGCACGCTTGTTAAATGTGCCCAACATTCCATTTGCTGCGAGAATGCGGTTCAACAGGTGGATCGACGCCAGTTCCTTCAAATCGTCACCACCATTTGCGAGATCAGTGCAGAAGGCCGTAGACCATGCAGTTGGCATCGCCGTAATAGATTCGACTACTTTGTCCATGTTTTTGGATGTCTGCAGCAGATTCTCAACAGGTTTCATGTGTTGCGTGTTTTGGACCACACGATCCTCATGCGATTCCAGCTTCGCTTCTTCGGCTGACACTAAAACACCTTCAGCCACCAGTTTGTTGGTCCCTGGGGTCTTCGTGCGACCCTTGGTTGGAAGGGGTTCACTAGCATCTTGGGTGGTTCCCGTCGAGGTAAGATGAGGTACCATCATCAATACACCAGCAGTCCCATCCGACGTAGTATTTGGATCAAAACCTTCAAACTCACAGTCCACAACTTCAAAAGCTGCATAGGGATTTTCGTCCGTAAAGGACGACAGAGTACGGTCAGCACGCTTGAAACCTGTTTCCATCTGACGGGCCATGTCCACGTCGTCATCACTTGGTGTAGATTGCATATCCACATCCGAGTCATCCACTCGCAGAGCAGCACGTTCAGCGCCATGCGGTTCAGCGTCCACGGTCATCACCCCTTCTTCAACGCTATCCGATTGTTCCGCTGCTTCTATCAGCAAAACATGGCGAGGCTCCATGGCATTGCCATGAGCTTCTTGCTCCTGCTGGTGCGGGTCCATCTCATTCAATTCCAGTATTGGAGATTGGAGTTGACGTCGTGGCAGCGTTTCAACGCAACTGCGTCTCGCTGGGGCTAGCTCAACAGCATTCTCAGCCGAAGTTGGCGGTGGGCTACGACATATTTCAGCTCCGAGAGGCAACGTCACCGAGTATGGCGACTTCTTGAAGCTAGCGGAGCTTCAGCGCGTTTTCCACGGGCAATGTAAAACTTCCGCCCATACACCAACTGATTGGTAACGAAGCCACGCACTTTTAGGCTCTTCTTGCCCAAAGTAAAAACGCCAGGTTGGTGTAGCCACATGAGCGTCCATGTTGACGTCTCGCGGCGTCAAGAAAAATGGTCTTGCCCCAAGCTGGGCTAAGCCCATAAAGAGATCATTGGCGACAGCCGTGGACCGCACTCCGAAGACGTCCAAGTAGAACTTGCTGTCAAACGGAGACTGGCGCTTGATCTTGAACTTGCGGCCGAGGAGGTTCACTTCCTGACCGACGAGTCTCTTCTCGGCCTCAGCAGAGCGAACGTGGACGAAGATTCCACCAGCGGGGGCCTTCTCCACGAGAGCTACTTCGTAGCGCGAGAGGAGTTCTTGAACAACTTGATTCCCGTGATCTTGGAGAAACGAGTTGAACACGACAGGCATCGCTACCGACGCGCAGTACGTTCCGGAGTCGATGGCAACGACGTGCGTTGTTGCCGGCGGCGTGAACGGACGGTTCTCGGTGATGAGTGCGAGATAGTCGGCCGCTGAAGTGTCGCTGCGCTCGTACGCCTCGACTAGACGCGCTGCATCTTCATCAGACAAGCGCGGCTCAGACAGCATCGACTTCGAATGGCGCACGCGCTCGTATTCCTGCGAGCGGAGGTGATCCGCCATGGAGATCATTGTTCTCAGAGGGAGAGCGTTAGGGGTCGTTCTTCTAGGAAGCTAGCGAAACGATTTGTCCTGAGAAATGGTGTAGTCGTGCTTTGAAAATAGTCTTACTTTTGTACTTTTTCGTGACAGCTCACACACCAAAAATTTCCCGAGCAGCTCAAAATGATTCAAAGAGAGTATATTTGAACTGATCTCGACGGGCTGAAGCCAATCATGGTCTTAGATTCTAGTTAAGGCAAATATTGTAATCACAAGAGCGAATCAAAAATTCGACTTTCTCCCACAAAAATCAAAGACTAATTAGAGTGAAGGGTGTAATACTCAGTATCGATTGCTACGGCTTGAGGATGCATACTAAGTAACGAAGAGGGAGATATCTTCCGATGTAATCCCTTTACTTAGACTAATAATAGTAATATTTTTTAGTACAGATTTTGTATTAATATGCATACTTGTTTTTTTAATTGGTCATGGAATGTTTTTTTAATCCTTTTTTGCTTTTCAAACCAATTTGTTGGTGATTCGTTGATTTGATGGTCTGACTCGGATTGGTTTCGTCTGGTTTCGTATCGAAGTCCACAGCCATTGATTGGTAATGGGGCTTTCACTTAGACCCACCGTTATGCGAAGGTTAACTTACACGAGAATCTGTATATTGAATGGATGCTAGCATGCCTACATGCAACGCAATAGTCATTCCGGATTTTAGAGCATGGAGAGAAAGCGCGATGGGACCTGGGGTCATTTCCATGATGACGCGCGGGAAAGCGGAACAGCAGATAGCTGTCGGACACAATGCGGCGGTTGCTGACGACATGACTTTGCTGAATCATCGCCAAGGCTTTAAGGTCTACAGGCGTGAGCATCCATTCGGAAGCTCTGAGGCCGCGCTTCGTGCGATCGATTCCCAATCACCGCAGGCGGCCGCAGTCGGAAGCTCCAGCCAAGCAGGGGGTAAACACGGGGGAAACGTTCGAGGAAACAGAGCGCCAAAGCACGCAGACACCGTGCACCGACGTTGACCCCGACATTGACGAAGATGCCGATGACATATTGGCTGCGATGACGGATGCAGAGATATCAAAGCAGGAGGCGTTATCTGCTGCATTGGCGCTAACCAGCATTGCTCTCATGCCAGACACCGTCTTGTTCCCCGAGCACTAATAGTTCTAACCTGCAGTAGGAAGGAGAGTCCACCTACCACGTAGCAAATGCAGAAACTGAAACCGGATCAGAGTTGCTTCTTTTGCCCTAGCTATCCATGGCAAAACCCCGAATGGTTAATAAATCTGGACTCGATAAAAGACGGTTTTTTTAATATTTTTTAACCGGAAATTAATTAACCATTAAAAACCAACCTATCTATATCCATGGCTACTCCATTGTGGTAAGTTAGTTCTTTACTATTACACTAGTTGCTGTTTTGACGCAGTGGGAGGCCCCTTTAACCCCACTTGCCCCTCTTGCTAGGGACAAACGGGAGTACAACATCGTTTTTTACTTGATTTCTGTATTCTTAAGTACCCCGCATTTTGTCTTAGACGGACCGCTTGGACAAAAATTGTGGTACAGTATACTTAACTCCTGAATTTTCGGTTTAATCCTACCATTTTTCCTGTTTGTCCTACCAAAATGCCCGACTGGGGTTAATATGCCGTATTTGACATCAAATTCAAAAGGTATTGTCATGTTCTGGTACTCTAGGCTACAGTGCCTCTAGATTGACAATGGGTTCTGTAAGTGGGCCTATATTGTATGGTATTCGTTCACGCACGCGTATCATACCACGACGGAACAGCAAACATCGATGATATTATAATATATGTGCATGTAACTTACAGTATTTTGGCCGTGACTGTATGACCTAAGCAGGAAACACCTGGCAAAAGTCACTTGCTTCGCGCTCGTCAAGTCGCTTCATCCGCCTCTACAGGTATGTACATGTATTTTTGAGGCTAACTGTCCGGATGGAAGTGTGAGCTTGGAGGTCCGCTTATTACAGTTTTTTTCTTTCATGGTTTAACCGACAGCGTGATACGGAGCATCAACGGTGAAGGCAAACAACAAGAAACAAAGTTCCGGGAGCTCGCCGACGTGAGCTTGGTCAGTCACCACTGAGTGCCTAAGGCGAAGCCTTCCTGCCAATGCCTTCGAGTTCCTCGCTCCCAACCGCGATCGTAACCTGCTGTCAGCCCCATAGCAACGCCACTCGGCGAGTGCTGTGGCGATTACAGGTTCAATCGCCCGATTTCAAGATATAAACTACTGACATATGGATCGTTCGGATCCCAAGATGCCATACGCCCTCATCAGACTGCCCGCAAGCAGAACCTGCCGCACTTTATGGAGCCCCCATCGAGCCGAAGAGGCAACAAGTGCACGGTACTTCTGACATGTTCGTGACGAACTTGGAACCAATTCACTTTCAATGTTGCCTTCCAAGCAGCAACAGCCCGAGAGCCCAAGCAATTTCCAACCATGAAGACGACTACCGCTATCGCTTCCGCTGCCGTGCTCATGACCGCTTCGGTCCCTGGTGCCGACGCCCACGGATACATCTACGTCCCCCAGTCGCAGTTTAAGGGCGGCGCCAACTCGCAATGGAGCGTGCAGATCGACCCCGTGTGGCCGAGCAAGGACTGGTACGGCAACACTCAGAAGAGCGTCCAAGTGTTCAACTCTCTCAAGGGGTCCCACAACTACAAGGACCTCCGGACGCTTCTGGACGACACGTCCAAGTACGGTCCTAACTGTGGCTACACCAACCCGAACGGCACGCCGTAGCCCATCCCGACCAATGGCAAGGCCATCTTCTCTCGTGGTCTCATCCACACCGGTCCGTGCGAGATCTGGCTCGACAACAAGAAGGTTATGGCCGCGGACGACTGCTACAACAGGTACGGCCACTCGAACGTGAACGTCAAGACGGAGTTCCCCGTGGACTACTCGTACTGCAAGGCAAAGGGTGGCTGCATGATGCGCTTCTACTGCTTGGCATTCCAGGCGCTTGGAAAGAAGACCGTGTGGCAGACCTACAGTAAGTTGCTTGATGCGAGTTGTTGCCTTACTTGCATTATGATTGAACTAACGAGTGTTGCTGCTGTTTTACAGAGGACTGCATCCCTTTGAAGGCGTAAGGGTACAGGGCACCAATTTGCCACCCAAATCCACAAATTTTGTTGTTGTGTTGATAAAATTAGGAATTATGAAGCCGTGCGCACACCATCGGAAAGCTAGGCGCTTTTGCTTTCAGTTGTGGGTATGTACACGCCCAAAACGAATCTATTGAATGAGCTGTGTCAGTCTAGAAAGTTCACATATTATTGAGCGCCTCCAACGACAATCAACCCAACTTGCCACCCCAAAACATATGGGTTTTGGCAAGCTGGCGAGGCAAAATCTCGGGACATTTCATCTAAATGTCTGCAAACTCTAGTATCCTGACGGGATCGTGTGCCGAGTCTTCGTCGCTACGTTGTCGCTTCGCATTCCGTTAAGCTGGCGGTGGTTGCGTTCGTCGAACTACAGCCTGGGGCTGAAGTTTCGCATCTCGTTTGCGCTGCCGTTCTTCTGCTTTGCGCAGTTTGGTTTCGTGCTTGCGTAGCTCTCGGAGTCTACTCGCTTCCTGCCTAGCGAGCAGTTTCCGCTCGGCTTCTTCCGCTTTTTGGACTACCTTCACACGAGCCGCTTCAATCCGATCAACTTCTCGCTCAGCTTTTCGCGTCACCAACTCGATCTTCTTCGTCGCTCCCTCCTCTCTTCTCATGATAATCAACAGGAAGCGGGTCATGGACGGCCACAAATTGGCGTATTTTGACTGCAGCGTTGTCTCGGATGTGCACACGGACTTGACCTTGCGAAGCACTTTTTCCCTGTTGACTGGCCACAGACCCGTCGACCTCCACGACTTTGAGATTCCCTTCATGTCCAATGATTCGAGGAGAGCGTCACCGATGACCGAAGCACGGCAGTGTCGTGGTAGGTTTGTAGCACTATGCTCGGCGGTCCAGACTTCGATCGTGTTGCGCCACGTTGCCTTAAATGACCGGAAACAACCGGCGTCGAGGGGCTGGAGGACATGGGTTGTATGGGGGGGGGTTGTAGGAACGCTTCGGTAGCGAAGTGGTCTTGGCCTTAGCGTTCAGGGAAGCCTTCGACGTTTTGCTCTTGGCGACGGAAGATGCGTGTCGACGAACCGCCATGCTGAAGGGTGAACCGAGTCGAGGTGAGTCTTGAGGTATCTGCGATAGATTTAGGAGTGAGGTGGAGTGACGTCTAGCTGGCGATGTGGGCAGGAGTTTTCTTAGCGGGTAGACAAGTCGCGGAAAGACTAGCATCCTTCAGCGGGCAGAGCGCGAAGATATTGCATGTTGAAGTGCTTAAAATACACGCAGGTGATACAGGTGCCAAATTGGTTCCCTCGGCAAATTGGTTCCCTCGGCAAATTGGTGCCCTGTACCCTTAGACTTTGGTGGAATCGATGTCGGGGTTGACTCCGTATGCCTCTTCTCAAGAGCTCGGAACCAGCCGAAGAGTTTAATGGCGACCGCGCCGATAAAACTACAGTACCTACAGTAATTAGTCTGGCCCAGACTAAATCTGAATACCAGATTTTTCATCGCTCACAATTTTTTAGTCTGGCCCCAACAGTGACAGACTAATTATGGATATCTAAAAATGTCCGTTTTCCAGTAAGAAAACCATTATTTTTGTGAAATGATGTGTTTATACGTATTTGTTTTAGTATTTTATAGTGTAGCTATATATATTTTTATCGTGGCTTTGAAGAGAAATCAAGACTAAATCGTCGCAGATGGTGCTTCTCTAATGGTTAGATAAGGCTGATATATGGGTTGGATACCCAGGTATCTACTTCGATGGTATTGGATGCTATTCTGTAGCAGGCTATCGCCTAGGCTTTGATTATCGTTGGAATGGCGATTTCCCGTGTAAATCAAGCTTAAATCGAGCTTTTCGTTCTCGCATCGCAGGGCAAGTCGCTGCTAGTCGCGGCTGGGCGTCACAGGCGTCGGTCAGGCGCTGGTGGGGTTTGTCAGGCACTGTAGCTGCCGGTCTGGAACTGCTGGAATCTTTCGGGCTCAGGTGGAATATGTCGATAACAATATTCTTTGTGAAACGTTAGTTCATTCGCGCTGCATGAGTACTTATCTTTTCGTGCAGTTGTAGTGGAAGTGCCAGATTACAACGTTACTATCGTCAATATCTGACTTACTAAGTGCTCTGGGGAAAGCTATAAATTATACCATAGCCGAACTGTTCTCTCTTCCGTCGCGGGACCCGGATAATGCTCGTTGAGCCAGGCTTCCACTAACGCGTCGCTTCCACTGAAATATTCCCCATGGAGGTCGCTCTTCGTGCCTCGTGCGAATTCTGGGGTGAAGACCTTCGGGTAGTTCCCTTGAAGGAAGAGCAACACATCGAACAGATTCGACGGATACACCCACAGGCGGTTATCCTTCGGGTAAATTTGCGCGAAGCCAGGAAACCGCTGCCAAACGTGCGCTACCTATGGCCTGTTCAAGTGCGCGGATGGTGCAACCCTCGGATCGGTTCGAGTGGAGCCACTTGCAGATCTCCAGACGGTTGTATGCGGCGTGTTCGCATGCAGCCATTTCACCATCTCCAACTGGCCGCTGCGCGCCGCGTAGTCCATTGCTTTCGTCGAGCAACGCACAGACCGAGTGTCATGCAGCCATTTTACAATTTCGAGATGGCCGCTTCCTGCGGCTCCGTCAATGGCGTCGCTGGAGCGAGCCCACCATTCGATTGTCTGCTTGGTCCGTCTCCACTTGGTGCTCGTCGCACCAGTAACACGGCCAGATCCATCGTCTAAATCGTGAAAGTACTTCAGAATCTCCAAGTGACCATTCTTCGCTGCTTCGATTACGACCTCATCGACTGCATGGTACTTGCCGTAGGACGAAGAGTGTTCCAGTTACCACTTGATGGTACCCAAGTGGCCTCCACGCGCTGCTTTCACCAGAGCCGCAGCATTTATGTCAGCAAAACCGACTTCAAAGAGGTACTCGAGGACGTCGACGTGGCCTCCTCCTGCTGCGCCATCCACGAAGTGCATGCAAGTACTGTTACTATCCAAGTTTTGGTACACTTCCCGACCTGTCGGATGCTCGACCATCCACTTGGCCATGGGGAGGTTCCCACGGTCGCAGGCGAACGAAATCCCCGATTCCCACTGGTCTACCCGCATCACCGGAACACTGTCCACCCAAGCATTTCCGCGTTCATTTAGAGACACTTGTTTCTTCTTATGGGTACAGTCGCGCCCGTGGTCGTGCTCGAATAGGTGCTGCAACACGTGCAGGTGTCCGTGTTTCGCGGCTTCAGTGTCCACTTCCGACAGCACTTCAAAGCCCTGGAAATGGGTAAGTACCCATTCTACCAGCGCCACGCCGCCTCGACCTGCGGCAACCTTGAGCGATTCTTGGAACTGGTACTCGTGGTAATGTGGATCCGAGCGCAGGTAGTTGTGAAGGGACCATCCGGACTTCCTGGTGGCGATGGAAGCGCAGCTGGAGCCCCAAATCCACTCCAGAGGCGGAGCAGACCCAAATTTGCAGGCTTCGTGCAGCCGCAGGTTCGTCGATGGACCGAGGAATGTCGAGATGTGGGGGCCGACGTGAGGGTGATGTCCCGAGTGGGAACGGTGGTCACCGTCTCGGGTACGGTCGTAGCCGTTCTCCGGCAGCCTGTCAATCAGCGCGTGGACTGCTACTCGAGGATCAGCTGTTCGAGGATGAGCTGACTGAGCAGTCATCGGACTGTAGCGAGGATTAGCTGGCGGTGGGCCAGTTGCGTGGACGAAGAGTCGTGATGGAAGCAGTGGCGTGTTTCGCGAGTTGGCGGTGACGGGAGGAGACAGGATGGAGGTCACGGACCCTGCGTGGCTCGGGGCGTGAGCCTTGGCGTGAGCCAAGGGAGGAGGGGTGAAAGGAGGTGACCATGGGTTCGGGGGCGGCGGTGTGTCGACGCTCAAGTTGAAGAGAAGCAAGAGAGAGCGCGGGGCGAAGTGCTCCGGGCCGGGTAGGTTGGTTAGTCGTGAATTTGCCGTGGAAACAACAAGTTGAATCTTTGCATTTGACTCTGTTGTATTTCATACCGTTCCTTTCCTGTCCGTACCGTCCTACTTCGTTCTCGCAGCGGCAGCCGTCCCTTCCAGGGCGACTCGCGACACGAGGTGGAGAAGCAGGGTACTGGCTTCGCTGTGAAGTGGGCATCGGACAGTCTGGTCAAGTCGGGCGTCGGGATTCGTTGGCCTTTGCGAGGTGACAGCAGCGCGTTGGAATCGCGATCGAGAGCTCGTGCCTGGGGTCTTCAAGAAGCCTCGGCATCCGCGCAAGACTTGTGGAACGGTCTTGTCTGGAAGTGAAGTGAAGAACGGCACGCTCGGTGCCTCTGGAATTGGTCTACGGCACGCTCGGTGCCTTTGAAATTGGCCTACGGCACGCTCGATGCCCCTGAAGTTGGTCTACGGCTCGCTCGGAGCCCCTGGAATTGGTCTACAGTTCCCTCGGAGCCCCTGAAGTTTGAAGTTTGGAGTTTACAGTTTGGAGAAGATGTCTGGAGTTGGAGAAGGTGAGGCGTCCGCGGAGCAGCGGACCGTGCAAGAAGAAGTGGCGCGCCTGGAGGCTGAACGGCTTCGCAAGGCGCGGGAGACTGGTGGGACGTCAGCGACGCCGACGTCGCCCGGTGACGGGAGCGGGACGAGCACGACGGCCAAGGTGACGAGCGCGGCCGGTCGAAAGTCCCTGCGCCAAGAGATGATGGGAGATCTCTGGGCTGATGAAGAAGAAGATGAGTTCAAGGATGCTGATGAGGAGCGTGAAGGAGACGGTGCTCCCGCGGAGCTAGAGAGGAGAAGGAGGCGGTGTCCGGCCCGGGGAGCTACGGGACGCTGATGCCGAAGAGTCGAGAGGCGCGTTCTCGAGGCCCGTGCACTACAGGTCGAGTGGTTTCGGCTACGACGACCCTGTGCCGATCGAGACGGCGCATTCGCGGCCGTTCTACAGGTCCTACGTGAAGGAAGAACCTGAGGAAGTGCCCTCTCGTAGCCCGAGCGGGTTCATTCCGGTGTACACCGGGACGGAGAGGCGGTTGCCGAACCCGCCCACGTACGGTTGGAGTGTTGGGGCGCAGCCTGGCGCCTACGGTGGGTGGGGCACGGTCGTAAAAACTGAGCCGAAAGTCAAGCAGCTAGTCAAGGCGGAGCCGAGCAAGACGGTGACTCGTTCCAAGACTCCAACCCCGGGCGCGGCGCCTGCGGCCAAGAAACAGTCGACCCCTGCGAACCTCGGTGGACCAACCCGCGCATCGACTATGTGGTCCCCGGTTCGCAGCGCGTACGACATGTCGTCTATGGTGTCCAACGTGATGAAGGTGTTGCCGGTGTTCTACTCGGACACGGCGACAATGGAGAAGGCTCGTGACTTCTGGGAGCTGTTCGAAGCTCACACGGCCCACCGGCCTGATCAGTCACGGTTGCTGGTGTTTCGCCAGAAGCTCAAAAGGAGGCCTGCGGAACCGTGGTGGAACAGTTCTACCATTAAGACTTTCGCTACGCTAAAAGTACGGTTCCACAACCAATTCCTGAGCAGAACGGCTGATGAGCTGTGGGAACGGCTACAGACTACGAAGCGTGAACGCGGTGAGCCCGTGGAGGAGTAGGGCGATCGCGTCTCCGACCTCTGCGACTCGCTGGACTATCCTAACCCGCAGATGAGGTACCGGTTGTTCCGACGCGGGCTACGTAACAAGCGTATGCTCGCCACGCTCGACTCGGGACCGGCACGAGACATTCCCGAGGCTTGTGAGTGGCTGCTGGCCAAGGAAATGTCCCGTCCCATAGAAGAAGACGACGAGTTCCTCGAAGACAAGAAGGTGGCGGGCTCGGCCTCGAGCCTGGCGACGGCGACGGCGGCCGCTTCCAAGACCTCGACGAAGCTGGACAAGCTCGCGGCGACGATGACCACCTTCATGACCCAGCAGCAGCAGTGGCAGCAGCAGATGATGCGGAACCAGTGGCAGCCGCCGCGCTCGCCAAGGAGTCGCATGCCGAATGTGTCGGCCATGACTTCGAGTCCAGGCTCGGGCGGGAACGCTCCACCTGGGAACGGTCGACCACGAGGGATTCGTATGGGTGCTGATTCACGGACGCAAGAAGGAGCGCCTGTGTGCGGACGGTGTGGCTACGTGGGCCATTCACGCGAGACTTGTCGACGACAAGTGATGATATGCAACCAGTGTGGAGAACTTGGGCACATCGCCGTGGAATGCGAGGACGGACCCAGTCGCGACCGGACCGGTGGTCAGGCTTCCGTGGCCAGGAACGGTGGCCGAGGGCCAGTGAAGTGCGGGTTTTGCAAGGAGGACGGTCACTCGTTCGCTGGGTGCCCCGAAGTGGCGGCGCTCCGAGGTCTAGCCGTGAGTCTGCGAGAAGCTGCGCAGACGTCTACGCCTCAATAACGAGGGCGGGAGGAAGGGGAGGAGAGAGTCACTCCTTCCTCTTGTCTATTGGATGACTCGGAGGGTGAGGATCGTGACCGTGACGAAGTGGAGGAGACGGTCTCGAGGGTGGATGTATGCATGAGTGTATTGGCAGAGCCGGACGGAATGGTATCAGCCCTGGATGAAGTCTCGTATGGAGAAAACAAGGACAAAAACGAGAAAAAGAAAGCTGAATTTATTGTGGTTAGTACGGATGATGAAGGAGAGGATCTCGCGGTGAAGGTCGGCGACTTGGAATACGATACGGCCTACGAGGGCTCGGCCGTCTCGGCGACCGCCGCCGACACGACCGTCGTGGTGGGAGGGTCGGTCGCATGGGCGGCCGACGTGAAGACCGGTGGAGTAGAGGAGGCCGAGCCGACCGAGTTGAAGGCCGAGACGACCGAGGGGAACGCGCCCGAGTTACCGAACGAGAAGAAGGACCCGGACGAGTTGCCGGAGGTGCCGTCGCCGTTCGCGGACGCGCCACCGCCGTATGGGTCGGGACTCGAGGAGGGGGATATGGAGGCGATGCCGACGCCGTTCGCCGACGCGCCGCCGCCGTATGCCCTAGATGACGAAGGATACGACTTGTCGGTCTGCTTGTTCTCGGCCTGGACGAAGGGAGACGGCGTACTTGTAGAAACTGCTGCTGAGGACGGTGCGGTCCCGCTGGAGACGACAACCGTCTCTGGTAATGACCGTATGTTCTCGGACGATGAGCTCACGGCGATGGAGAACGGCGAACCGGGCCAGGAGGCTTCCATCCTCGCCGGTACGGACGTCGTCCCCGAGCCCGATGAGTATGACAAGGAGCTCGAGGACCGACTGTACCCGCTGGACGAGGTGGAGCTCCTGAAGCGTGTCGCTCGGAATGCTGAGGCTCAAGCCGAGCCGTCGTCGGAAGAGTTGGCTCGCATCCTCGGGATCTCGCTGGAGGTGGTGAAACGGACGCGTCAGGCGTCCTCTGACTTGCGCGGCTCGCCCGAGTACTGGCAGGGCTGGTTCGAGGACATGCTCGACAAGTCCGAGGAGGCCAAGCGTGCGAACCGCGACTTCCGGAGCCCCGTGGTTAGCGTGGTCTACGGCTCTCCGTCGGGAGCCGTCGCCGACCAGAAGGAGGCGCCTCCAGCTGCCGGCGTCGCGAGAGGATTGGAGACCGTGCCGCCTTGTGACGTCGCGTGCGTCTCGGCGGAAATGCAGGTGGCCGTCGAGTCTGTCGTGGCCGAGAACGTCGTGCGTCCGCCGGACGATCCTGGTGGGACCCTTGCGGTGACCAAAGCGGTGCCTATCTTGAGTGAAGTGCGAGGTGTGGACCCGAAGGTCACGCGTGCGGTGGCAAGCTAAGCTGGGTTCCGTTTCCTGAAGGAGGCTAGGGACTATGGGGGCCGGGTGCGTGAGGTACGGAGGCCTCCCGGCGGTGAAGAGGGGACGGTGGAAGTCCCTCCGCTGCGTGACAAGGTTCCTGACTACGATGAAGAACGACTCCTGAAGAACGTCGACCGTGTCAAGGAGTTAATGAGCGTGACGGCTCGATCTAGGGAGCTGAGGACCTACTACGACGACAACTCTCGAAGGATTTGGTTGGAGCTGTGGGCCCGTACGGGGCGGTCTAAGACGCCGAGTGCTCTAGACGTCGCCGTCGCCGTGGCCCTGACAAGGCGGTCACGTTTGAGTTTTCGTCGCTTTACAAGCCGTATGCCGAGGTGATCGACGACTCGGAGCTTTTCCCTGAGCGTGACGAGGACGCTTCGCACTACGTTGAGGTGGCGAGATGCGAACGTCCCGCTCGGAAGCCACTGCCGAAGACTGGCCTGGTGGACGTTGTCACGGTGAACCTGCCGAATGGTTTCGGAGTCTATGATAATGAGGACGCTGAAGCCTGTGTGCACCGTGTCGTGGAAGACGGACGAAGGGTGGTGTGCGCGGTTGGCAACTTTGAGGCGCATTCAAGTGGTTATATTGACTGCTTACCGTCTCAAATGCTGGCCGACACCGGCGCTACCCTAAGTCGCGTTGACCGTTGCGTGCTGAAGCGACTGGGGCGGTCCTCTGAGCCTCTGGACCCTTACGAAGGGCTGGTCAGGAACTCGTCGGGACACAAGCTTCGGATCCGTGGCTGGATCAGCTTGTCGTTCCGACTTGGGTCGGTGGAGATTTCGCTGAGCGTGTTGGTGGCCGACAAGCTGCATGTCGACGCGATTCTGGGAGTGGACGCTTTGGGCGCGTTCGGCGCCGTGATTGACGTGGCGGAGCGCTCCCTGACACTGAAGA